AACCTACATACTTTTAGTTAAAATTGTAGTTTAGGTTAGATAATAGAATTTGGGTGAAGATTGGGGGGAGACATTCTGCAAATTCTCAGAGATGGTAATGAATCTTCCAGGAAAATCTATATAATGTAGAAAGAATGTAGAGAATGTAGCATGTGGCAGACCCTCCATCTAGTAAAGTTACATGTAAAGTTAAAGTAAAGTTATGTGTATTTCTTTTTTTTTTTTTTTTTTATTCATTTGTAGCAGTTTTCAACTGGGGGTAAGAGCCAGATTTCTTTACTGGTTCTTTGTCATGAAATATCCAAAAGGTAAACACAAATGATCATTTATATTAATGACTAGACCCAAGAACCTGCTGCAGGCCTGTGACAACAAATACATTTTAAAGGGCTTATATTATGCTATTTTCTGATCTATGTTATAATATTTCCTCATCACAAACATACCTGGACTTGTTTTGTTTCATTCACACATGTTTAAAAAGGGACAGCCCGGAATTAAGAGAGTGTTGGAGACGTGTGGAGACACTTTTTTAAATATTCCATCCAGTCCTTGTATTTGCAGAGGTCGCTGGTGCTAGACTAGTGCATGTCAATAGGCATAGTTATCCTGACACTAAAAACAGTCTTACCCACTCCACAAAACACCCAAAGCAAATCTGTTATTACACCAGACTGTCAATGTAAATGTCTGTGTGGACAGAATAATTTTAGAAGTAAACATAAAGCTCTTAAAAGTTATAGTAAAAATGAAAATGGAGACCTAAGATCAGATGGAGACTAAATAAAATAGTAATGATAATTTAATTTAAAACAACTATAATAATAACAATAACAATGATCATTTAAGTTAAAACAGGTAAAAGTTTAAATTAAAAGATAAATTTAAAAAAATATATGTTTTGAGTTACTTATGTATATATTACTTTTAAAAATATGAACACTCGCAGCGGACTTCAGATCCTCAAGTAGACTGTTCCACAAACGGGGTCCGTAAAAGCTGAATGACGCCTCACCGTGAGTTTTAGTTTGAACTCTTGGGACAGTTAAAAGATGACTACCTGAGGACCTGAGAGTCCGATAGGGCTCATATGATAAAAGCAGATCAGATAAATAGGACTAAGACCATTAAGAGCTTTATAAACCAATAAAAGAACTTTAAAATCTATCAAATTTATGTCTGAGCAGCAGCAGCGAGTTGTACTTCCTGATAGAAAGGATGGCAGTGGCGGATCACCTAGAACAGGTGTGGGCAAACTACGGCCCGGGGCCAAAATATCTTCTTTAATCTTCTAAATCCAGCCCGCCAAACTTGAATAATAATAATTTTCAGTGTTTTAGAAGTCATTTCAATAAATAATAAATACCATGGGACTTGAAAGACAGATATTTTGTTGTAATGCTTTGTAATGATTTTCATTTATGGGATATTTCAATAACATGATATAATATGGTTTTGTATATACCCTATGTTATTTTTTTTCTCTTATGAGGTGGATTACAAAAAAACTCCATCCATTTGCTCCTGGTCCAGCCTTTCTGTTAAATTTTCGAACCCTTTTTGTTGCCCTCGAGTCAAAAAGTGTGCCCACCCCTGTTTGGTTTTTATCCTGCAGTGGTTTTGATTTGGTTGAGCCCTGGTTTAGCCCTGGTTTAGTTCTCAGACTTGCTGCAGTTTTGATTTTATTTAGTCCTGGTTTAATCTTGGTTTAGTTCTTAGTCCTGGTTTACTTCTTAGTCCTGCTGTGGTTTTGATTTTGTTTAGACCCGGTTTAGTCCTGGTTTAGTCCTGGGTTGGATTTAGTTTAGTGCCAGTTACTTAAGTCTTAATTCAGCTCTTCTTTGACACCTGCTTAAGAACTCTTTGTAACCCTCGAGTCAAAAAGTTTCCCCCCCCCTGACCTAGCACCTTTCTTACCAGGCAAAGTAAAATTCCGTTGCTGCTGCTGAGAAAATAGTCCCTTGACATGCGACGATTCGTGCGATGCAAGGTTAGTTTTATTTCAAACATTATTTTATCAGCACAGACATTTACATCGACTGGCATAATAATAGTTTTTCTTTGGGTGTTTTGTGGAGTGGGTGAGACTTTTTTTAGTGGCACGATAACTATGGCCATTGACATGCAGTAGTCTAGACCTCTGCAAATACAAGGACTGGATGGAATATTTTAAAAAAGTGTCTCCACACGTCTCCAACACTCTGGCTCACTACGAAATGAGGTCCTATGTCCAAAATTCTGGATTGTCCCTTTAACACACAAATCCTACATATTTATCGGCGTTCCACTGTGTTTTTAAACTCCATACAACTTCACTAGAATCATTTGGATATTTTTAGCCAATCTATTGAACAAAAGGTAAAAGGTAACTGTATGACGTCACAAGGTGTAACAGAGCATTTTGAGCTTTGGAGACTTTTAATAAAGGATTACTCAAACACGTGTGAATGTAACGAAACAAAACTCCAGGAATGTTTTTTGCATAATATAGGAATTAAATAATATTGGTCTCTATAGAGTGTCGTGATGTAATTTAAAACCTCTTAATAGCCCTATTCTGAACACGCTTTGTTCTGTTTTATAGCTGTTTCATCCTTGTTGTGAATAGCAGCTTTCTGAGTCACAGTCTCACTTCTGAAACCCCTCTAATCTGTGGATCAGGGCGTCTGGTCTGAGCTCTGCGCTGTAAACACATATTTGGGTCTTACGTTATAGGACTTACGTTATGGTTGGCCCCTGTGGTCACACGATGCTGCAATAAGGATTAAGTTTGTACCTTTTAGCGAACGCAGCGGGCATCACCCAAAATAAGAGATCAGTTTCACAAAGGGAGAGGCCAGCTCCGGACGGGAAAGAAAACCTTAAGGACACAATGATGATAACGTTTCATTTAGGAGAACATGATGATACCCATTGTAGTCCGGCTTTAGACTTGTGTTTAGCCTGACTTGGTTTAGTGCTAATTTAGCCCTGATTTATGCAGATTATGTGAGTTCAACTGTGCTGAGACCCAATTTAGACCTGCTTGGTTTTGGTTTAGTCCTGGTTTAGTTCTTCTTAGTTCTTCTTTTAAGTCCTGCGGTGGTTTTGATTTGGTTTAGCCCTGGTTTAGTCCTGGTTTAGTTCTCATTCTTGCTGTGGTTTTGATTTAGTTTAGTCCTGGTTTAGATCTGGTTTAGTCCTGGTTTAGTTCTCAGTCTTGTTGTGGTTTTGATTTTGTTTAGTCCTGGTTTAGATCTGGTTTAGTTCTAGTTTAGTTATTAGTCCTGGTTTAGATTGGTTTGGTTTTTAGTCCTGCTGTGGCTTTGATTTGGTTTAGCCCTGGTTTAGTCCTGGTTTAGTTCTTAGTCCTGGTTTAGATCTGGTTCAGTTCTCAGTCCTGCTGTGGTTTTGATTTGGTTTAGCCCTGGTTTAAGTCCTGGTTTAGTTCTTAGTCCTGGTTTAGATCTGGTTCAGTTCTCAGTCCTGCTGTGGTTTTTATTTGGTTTAGCCCTGGTTTAGTCCTGGTTTAGTTCTTAGTCCTGGTTTAGATCTGGTTCAGTTCTCAGTCCTGCTGTGGTTTTGATTTGGTTAACCCTGGTTTAGTCCTGGGTTGGGTTCCGTTTAGTGCCAGTTTACTTAAGTCTTAATTCAGCTCTTCTTTGACACCTGCTTTGGTCTTGTTTAAATCCGGTTTAGTTCTGATTTTGATATTGTATTATTAATTGTATAGCCGGGGTTTAGTCTTCATTTTCCTCGTATAATCCTTGTGAAGAGTTCATTAATCATCTAATAGAGTTTAATCCTGGTTTAGTTTAGACCTATAATTTAGTCATGAGGGAAACTATGCACATCCAGAACTGGTAAACCTGTTTGCTGGGTTCAAAAGGTGTTCAAACAAAACATATAGACCATAGCCACAACTTTGCCAATTTTTTCACTCTTTCACGTTGAGTTTAGCCCTAGTTAAGTGTTTGTTTAGCCCTAATTCTGTTCCTGGTCGTAGCTTGCACAGCCCTGTCAGCAGATTGAGATTTGTGTAATGTGAGCTCCTGTTTGTCCCTTGGAGTTTGGCTGGTTCTGCCATTAACGCTAACTAAGTCTTATCCAATTAGAGCGGTGTGCAGTGTGGATCAGGCGGTGCCTCTGAGGGAACATACTGTCCAACATTTGTGCTAACTCAGTTTTCTGCACAGACAGGAAGATTGTCAAAGTACAATAGATACAGTACAAGAATAAAGACTCAAAAATAAAAAAGAATAAAGAATAAAGACTCCAAACAAGGCATTCAGTTTAACTTTATCTGGAAATGTCTTCTCCACAGTAACAAAATTAAGTTATACAAAATTTCATATCCTCACACTTTTCCAATATTAGCTTGAAAATGAAAAATCTAAATTTGTTTTGCGTAGTTTTAGATCAGAAATGCTTTACAATAATCAGGTTACAGTTGTAGTTTACTAGTTTAATGTCATGAACTTTCCACTTTATGACTCATTAAGCTGGAATGTCAATTATTTATAGAAGTCACAAGAAAATTCGTGCTTCCCTGATGAAAACTCGAAGTAAATTGGGCAATTATAAACCCAAGTTGATTTAAGTGTAGTTAAATGTTTCTTTAGACAGCTCCCAGACAGGAAAGCCATACATTTTACTCACAAAAATCAATTTAAATCCTTCTTTGTACGCGGAGATAGTTGATACGGTGTCGCGGTCAGGAGCCAAACTTCTACATAAATAATTCAAGAGGTAAATCGATCTAACTATGATCAAATTCATGTTATGCAATGATCATAGACTTCTGTACACTTTTCACACCTCCAAAACCATTACGAGCCGCGTCTCTAAATATAACATCTTCCTAGTTATTTCTACTTGTGAGTATCCTCCTACGCTCCCTTTTACCGCTGCTATTGTCTACTTTCTTCAAGTTTCCCCTGTTCTGTTCCCTATTTGGCATTTTGTGAGGGCTGGGTAGGCGTGCCTGCGCGTTGACGTAATGAGAAAGTGAGCTAATAGATCCATGGTCGAGAGTGGAGAGCGCACAGAGGAATCACAAAAGCGGCTACGGTGCGTGCGTAAAGGCTCGCCCGCACATCGTGGACAAGCCGAGCGTCTAAACAACTCGTGAAGTTTATTTATTTATTTATTTGTTAATCCTATTTGCTTATTTATAACTTTCAAACATGATGAACGGAGTGGCCAGGAGTTTGTGCACCTTTGAGGACATCCGGAATCAGGAGTATGCGGTAAGTTTGTCCTTTCAGATGTTATACCTTCCCGAGGCTTTTAAAAATGATATTTAGCTGTCTGTTTTTGTTTTATTGTGTTCTATGTGCTGTCATCAATGTGGTTTGTGCCTTACTTACTTGTTTACGCGTGTTACGGCGCCATGTTCAATTATGAACCAGTGCAATGCGATTGTAATGAATGGAATGAAACTCAGATGTGAATTAGCATTATGTCAAACAAAATGGTCTACACTTACATTATTATTTTCGAGGATAACTGTAAAAAATGTCTAACCTACTTTGAAATTTGGGTTTGGAGTTAATTTGTCTGATTCTGACCTCTTTATCTGAAGCATGCTTGGATGGACAGCCTTCAAGTTGCAGCTCATGTATGGTCTAATTCTTATAAACTATATATATATTGTTGTTTGTTTGGCATTTTGAAGACACAGATGAAGGGAAAATGTGTATCTATACTGTACATTTTAGCCTATTTTATTTTTGTATTTAGTTTCTCATTCTTTTATCAACATCCAACACACATTTTATAGATCTTTAATATTAAATCCTACAACAGGTGGCATTTGCAGTGGCATCCCTTCACCCGGCATGCCCTCCTCCGCTCTAAGTGTTACTACTACGTCTTGATCTTATAGTATTTAAGGCATTAGCCCAGTGCTCAGATGGAGTCTCGTGGAGAACATCTGTGGCTGTCGCAGGTGCTTGGGTCTTGTTATGTGAAGGCTTATGCGCTGCTCTGTGACACAGCCAGACTCCTACGGTGCAATGAACAGCAGGATGTCAAGATTAATGGATTTTACCTTAATCCTGATTATAGTTGTGTCCGTAATTGTAAGAGGCAACCATTTAGAAGGAGAAGCATCAACATTTTGCAAACTAGATTGAAATTAGTGCAGACTTTCTACTGAAATGTAATGCAGCAGAGTTAAGAGTATTAGTGTTATTAAGCAAAGGTCAGATTTAAATAGTGCAGCATGATTTTGCATACATTTATCAATCATTTTTAAGGTGCACTACTGTAACTCTGGGGTGTGCAGCCTGCTCGTCTCCAAGGATGTGTCATTGCTTTGCCTGGAATGAGAGCAAAGCACTTTGGTAAAATGTATTTAAAGCGCTCTATAAATAAAGTTAGATTGCACTGGAATAGATAAGTTTAACAACAACATGGAGACAAGTATGCGGCAGATACTCCAGCAGAATAGTTACATAGTGTTCCTTTAAAATTGAAGCTGGTTGCTGGAATCTGTCTACTGAATGAAAGTGAATAAAGCATATAATAAGTTGAAATAATAAAAATCGTCAAATTGGAACACGCATTTATTGTTACTAAGCTGCAATCATCATAAATCTAAAATTGTGCGTGACACCCCTGACCTCTTTACAGATGGATATCGCTCTGTGCATGTTCAACTGTAGTTTAATCATTATCTTTGTTCAATATAGGCAAATAGTTAACCTGACCTTTATGAGGTTATGAAGAAACATGACACTTTCCTCTTATCACCAGGGTTACCTCCGCAGCTCTATTCAAATGTAAACTCACACTTGAGTCTAGACAGAAAATACACTTCGTTAGTGCCAAAGGGTCACAAGTGGAGCTGATATGTGCTGATTATACTGGAAAATATATTTTAGGAATGTGTCACGAAGCCCTAAACAATCTAATGATATTTGCTCTACATTTACACGTCAAACCTTGGCACGCAAAACTCACTCATGGTAAACAATATGTCCTTTCAAAGTGTGATTGACTATAATAGGCAAATATGACTCTGCCCCTTTTATTTGCATATGCGATAGCTGTTTGAGGCGAGAGGTTTCAGACCTTATCTTTGGAAGCATGCAACATTCAAATATGGAAAATAATACCGTAGAAAAACAGGGCGGCAGAAACTGAACGGATGAATTGGGCATTAACATCTGTGCGCTGTCCCTGAAAGAAATAAATAAATACCTACCTAATCAATCAACTCAGTAATTAGGAACTGCTTATCTGGACAATACACAAACAATAAAAGCAGGTGCTATAAAAGAAATGTTATGATACGGACAACAATATTCATAAATAATGGGGATTATAAAATTATAAAACACATTTCAGTTTTTTATGAAAATTCTAGGTATTTATAAAAATGTTCTCTATAACAGTGCAATGTGGTTTAGGGTCTTTACCAGGTCTAAGCCAGTACTAATCCAGGATTAAACCAGAATTAAACCAAGTCTATTCATTTTTATTCAAACATTCTTAAGCAACATAGAAATATATATTATATTTTTATCAGCTAGTTAGGAAAATGTCACTTACTAACTTTACACTTTACTTTTAAAATTATTATTAGTTGCATCAGTACCACAAATACCAAGTCCTGATTCTTAGACCAAAATAAATAGTTTTTTTCCATGAGCTTGTGTCATAGCATTACTGTAAAATGACCGACACTTTTTATAACTTAGTGACAAAGATTCTGTTGCAATTTTGCTTACAGCCCTTGGGTTTCTCATTATTGCATGACTTCATACATTCTCCTCTTGGCAATCACCATCAGTCAACGTTGTGGGGGTGACATCAGACGCTGGGAATGGGCCAACAAAATGGCATTTAAATACACACGACTCACTGTGCTTGTTATTTAACACCATCTGTTTTTCTACGTCAAATTGTCTCGTAAAATCCAATGAGATGATATAGACAGTAACATCATTAAAGGAAAATGTGCAGAGTAAGTGACTAAAATGGCTGTTTCTAGACTGCTGCGTCACTGTCTATGGTAATGACGGGAATATGCACGCTTCACACCTGGGTTTAAACCTTCTCTGGTTTGTTGAGACTGGAAAACTCAAGCCAAAAAGTCAGACGTTGGCATTTGTCACCGTTGTGTCTATGCGGTAATAGCCAGTGACTTTAGATCCTATGAATAGAAGTGGGAAAGTAAACAAAATTACATAAAGCAGCTGAATAAGAGGCGCCTTAGCAACAGGAAAGAACACGTTGTACTCTTCAGAATTTGAGTATTGTGTCAGTGAATTTTAACATCTTAAGCATGATATTAAAGGAGCACTATGTAACTTTCCGGGTGATGGAAACACTCCTTGCTTCTCCCATAGAGATGCTATGCTGTGTCAGGAATGTCCCACAATATCCAAATCCACTTTATTTCTACAACACATTTTACAAACAAAGCAGTTTCCAAAGTGCTGCACAGAGATCATAAAATGAAGACAACAAAAAGGTAAGTTGCTAAAATGTGGTCAAACCAGTCCTAAAACAATAAAACCAGTAAAATTAAATAAAAGCAAAAAACACAAAAATCATAAAACAGCAATAAACAAGAAAAAATAAATAAAAGACACAGAGGGCCACACAACCCACTGATCTCCATGGATGCCAGTAGGTGACTCTACCAGGGAGAGTTCAGTAATTTAATAAATGCAAGATAAATAAGTTTAATGCCATGCTGTGGAACATTTCAACTAATAACTTCTCTGTGGAGACAATCAGATCTGCAACCCCACCATAAAAGTTATATGTTGCACAAGTACATTTTTTATATTTTGGTATCTTAACATAGAGGTAGGCAAATCTGTGGACAATTATATATTACTTATACTACTACTACGACTACTGTATTACTACTTATTTCATGTGTTGTCTTCCTCATAACAAAACCATCATCCCGTGCACGCCCTTTACCTACTGCTTGTTTGTTCAGACTGGTAACTCACACCAAAATTCTCATGAAGCCGTTTGCAACCGTTGTGTTTACTGTAGCTCGAAAAGTGACGCTGCAACATGCTTCACGCTGTTTTTTATAGAACCCAAAGAAAATAACTCCGGTGAGTGTAAGAACTGGTTTGAATTGGAATGTTAATTATTAAATAGCCGAAGCATTGTGTGTAAACAGAATAGACTAGTAGTTCCCACAGCTCCATCTGAATACCAGTGTAATATAATAATTGAAAAACAACTCGATAGTGATCACATGCAGTTTAAGCTGGTTTGTTTTGAAATAATAATGATAGGTTGTGTTTTAAATGCATTTCAAAGTGTGTAAAGGTAGTAAGTACTTCCCAGCTTTCCCAGAAGGATGTATTTAAAGTATGTAAAGATCATATTTGCCTTTCCTATTACCAACTAAACCAGTTCTAAACGCATTAAACAAGGTCTAAACCTCTTTTACTCAAGTCTAAAAGGAGTCTAAACCAGGCAATCAAGTCTAAAATTTACTCAGTCAGGACTAAACTGGAACCAGGCCTGAACTGAGACCAGGACTAAACTGAACCAGGACTAAACTAAGACCAGGACCAGGTCTAAAACAGGATAAAACTACATCTAAACAAGAACTATGCCAAAGAAAGACTTGAACTTGACAAAAGCTGACTCTGCGTTGTATAAGTTGTGTACGTAATACTTCAAAACCATGTGTCACTCCTTTGAATATACTTTGTAAATGAACAATGGCTCTACACTGTTCGTTATATCATGATTCCTGCGAGTACATACCGCATGAAAAGGTACAAAAACAAGCCTGTGTCTGCATTGGATTTAGTGTACTCTCTGGTATTATTGAAACCTTATACCAGCGTGGGTCTCTGTGATTTACTTTCCACCGTCTTGCACCTGTCGACTAAAGCTTTATTCTGGGGATTGTTGGACCAAAAGCAGGTGCGACAGGGGCAGCGTCTGTGCTCCAGGTCTGATGAGAGCGAGACAGAGGGGGGGCACAGAGACAGAGGGAGGAGAAGGAGGAGGAGAGATTTAAGTACACCACATACCTTTAAAGGAATTTGGAGGTCGCTTATCTGAACTACCGGGTCGTATCTGCCCTGTATCAACTCCTACAGTAGCTCTGACGTTTTTGGGTCAGTTTTACACAATTTTACTAAGATTTCATTGAAAAAACAAACAAAATCCTTTTGGTTCAGAAGATTATTGTATACTGCTGTGAATATAGGCCACTTATAGATACAAAACAGTGATAGAAATTATATTTGTTAATTCATATTTTACTACTTTTAATCTTATCTATCATCGGTTATATTGATAGCAATGAGCTAAAGTTATGGTTGTAGAAGTAACAAAGCTATAGTATCAGAAAGCAATCCTAATTATTACTTTTTATAGACACATAGAGAGAGACATTCAGCACAGTCTCTAATTCATCTTTAACACACCATGCACTTTAGCACCAGTCTCCTCAGTCGTTTATCCTGGTCATTACCGTGCCGTTTTGTACCTATTGTGGTTATGTCTCTGTTTGTGTTGTCTCAGGTTTCTCTCTGTTTTGTGTAGTGACTGATTGTGTTTTTGGTCCGTGTCTAAGTGCGTACGAACGTCACCTGTGTAAGCACTTCCCATAGCTCCTTTGTGCCATAAAGCCCAGGACAGGTTTGCATTACGTTCTGCAAATAATGCATATTACATAATAAATCATACTGTACATTACATCACAATATTAATCCTGATTTGTGAGGCTATTAGGTCACAACATTCTTGTCATATAACCTATAGGTCAGGAGTCTCCAACTGTTTTCAAACTTGGAAATGAGAGCCGAAAATGACCAAGAGAGCAGAACGATCTAAGTTATGCCTCGGACAACACTGAAAAGATTATAGAATTGGATTTTCTTATACGTGAAAACACAGAAAATAAAACTCTAAAATAAATCCAGAAGAGAACGTTGATAATTATCACAAATTTTAGTTTTTTTGTCCCATCCATACTTGTACAACGAAGTCTCTAACTTTTTTCCAAGCTTGCAATATGGTAGAAAATGCTGAAACAAGAAACTCTCATGGGCTCGAGTGAATCTAAACTATTGCATATAACTCAAATAAAGGTTTGAATGCAAATATTTTTATCTCACAATTTTCTGTAAAAGGTGATTTAAACTGCATATTTATCTGGACGGGCTGAAGGCCATGGATTAGGCTTTGTGGGGTTGTATAATGATGAATTCCTTTGTAACAACCCTGCTTCTGTTCTCCCGGGTTTGACTATTGCAGCCCTTTCAGGTGTCTGTAATCTGATAGGAAAGACTCACAGACTCACCTCTGTTTATTATTATAAGACCCCAACTACAATGTGCGATTTCCAGTGACCCCCGGTGTCTTTTTCCAGTTTGTCCACTTCCTGACACAACAAAAGCATGGGGTCAGATGTAAAATAAATACTTTTATAACCACGCCTGCCTGTTTTACACAACTGGCTGCAACCAAATTAACTCAGATTGTGGTACCATAAACATGTATTAGTTTCACAGCAACTGTCCACACGCTATACTCAAAAGATCCGACCAGTGTAATTATTTCAGACTCCACCCATGATAAACATAAAACTGAAATGTATCCATCTCTATAGCCGACTTAATAACAGGATCAGCATCTTTTGGAATTAATGTTTGCTTCTTATTTTCCAATACGAGTGCACCCCACCTCATATCATCTGCTTTTAGTTTAGAGCTTCCAATCCACATTATATAAAACAGACTTTATTGATATTTTAAGCTTGTTAAAAATGCATTACTTCATCCAAAACGTCATCATATTTCTACCTGTGTCATCGTCTAATCTCATCGTAATCTCCTGTATACATCTGTTTTAGCCTCTTCATACAGTAGATCTAATCTTTGACCGGTGGCGTCACTTGCTTTTCTCTATAGTGACTGGTACATTTAATGCCGTACGGAACTGAGAACTGTCGAGGCTACGCAAAAACATCTCCATGGAGACAGACAGGTGGAATATCCTCCACCGGAAAAATTACATAATGCAGCTTTAACTCCGCCTCCTGCCTATTGACGAGCAGTTATAGACTTGCAGCGATGCATGACTGAATTTATTCAATGAACTCACGACATATGCCAAACTTGCAAAGTCATTGAAATTCTTTGGTGAATTTCTTCTACACTGAACATCACCTTTTAACAAACAAGGCCTGTAATACATCACTTATAACTCGGTCCATGATGTATGTTTGCCTGGCTGGTCAGATATGGAGGACACTGGGGATGCTGATGGAAAAGTAAACAGAACCAGATATGATGTTACATAATGTTCTGACTCTACTCCCTACATGTACTACATGTACTACATGTACTATAGAGGCTCCCCTGCTCCAGAGATATGTACTCCCAGTCCAGACTTTTCCTGTTGCATCGACTCCCTCACCTCTGACGCAAATGGTTTGGGGGCAGTGTGATGTGGGCTCTGCAAATTGCCCTGTACTTTCGACTATGCTTAGGTGGGTAGTTGGCAGACATAAGTTACAATTGTTGAGTCACATTTACACATCTAAGTAACTTTACAAAGATATTTTACTTCGCAGAATAGTTTTCAGACCACTTTCTTACTTAACATTTTACCTATTTACCTATTCATTATTATATGCTATGTTCATTTGACTGGTTATGATGTAAATATGTCATTCTAACAGGTCTTTTTTTTAATGTTTTTAGAAGCTACAATCCTCATTCTACCCTGTGAGAATGTCTATTTGACAATGATTTGTTGCTCCTTCAAATATGGTTTCATTTATTATGCAGTTTGCAATCTTATGAAATACCAGACTTAGTAATTTTTTCCAGATTCTAAATTAAGTACTAACTAAGTACCGAGTCACTACTACAGAACTTGAGTAACTGTACTTTTACTTATCCGCCCATTTCTGTTGCATTGTTATATATGTTTTCTTTTGGGGGCTTATCTAAACTTTTGTCACAATGGTATTCCCCCATCTTGTTTCAATTTTGTTTCCCAGAAATCCAGACTCTTCTAAATTGGCTGGAGAGTTTCCGCCTATGTCCCAGTGACGTCTGCACCAGCACACATTTCATCCAAACTATTTATGTGTGTGTGTGTGTTGTAGTGAAAAAGGAAACTACTCGACTCCATGACTCAATCTCTCCTCCTCAGAAATAGCCCAGACCCTCCATCACATAACAGTCTCTTTGTGGGTTTATTTTCATTCTTACGCTTTCTTTCACTCCTATAGGACCGCTGCAGGAGACTGAGGCTCACGCTACACGACCAAACTCAGCCAGGAGAACAGCAGCGGGACAAGGTAAGGACTTCCTATAACTCAACGATACAGAAATAAGCGGTCAGCGGGTTGCATCAGTGTTGTCGTGATTGTTGTAGACTCTGGTGGGTTCTATAGGTGCAAGATTGTAAATAAAACTGCAGTAAGTATTACTATGTGACAAATTAGTTATATCATTGTATAGTGTGCATGAACAATTACGTAAGAGTCTTCTATCTTATCATGGCAACTCAGTAAATGTCAGTGTATTGTGACCGTAGCATGTATATAGTGTAGGTTCTACATTTGAATATTATATAAGTAATTTTCCTCGGTTTCAGTAGTAGTAGTAGTAGAAGTGGTAAAAGGAGTATTAGTAGTAGTATTAATGGTAGTAGTAGTAGTAGTAGTAGAAGTGGTAAAAGTAGTATTAGTAGTAGTATTAATGGTAGTAGTAGTAGTAGTGTTGAAAAAGCACCAAAATACTAGTAAGTAGTTATGGTAATAGAGGTTGTAGTCAAAACATGGTCAAAGTAACCACATTCATTCTTGCACAGTTTTAATCCCATTCATGATTTGCAATAACCATGAACAACTGTGTGTGTGGATTAACTTGAAATTGCCTAATAAGTTGTGTTGTGATAGTGAAGTAACCACTAAAGCTATTACATTCCTGCATAGCTAATTCTTTTACCCAAGTACGGCACCGCACAGCTTTTAGTTTCTATTTACTCTCTGCATCACAGTGTGTCTCAAGGCAACCATTGTTCTGTCCAATCGCAGTACCAAAAAAGGACCACCAGGACAGTGCAGTTACATAACTGCTCAGCCCGCCCTCTGGATCTCTGCTCTGGGTCTGTCCACTTCTTACGAAAGAGACAACAGATGTTTAGTGATATAATTTGGAAGAAAAAAAAGATATATAATTTGTTCTGACAAGTGTTGCAATTCATGTTTGATTTGCAAAATATGTTTCAAGAATTATTATTTAATGCAGAGAGCATGTTTTCATATAATTGTCAGCCAACAAAATTCACAAACTAGGATTATGCTTTGGTGATTATCATAATAGGAAAAATTAAAAAACTAAACTTTGACGAACTTCAGATTCAGAATGGGCAGAAAACTAAGACAGAATCACATCCATTTCAGAATATGTTTGTAGAAGTCTGAACCAGTATGTGCAGAGAACAATATAAGACTAAATAACTGCATTAAAGCCTTTGTGATTTCAACTTTTAATACTGCAAATTTGATTTATTGGTGCAGCTTTTGAGTTCACCTTATTTGAAAAGCACTGATGATTATCTCAGAGCCATTATCTCATGTCTCTGGAAAAAAAAGGGTAGAGGAAGTTGTCTTTTTGTGATGCAATGTTAGCTTTGTGCTATCTCTGCCTTTCACTTATTGTTTGGTGATTTTTATCTAAAATACCTCTTCTGTTTACTCCGCAGCCTGTTGGACGGGCTTTTGCCTTGGTGCAGCCTCCAAGTGAGCGGACGTTGCCCCCTGAACCCTCCAAGTCCACAGAGGAGCAGGTGGAGGTCATCAAGGTGAGAAGAACCACTTTTTTTCCATCATTAGATCTAGTTACATAAGTTTGCACCTCACTGACTGACTCCATGGAGAAGTTATAGCTTTGTCTGGAATGTGCGTGCTTGTGTGTCTATATCACCATGGCGCTATTAGACCAAGTTACAGAGCAGATCTGTGGAAAATCAACCCATATCACTGTAAGAATGCATGTTTTTGTTCAGCAAGATTAATATAAAATAGCACCACAAGCAAAGCAATAAAATCACCATGAAACGTTACGCAGTGCAGCTTTTAAAGAGATCGTTTTAACCTTTTCTTTGTCCTGTTCCAGATTTATCTCGAAGCGCGTCGTCAGGAGCAGCAGAAGCAACAGCAGAGCCTGAAGATGTTGTCTGATGAAGTGTCTCAGATTCAAGAGGTCAGTTTGGACGTGAGCATTCTCGGGGTCTTACCTCAGAGCTACAGACATTGTTTTTGCATCATATAAATCATTTCGGGCTCTCCTCTCCCTGCGCCTCCGCCCTTATTTTCACAGCTCTTATAAGTTTGGGTTGCGTTTTCATTTCTCAGTGATAGACCCTTCTGCTATCATGACTGGACCATTTCTGACTCTTGCTGTTGTTTAGTTCTTATATTTCAGACAATTAGGTAAGAAGGGATCTACTTTCTACCTGAGCATTGTCTGAGATATTATAGAACAAAATAACAGTTTATATTACATTATTATAAGGAGAAAAGATCAATTTTTAACTCTTTGTTTACCAAACAGGTGCGATACAGTTTGAAGACACTAAGGGAGCAGATGGCAGCCAAAAACAAGGTAAGGCTATTTTGTCCTGATGTACCTTTGTTGTCATTTTGCTATTGTTAACTTTAACATCCTGTACTCTGCATGGAATTTCCTGCATTTCTCCTATCCTGCTTAAAGGGTAGGGCGAGTAAGTCTATACTTTTGAACACGTGGGACTTAAATTTCATTGTAAAATCTGATCTCTTGTGAATAGACAAAGAATAGGCCTAGAATTGAGATAGTTGCTTACTGGAGAGTTTTAAAAATAAATAAATAAATAAAAGCAATATTAAATCAGAACTATTTCTCTTTAGTCATCTGTTTTCCCTTTCTCTTGTGTCCAGACAAACGGGTGGAGGACTCCTTTCAAAAAGAACACCTCACCTGCACCCAAGGAAGACACAAAAAATGGTGCACAGGTAAGCACTTCTTTAAGACTTTAAGTTTGATCCTGGTTTGATCCTAGTTTTGTCCTCATGAAGACTTGATTTGGTCCTGTTCTTGTCCTGGTTTCGTCATGGTCTCGTCTATGTTTAGTTCTGGGTTTAGATCCAGCTTTGATGTAGTGTGTGAATATGTGAATATAGCCTTAACTATATCCAATTTAGGGTGGTTTTCGCACTGGTTTGAGCCCACGTTTAGCTCCGTTGAGGATTTGCTTTTATCTCGTTTAAGTCTTGGTTCAGTCCTGGTCTAGTTGCGGTTTAGGGTTTAGTTAATTAGACCCAAATTTCTATGAGGTGTATGTGTAATTGCGAACACACCCTTACATAAGTGTACCAGTTTTGGATCTATGTCAACAGTAGTTACATTTGCCCTAAACAATGTATTCTATAAAGCATTCCCTTTCACTTGTACTAAGCCAGGTGTTAAGTTTACAACCTGGAGTCAGCTTATCAAGCATGTGAACAAAACAAGCGCTCCTGGCCCCGAGGGTGTCCCAGAACGTGCACGAAGCGCTGTCGCTGCACAATCCGTTCTCTTTGTGGTGTGCTTTATTAGGTTCAGGCCCCATTGTTCATCACATTCCAGCGCCGCCATATATCTGTAATGGTTTTGTTGGTGCCTGAGACCCACCCACTTTCAGCAGCTACTACAATTTGCATTTCAGTATCAAAACAGACATGACTGTACACTACATGGTCTGTCTGTTTGGCACTAATTATAGTTTTTAATGTGAGTCATATTAAACTCTGTTGTTGTATTGCTGTGTCCATTGGTTTTGGTCCAACTGCTCTGACGCACATGGACACGCCTGTTGTGCTGGGACAAACCCAAAGGACTCTCTATGAAACAAATGTTTAAAGATTACGTAATTCACAAAGTATCACTGTGATTTTTCTCATTAGGAAATGGAGGAAGAAGCTGAGAGGGCCAAACTGAGAGAAGTGAGCAAACGCCTTTATGCACAACTCCAGGAGGCAGAGAAGAAGCACCAAGAAGAAAAAGAGAGGCTACAGGTAAAATGCACTTAAACATTATCGCTGGACTGCTCAAGTCATTTTTGCACAATTTTTGTATCATTCAACTATCCAGACCCTCCTCCATCTGTAGGTGTAATTTATTTTGCTGATAATAACTGTGATGCTGGTGTATTAAAAGTTTCAAAAACATTTATATCACGTTAAAGTTTATTGTACTTTAAATCTTAGCAGAATGGTAAATGAGCTTCTTAATTTAGTTGCCAAATCCTATGACTAAATCCAGCAATAAACACAAAATTGCTCTAATTCAGCTCTCAAACTTTTCATATCTACTTACACCTATGAAAATGTCTTGCCTTCCATGTAGTACCAGATCTAAACCAGGTCTAAAACAAGACTAGACCAGATCTAAACCAGGTTTTAAACAAGACTATACCAGATCTAAACTTGGTCTAAACCAGTTTTAAAATAGGACTGCAGTATGACATGAGTAGTTCTACAAAGCCAAAAAAACTAAATCAAATTGACAAATTAAACAAATATTAGAATTGTGGAGAAGTACCACAGTCTGACAAACACTGCTCTATTGGATTTCACATCTCTTCAATATTTGACAGTTAACGGCATCCTGAGTTCAGTTGTGATTGTGTTACCATTCCCATAACAGTAGGAATGAATATTATAATCCATAATTAAGGCCTTCAGCTCCCTTAAGCCAAACAGAACCAAGTTATAATTTTTTTTTTTCCCCCAGGCTGAAGGTAACCAGCTGAAAGAGCGTTTAAGTCATCAGGAGGACAAGTTAAAGAGCGCAGAGGAGGCCAGTGAGGAAAAAGACAAACGAATTGATGAACTGCAAAGGCTTCTGGGAGGAATGGAGCAGGAGAGCGCCACCTTGAGGGAGGCCATTCGCAGCAAAGAGGAAGAACTGCTCGAGTTACGCCAGATAAGAGAGGGGGGCCATAAAGACGTGCAAAGGTCAGCTCACAATAACAATTCAACCCATTCAAGCGCTTGGGGTGTAGAGTAAAGGCTATGGTGGCATTAGTGGCCTTAAATATCAGTTATTGTTTCTATTCAGGTTAGTTTTTAAGCAGTCTCTCACTTAATATTGTTTTTATATCCTTAAACTTATTGTAATTTTGTCTTATTAATCATGTGTGAAATGTTGAGATGTGTTTAGTTTAATTCACAATGTTTGAGTAATCCTGCATCTTTAACTCACCAAGTCCTTATACCATCTACTGACTACAATTTACATTTTACAATATATAAATTGTGATACCCACAAACTAATCAATAGAGTATTGTGATAATGTTTGTTTAAAAAAGGTTGTCTTTGATAGGCCACCATAGCCTTCTCTATATACAACACTTTTCTCTGTCAGTATGTTAAAATGGTGTGCACTTTTAGGACTGAGCAGTTGGAGAAGGAGGTGGCAGTTCTGAAGGAGAAGATCCACCATCTGGACGACATGTTGAAGAGCCAACAGAGGAAAGTCAGACACATGATTGAACAGGTGAGACCCTCATGTGACAGTCCCCAAACACAAACACACCCATGTATGTATATATGTGCTCCTCTCCTCCTCTGTGTCTATATATGTGGCCCCCTCTGTGTTTGTGTAATATCTCAGTGTGGGTATTTGTGCAGAGCTTATGTCTGACTCTGTGTTTGTCTACAGCTTCAGAACTCACGCATGGTGATCCAGGAACGGGACCGCGTCATCAAAGAGCTGCAGGAGAAGGTCGCATTTCTGGAGGCTGAAGTGAGTATTTCACCTTCTATCATAACTTATATATTGATTGACTACATTTATTTGAATAGTGATGGTTGATAAAAAATAATAATACTAGGATAATTTTGGGGATATTCAGAACTGAGACCAGTGTGTTTTGGGGCATTATGCTGCTTGTCTCCCTGAAGATGTTATTGCATTCCACAGTACAGCATTAAACTTATGTAACTTGCATTTATTCACAAACAGGTTTTTTATTGCTAAAAATATGACCTGTAACTTAACCTGGGGAAATAAACATATCTATCTCCATGAACCTAGATTTGTGTTATGCCATTCTATGAAACATTAGCCAGGCTGGCACCACCCAGTGCTCTCCGCTCAATTTTATTTCTCTCGTAACTTGGTCAGGAATCAAAACACAGTATACAGTTTGCAAGAACCCCGGAAGTGTGAGTCCAGGCACCAGCCAATCAGTGAAGAGCCAGACATTCTGTGTTGGCAATGATTCCTGAGATCGAGGATGTAAAGCCAGAACAAAGAGAATATTTGTTGAATTTTATCAAGGGGAAAAACGTTATTGTACTTCTTCCTATGGGATTTGGGAAAAACTTAATACACCAGTTAGCCCCGTTAGCGGCGTATTACAGACGTCATGAGCAAATAGCAGCAGTTGGTTAAATAAAAAAAAGTACCCACCTACCGTCGAGCGAACAAATTCTTACGCTGCAAGGTCAGCCATTTCCACAAATTGAAACCGGCTGATGAATCAGGCTAATGAAACATTCCAGGCTAAGCAAAAACATCTTAACGGGGACAATCAGGTGGCTGCTCTAGAAAAATCACAGAGTGCACCTTTAATATTAAAACACATTCCTCTCTTATTCATGGGTTCAGAACAATCATTTGGTAACAGTTTGCCCATCGCTCACTTTGTGCATGTGATCTGACTTTTGCTTTGTTTTTGTGCAGAACCGAGAGATGCATGATCAGATGGACTATTTTCTGGGAGGTCAGAGGTCGAATTCCTACCTGTCGGTAGAGCGCAACCCACAGATTGTCTACAGGTAAATATTAGTGAGCAATTTCAAACAAAGCATTTAGACAGCCATAAAACATAATGGTTTAACTGCGTTGTTGTGTAAACATGGCTAATTGTTGGGTCGATTCAAGAAGGAAAATCATAAAAGTGCATGTTTATCTTAAGAGGAAATGATAACAAATTTATTCATAGATATAATTTATTAGTATTGATTTGGTATTTGCAGAGTCGAAGTGACATGCAGAACAGAATTGTAATTTTGAATGCAATTTTTGTAATTTATTACCTTGACTAATTTTAGATTTTCTTCTTTACAGCAAACCAATTAAGCCAACAACCTCATCCAACAAACCACTCCCGTTCATCAAAGTCATCGAAATCAAGTCATGAAGTGAACTATGAAGTCAGAAACAGATTATAAACTACACTACTCTCAGTCTGTGAATATTTTGAATCAGAGCTTGTGGTGATCTTGTAGCAGCTCTGTCAACTCCCTCCACACCACATACAGACTATGTTGGGTTCACCTGGCATCACAATATTGTATACTGTCCATTGAGGTGGAGGGTAGGTAAGACTACTAGAAGATTTGCCTTTAACCAAATTACAAATCATTGCTATTTTGACTAGGTTCATGGTCAATATTTCTGTAATTACCAGGACTATCCACATGAATCAAAACCTGGTAATTCAAAATTCAACGTCTTTTCTTTCAGTAAAAATGTCACTTTAGTAATAAAAGGTGGTGACATTATTTAAATGTATAATCACAAAAATTATTTTAGTTGACTGAATATGGTGAGCTTATGGACCCAACCCTGACAAAACAAAAAAACAAAACCAACAAGAATGTTTTTAGGATATTTTTGGAAGCTTCATTTGCCCTCCATTTGAAATTATGACTTTAACTTCTATGTATGTCGTGAACGCAACCACCTTTAATTAATTTTAAACTTTGACATAGATAGATGTAGTAGCTTGTGTGCATTCAAAGCTCTTCATTATACACTTTATCTTGCCATGTATGATGACCTTTAACCCACGAGTGTCACTGTTGTGTCTGAGTTGACGTGCAAAGTACGAAATGACAGACGTTTAGCCAAGCAAAACCCATATATGGCACTCAAAGTAGCACCATGTTAAAGCTATCAGATTGAATCATATTAACTAACCTGACTGTTCCCTTTTAAGGTGAATACACTTTGTAATGTAATGATCAGTGTAGAATGTATAGGGTGTTTCTAACAAGTGGAGTTTTAATGTTTTAGTAGTTTTGAATCTCAATGGCATTATGGCATTTTCTAACATTGGTAAATGTTAGTGTGAGTAGCTTTTTTCTTCTTGTAAAACATTTCAGTTCTCTGTTTCTCTGTAAGTAACTACTAAGTGTGTAAATATTATTCTTTGTCAAGAGTTGTAACTGTAATATCTTCTCTTAGTTTCTTTGTACTTATTTATTAACTTTAAACTCTTGTCAGACTGTTTGATGTGAGATTTTATATGAAGTATATTCAAATTGGTTTTGTGTTTGACGCTTCTAATAAAAGTTTTTAAACCATTGTATTGCTGTTTAATGTTGTCACAATACTAGAATTTCACTCAGTTTTGATACTAAGGAATAGATTTGATACTCAACACAATGACATTTTTAAAATACTTTCTTTAAACAAAAAAATGACTTTCAACATAATCATCATTTTCAAGATCATTCTAAAGCTATTAAAAATTTCTGTGATAATTAACAATGTCCTGTGAATGTTAATTTTTTAGTATGGATACTTGTTCAAATTAGTATCCAGTTTCTATACTAGTTAAAGCATCGATTACCATCAGAGTTTTAATACTTTTAACAACCCTACTGCAATGTTATAAATTCTGTCACGAAACTTAAGTACAAGGGCGCCCTCTGCTGGAAAAACATTCACACGACAAATAGTTTTTTTTTTTTTGTTTGTTTTTACAATTTTACTCAAGCAGCAAATTGTAAGGCAATACATGTTGGCTCTATTTTCCTTAATAAAGTACATTATATTGTTCTATTGGCAGTAACATGACAATACAGGAGTGAGTAAATCAGTATAGTTTTGTCTTTTCAAGTATGGCTTTTATAAAACAAAGATTAAGGCCAAACAAATACAGGCACAGTGTGTAAACAGAAAAGACAAGATACTCGACATAACATTGGTGTTGTACTCAGTGAAGCCCATTACCTTTTACTGTTGTAGGTCATGGCACAAATGCAAACAGTGGACGTGCTAAGTTAGTGTAACAATGCTGCATAGCTTCATACTGTGCAATAAATACTGATTGTCTGATGCTAAATATATTTTGGTCAAACAACTCTTAAGTGCAATGGCTTTTTTGAGGAGACAGCCGTGCGGTAACAGTAAAAGCAACTATAAGTATTGTGTGAGTGCTTTGATATGTAGTAGGCTGTAAACCAGGCTTTCTGTGCAGGTACAAAGTAGGGATGTAATGATATCCAAATCTCATGGTACGGTATCTATTGCAATAATTTGGAGATGTCAACTTAATTTCTGAAATGCTACTTTTTCCTCTTAAAATGTCTTCAAAAGACTTGAAGGGAATCATTAGTACCATAATCCAAAGAAATAACAGTTATTTCTTCATGTTGTCTGCACTGAAACAGCGCAAAGGATCATGGTCTATGTAGTTTCCTCTGTTTTTTTAGCTGCTACAACAAAACAAGGCATTTAAGCAAAGGAGCTTTGTGATTCGTTACAGTGTGACAGACCATGATATTATTGTAAGACTTTCAACGATATTATATCACGATATTTCAGTTATTGTTACATCCCTAGTACGAAGGCAGTGCAGTTACGTCTGTAGGCACTACGAAGACATTCTGTTAGGCCATAGGTACTTAAAGTGTACTGTCCAGTGTGTTATAGTTGTCTTTGAAGTTCTTAAGCTCCAGAAGGTTCCTGGGTCTCTTGCGTTGGGCCATGAGGGAAGTGCTCTGGGTGGGGGAGGTGAGTGAGGTGGGTTCTGTGCTGCTGGTCAGATCTTTGGCTGCACTCTGATGCTGAGCCACAGAGGCGCTACTGCTGCTGTGGGACTTCACACTGAAACAGAAAACACATTGTTTTCCTCCACATTCAACATTCCACAGGTATTAGCTAAAAAGAACTTACAGAGATGCCAATTCATTCAAAGCTTCTTGGTATTTTACAAATTCAGCTTCTCCAAAAGCCTAAAACACATAAGAAAAACCTGTAATAATGAATTACTATTTGTATTAAAAGTAATATTAAATCAACAGTGACCTCTGAGCCGTGGCGGGCTTTATTATAACCCTCCAATACAGTGTCAATGAGAGAGCTTTGGCTGTTCTGAAATAGACAGTGTGAGGTTCGGAGCTGGAGAAGCCATGTTCGAAACCGCTTTCCTGTTACAGCTGTTGAGGCTCCACCCAGCTCACGAAAAGGGAAGTCTAACACAACAACAAGTGTCAAACAAACTGCCATCTCTATGAGAAGACTTAAACTGTTTTAGAGTGAGTAGTGCCTACCTGTATCTCTGATGGCATCTAATGCTCTCATTCTGTACTTGTAATCACAGGAAGCTGTCAAGTGCACACAGAACATGTACAATATAATATCTGTAAAATATAATCTCACCAAAACAGCAAAGGCAGTAAAGTGCTTTTCTTACCCAACGTGAGCCTGTCGTCATCTGGAGAGAGCAGACGGGGCTCAAACTGAATCCTTTGGACCTGGTGCAGTTTGGCTTCTATCAGTTGTCTCAGCTCCTATAAAATAAACAAATCATGAGCAGAAGTATAACCAACATTAAAATAGACCATATGCTCAAGTCTCAATATAGGTTGATGTTTTAATTTATTTGATCAACAATCAGTCACTCTATGCTCTGCTTTACTTAAATAGCCTACACATAAACCTTGTTTAACAAAAACCTTGATCAGTATCAGCAGCTCTGTGGTATCACCTTAGGGGCGTTGTGTCCGATAGGAGCGTGAGGTCCTCTTCTGGACTTCATGGCAAACCTCATTATTTGTCTTTTCATGAAGATGAACAACAAAACAAACACCTACAATAAAGAAGACTTCTAGGTCAATACGACTTTACCATTAAAAAAGTAACACATGTGTAACATAAACATGTTAACACCCTGACAGAAAGACTCACCAAACTTCCATAAGCCATCACAAGCACGACGTTCACGCTCGACAGAGGAGGTTCACTCGCCATCGCGGGGCTGAGCGTTCAACTTTCACAAAGTATGACTCTTTAATTGTAATGTAAACAAAGTAACAATTCATAATACTTCCAAAAGTTTACTTGTTAGAGACATGTGTCTTGAGTCCTAACCTCTAGCTAAAAAACACTGGGTAGAAAGGTAGAAAAAGAGCGAAAGTGCCTCCAGTTGTTGCATTTTGCTGCAGGGCAGCTCCGTTTGTTGACTTCCGCCTTAGTCACGTGACTTCAAATAGTACGTCTGACGTAGGGAGACGCACGCTCGTGGTCTGTTCTGCCACCTGCTGACAGGGATAATGCACCTGTCAGCACCTGCAGCAGTTGGGAGGTGTTTATCGTTTTATTCAAATGTGCCGCTCAAAATATGGAAAACAGCCTTTGGCTTTAAACGGTTTGATTTTTTTCTATACTTCATTTTTCCTCCCGCGCGAGCGATCCACGAGTGTCCGCATCCCACACCAAAACAATGAAGAAACTTGTATCTGAGTGAATTGGCCAAGCTCCATTTGCATTCGTCCTGTAGAAACAATGAGCCCTTTAGTGTTTATCAGGCCCACTGTGGGAGCTGGAGCACTTTAACCCACTCATAACAGTTATCTCTGCTAGACATTTGCACATGTGCCTGTGGGTCTTTGCATGTGATTGAATCTTGAATGCATTTGGTTAAGTGTCTCATGCTTTTTCTCTTTGCATTTTTACAGACAAACTGGGACTTCACAGCACCAGTCTGTGAGCAAGCTCAAGCGATAACCACAACTTCCTTTGACCCAACTAAAGCAGAAGGTGTAAGAAAAACTCATGAAAGCGCCAACATCTCTAACTGTAAGTCTTTTTATACGTTTACTTTTTCCCCATTTATTTTTTTGTACATGTGTTTGTATAGATTGCCCAATACCCTATCAATTTCTGTTACCCTCAAACTAATAAGATATTTTTATTTTAATTACCGTCTAGAATTACATTTCATTTCCTCATTTAGTCTCAGGGTTAGTTTTCATATGATTTGATCTTTGTGTCTGCTCAGTCTTGGTTTAATCCATAGTAGGGTTGTCAAAAGTATTGAAAATCTGATATTAACCAATGCTTAAACTAGTATTGAAACTATACACTAATTTGAGCAAATATTTGATACTAAATAATTCACAGGATTTCACAGATATAAGACCACATGGTAATATAAAAGAAAGTACTTTGATTTAATGTTTAAACTCACAATCTTTTGAATGATTTTTAGAATCACTATTGTATCAAAAATGAGTGTGGGGTCTATTCTTTAGTATTGAAACTGAGAGAAATAATACTAATCCATATTTGTTTAAGAATGTAGGTAATTTATTCATTTTTATTTCCCGTGGAAGCAAAATTATATTTGAGAGAGAATGAGAGATAAATTCAATCAGCTCTGCTTAGTGACAGTTTAATGGGTGTTGAGCTGTCACTTATAATAAGACACAGACACAGTTGATCGTCAGTATGCAGACACTAGACTGTTTGCGGTAGATATAACAATTCCCCAGACACGTTTCTATTGTAGTTATGTTTCATTCATTATGCCATCAGTGGCTGCGGTTACATTCACTCTCAAAATCTTATTATTATTCATTTTTATAGTTAAAAGTTTAGTAAAATAATATCTAAACAGATCATCACATGCTCTTTGATTACTCACATCACATTGTGCAGTTTGCATGCCCTTAAAGTAATTTTTAAAAATTTGAAAAAAGTGACGACAGCCAGTGTTTCCCATTGATTTCTACTGACACTAGAGGTGGGAGATATATTGAAATTGATATTATTGTAATTGTTGTTTTGGATATATGTTAAAGTAGAATATTATGTATGTTGTTTATAATAATACTTAGGAAGATTGCCAAAAGAGATGATTCAAAATTAAAATAAAACACACTTGCGGTGTAGCCTCTATCTGTATATTTATGGTTAATTTTACAATCTATTTTCACTTGTGTGCAGGACTTGAACCTCAACCATGACCTTTACAGTCAGTCACATTTCTGACGGACTGCCATAATATTTATCTGCCAATGTATGTATTATCGCACTTGTTTTTACATTATGAGGGAAGAAAATTAGACTTTGGGGGGGCCACCCTTCTCCCTCCATTGATGGGAAATGCAAGAAGATCTGTGTTTAACAATATTTATCCCCGTTGGTATTTCCTGCTCTTACATGATCCTTATGTTGTCTCTGGTCCCAATTAAAGACACTGTTATTATGTATTTTGATACCTGCACAGCCCAGACTATTAGGTTGCCTTAGGTGTGGTGACACTATAAGCCAGTATTGGGAAATGTCACTCTGCTTACATTCCAAACTATTATTGTATATTCTCTGCTGCCTCTAGCTACGAAATGCTAAGAGCCATGTGTTGTCAACAAAGAAACATTGTCCATAGGTGAATTGTCTTTTCAGGCTTTAGTAAAACATTTAGTGCTAGATAGTTAAGAGTTAAAGTAAGCTGTGGTATTAAATAGGGAAGAAGGCGCGAACAACAATAGAAGGGGGAGGAGAGAAAGACACAGACTAAACTACAGGAGGTAAAACCAGTGGGGCAAGTTGCAGACATTGTATACACTGCATCATGTAAAGTAGATGGAGAGAGAGAGAAGATTTGGACGAGAGCAAGCAGTGGATTTAATTCCAGGACATTGATTTAAAAACACAAAATGGAGTTTAATGAGTGGTGACTTTTACAAAGGTAAGATCAAATCAGATTAGCTGTCTCTTATATCCTTGTCTTTATTGCTATGTGTGTATTTGTCCCATTTGTAGTTGGCCGATCAGTTCCTGGAGTGAGTGAGGGGAGTTAACCTGCCCGGATTATGTGGATGGGACAACAGGTGTGCGCGTAAATTGACACCAAATTTAAAATGTCTCTGTGCTGAGATATCTAAACTGAACTGATTATACTGACTATCTATACATTCAGTGACTTGTGGAGTGATCAGAGAATTTGTAACAGTGCTTGAGATAGCATTTTGACTCGGTCTCACGCTCACTCAAGCCAGTATCTTGTTGGTTTAATCTTTGCCAGGGTTTTTCTGTCACCACGGTTACACTGTTTTACCTGATAGCACATAGCACATATATATATAAAAGCAGCTTAATGTACTGGGCTTTTTGCAATGTTTACGCTGCGTGGATTGCCGTTGGGTGAGTTTTTCCAGTTTTTGCTCCTGGTTTTGCTGACGCTGACTAGTATTGTGGAGTATGTCACTTATGTAAACAGCAGTCATGATGCGCAGGCTTGACAGGGTAGATTGTTAGTAAACCTGTTGCGTGAATTGACTCAATGGGTGGAAATGTGCAGAATGTGTGAGCAACATATGTAAGACACGACACAAATGACAGGGTTTGTGGTCTCGTGGTTTCTACTGATTGTATATTTATTTCTTTAAGTCTGTGGTTTTTAAAGGGCTTATATATATATGTGTGTGTATATATATATATATGTATGTGTGTGTGTGTATATATATATGTATGTATGTGTGTGTGTGTATATATATATATATATGTGTGTGTGTGTGTGTATATATATATGTATGTGTGTGTGTATATATATATATATGTGTGTGTGTGTGTATATATATATATATATGTGTGTGTGTGTATATATATATATATATATATGTGTGTGTATATATATATATATATATGTGTGTGTGTATATATATATATATATATATATATATATATATATATATATATATATATATATATTACACCATTTTCTTTCTTATAATGTTGTTTTCTCATCTAAAACATACTTTGCGTTTTGTTTCATTCACACATGTTTAACACACAAACCCTGCATATTTAGGCTGACTTATTCTCTCAAACAGAAAACACGCTATTTCACCTTGTGATGTCATGTGGTAATAGAGGAAGTGCTCCACTGTGTTTTCAAATGCCATAAACCTTCACTAGAATAATTTGGATAACTTCAGCCCAGGCATTTCCAATCTCTACTGAACAAAATGTAAAAGGAGCTGTTCACCTAAACTACTACTTCATGACATCACAAAGTGGAACAGGGCATTTTGAGCTTTTGAAATGTAGACAAACGTGTAAATGAAACAAAACACAACTCCAGGTATGTTTTTGAGGAGGTAACAACATTCTAACACGACCTAAAGCTCACAAGAGTCAATTCTGTGTAATATTGGACCTTTATACTTTTGTTTAAGTTAATTGTGTAAGTACCTCATAAAAACTAAACAGTAGTTCTAAATAAGGACTAACTCAAAGGAGGACAAAATGTGAATAAAACTGGCAAACTCTACAAATGCAGAGGAACCCAGTTACCTCAAGTAGTACATTTTTGAGAGTAGCACAAGTTTGAGAACCACAGGTACAGTTTTTTGGTATGAAAAAATTGGTTCTTAGTGTGAACGGGGTCACCTTTTCACAGATCTGATCTGGAACTTTGCCTGGACCTGTTTGTTTCTAGTATTGATAAATTGAAATAGGGCCCAGGAGAGATTATTAAGCTACTCAAACAAGAATGGATGACATATAAAACCTTTCCAGGCTTGTCTCTGATGAGGGAACATCGATTTTGCACAATAGCCCCTTTAACTGTAATTCCCTCCCTAATTTTTGTTTTCCTACTTTTGTTTTTACGAATCATTGTTTATTTTTTTTGTTCAGCAGATCAAGATGGCTGTTTTCTGAGGACGTCATCAGCTCCTGGGGACCATGGATTTTCTCTCAACTACTGGGAGAGAGTACACCACGCAGACAGGGGCGCATTTCACTATCCGATCTGCCAACTCTTTGTCTTACAATGAAACACGGAGGCCTCTGAGGACTGCTAGGAACCCACGGGAAGAGGAGGAGAGCAGGGACAGACCCGGAACAAGGACTGAATCAAGACTTCATTATCAGCCGAGAACCTGCAGTGGGGTCAACAGTCAAAATTTGGAAAGAGACAAATCGCTCATAAAACAAAATAGCTTACAAGATAACAGCTCTAAGTACGACCAAACTGAAAACTCAGAGAGACAAGGTAGAACGGAGTGGCGGAGGAGGAACTTGTCTAACAGGAGTAAAAGTTTGGATTGGAGAAGTGGAGACAAAAGTCCAGAGCGATCATGGAGTTCTAGAGGGGACATTCTTAGTAGGACAGGGGACAGAGGGGCAGAGAGGACTAGAGTAATGTCCACAGTATACGCCTATAACACCGTAAACAAACCCAATGACCTGGACACTTCTCAAAGCAAAGCCAGAGGACAATCTTTGCCATCTAGATACACGTCTGTCTCCCTTGGGCCAAAAGGAGGTCAGAGTATTTTGGAGAGGATTGAGAAACTTTATGGATCTGTGGGGTTTGGCAACGCAGAGGATTACAAAACCACAGAGTCAATGACGCCTTATAAGGGATCGTTTAGTGGTACCTTTCCCAGACGCTTCTCAACAGGTGAACAGAGAAGGAGTTCAGGGCAAAGCGGGAATTCTCTGCCGTGGACAGGTTCTAAAGATACTTCTGTGTCAACGTTTCCAGGACTAAACAGGACCACAACATCAGGGTGGTGGCAGAACCATGCTGAAGGAGGTACTTTTCAAAGCAGAGGGTTTACAGATATAGGTACAAGATCACTGGATCGGGCAAGGAGCAGATCAACATTAGCGGTTAAACTCAGAGCCGCCCGGGCTGCAGAAGAAATGGACAAACCACAACAGTCCAACTATTTTCTTAAAGGTATATCTGAAGTAAGTACAACGCCTCACAAAGAGGAGATAAATGCAATGGAAGATATGGACCAGAAAAACTGGAGTAGGATGACGCTAAAAGAAAGAAATCCTGGGGAAAAAATCCAAATAGAAGACAAAACCTCTCGAGGACAGATGTGGCTGAAAAAACAACGTTCATGTGACGATGTGTTCGATTCTCAAAAACCCAAGATCACGTCCATTGAAAATAAGAATGACAAGTCGGTTGCCATGTCAGCTGCAAGTGTCAGGAATAAAATCAACCAATTTGAAGCTTTGACACAGCGAGCTCAGACCAGTTCTCCAAGGAGGGCATTTTCAGTGCCAGAACATCTCAGTAAAAGCTATAATGGGGTACAGAGGAGCAGTTCTGCAAAAGCTATAGGCTCATTGAAGTGGGGAGGGCTGAGAGAGGAGCAAACAGATATCAACACGTTTCTGTCAGCAGCAGAGAAAGAACCAAACCAGAAAAAAACTATGAAGAAAGAGACTGATATAAAAGCGTTCTATGATGATTCTAAATTTAAGAGAGTTACAGATCAAGAATTCCAAAACACCAAAGATTCTAAGGGATTTAATGAATATTCCAAGACAGATCTGTACCTTCCCATTAGTAAAGACCCCGCTCCAATTACTAATATTAATATTGATGAGACTGATTTCTCTAAAATTGTGAGTACAGTGAAGTTAAGAGGCTTCAGTGCAAGCAGTGATTCTGATATTTCTTCACCAACAAGTAGCGACAATGACAAAACTCCCACAAATACCCCCGGTACCTCACCCCTCCTGTCTCCCACCACATTTCCTCAAAAGACGCCCCCCTTAACTTTAAACAACAATTCCTTGGATATTTCTGCTCCACTTACAAGCAACGAACCTGATATAGTCTCCAAGGATACTTTGAATGGGAAAAAGCGAGTTCTGGACCTAAATGCATGGTTGGATGGTTTGAATCCACAAATAAAAGCCTGGGAAGATAATAAAGAGGAGGATGATGATAGCACGGAAAAAGATGAAGATTCAAACTACGATTCAGATTCAGGCGAGTCCTCGGTCACAGTCACCAGTGCGATGAGCAATAAGAGCTTCTCAGTCAGGTGAGTGTTGTGATGTAATATAATTACAGTAGTAATTACACATGGGAGTAGTCAAAATGCTTTGTAGTATTAATTGCTAATAAAATGATTAACAATTAGAGACATAATATCAATCATATCTTTATTTTTTTCTCTTTTATTAATTTAATGAGACAGGGACAGTGCATGTATACATTAACTTTATAAAGAGAGATGCTTTATACCTGTAGTCCCAGGGGAGGCTGATGATATAGTTATATTAATCAGATTAACAGCAAAAATATTAAAAAATGTATGTATTTAAAGTAATAAAAATCTGGGCAATGTGGGAAGAGGAGCTAAACTTTTATTCAAGTAGAAGTGCTGTAATGTCAGAATTGTATTACAATGGGCAAAACTGTAAAATTGTAAATGTATGTTGGGGTAAACCTTGTCTTAAAGTTTTTTAAGTAAATACAATGAAGTAAATTGAAGTCATCACTGTTTGTATTGTCATACTGAAATTAATTGATTCCAATACTCAGAAATAGGCTCAATACATAATACCAATTATTTTCAAACCACAATGTAATTCACTTTTAATTTCATTAAATTTTTGTTTTCCATTAGGCTATTGATTCTTATTAAAATGAGAATCTAGTTATGATGCTTATTCTTGTATTGATTTGTTTGTATCTGAGCATTTTTTTAGATGAGTTTTAATGGTGACCTTTTCCACAGTCTTGCAGATCTGTGTAACTTTGCTGGGGTGGATTATGACTCGGAGAATGACAGTGACGAGTGGCAGTCAGCAGGGCGGCGCTCTGCCTCTTTGAGCTCGGACATGTCTGGGTTTTCTTATGTGTCTGTGCTGCCCCCGGAGGAGCTGGACAAATTAATAGAGGATGTCAAGAGTATTGGAGACAACAACCTGCAGGTACCAACACAAACTAGGTCTGCTTTCTGTCAAATAAACGTAAGATTCTGACACAATCTTACCTGTCCTCATGTTTAGCTGTAGGCATTCTACATTAAAATGATGTAATGTCACTTGAAAACAACCTATTGTGTAATGGTTAATTGTTAGAGATTAGCAAGACTAATTTTTATATTGCATAATCAGCAGTCCCCATGGATACGGTGATCTTTTTGTCCACAAGACGGCACACTGACATTACTGTAATATTTATACAGTCGATGGACACAAGTCAGACAGGGGGATTAACTGTGTGGAATTGTTGTTATAATTGTTTTAAAATAATGATTTGCCCTATGGTCTTTATAAATTATACATCATAAGAATTACTATGGACAGAAAGGGAAAGAATAGACACTATACACCTTCAAATTAAGAAAAGGAATAACACTTCATATTTACTAATTAACTTGCCTTGCATCTCCTTGTATTATGTTCATTCACAGTTTTTTCTTCTGTATATGGATTGTTACCACAGCGTTCATACATTGTTAAAAATGTTATATTGTTAAAAATGTTGGATATTTAGACATTTTTGTGCTTAAATATATATTCTTATATTCTTGCAGGACTATGAGGATGTGCATGTTGTGGTTCTACATAAGGAAATTGGAGTGGGACTGGGCTTCAGTTTGGCTGGAGGGGTGGATCAGAACAAACCTGTTACTGTAAGAATATAGTTCTATTCAAATTAAAATTGTTGTTAAAGTCTCACCAAAGACTTATTTGTTTGCCTTTTATATTTGATTCTCAGGTGCACAAAGTTTTTCACGCTGGTGTGGCAGCACAGGAAGGCTCCGTAAAAGAGGGGGACCAGGTCTTGTCCATAAATGGGTCTGCACTGAGCGGTTGTGCCCACTGGGAGGCGCTGAGGGTACTGAGGCGTGCTAAGTGCCGTGAGATGGGGGTGGTAGTTCTGAAGAAGCCTGACATGAGAGCACTGTCCAATGGAAGAGTTTTGGCTGTGACCCAGGGCCCGTCCCCAACTCAAGTTAATGAGACCGGTGGGTAACAGTGAACAATGAAAACTTAAGTAGGGGTCTAAAAAATTCAGTATTCAAACCTGCAATTTTACATTGGTGTAGCCTGATATTTATGTTAATTATATTCTTAAACTCTGCTATCAATACCCCACAATAGAAAATAGTTTAGAAATTAGAAATTAGTTTATAGTGTAATTTAATAAATCAAATTAGAATTTAGTTAATCTAATCATGTAATTTCTTTCTGAACATGGGCCCTCTGATTACTCACATCAAATTGTGCAAATTGCTTATCCTTTATGTAATTTTAAAGGTTTGGAAGTAAGATAACCAGATTTTGCAATACATGTGAACGAAGCCACTGATTAATAATTAACAACTAAATATAAGTTTTTGAATGGGAAAAAGTCTTCAGAAAAGTTTCAGGAAACTGAAACACGTGAATTTCACAATGTTCATAATCCACACATATCTAGTGCTATCGTCATCACAGAAAGGTTCAAGTAACAGTTTGTCATATAGTACACATTTGGGAAATACATTTTTAAATAAGTATGAAACAATCAAATAAATCCACTGCTGCCAACTGTTGTCATCATACATTGGCAACATGCCTTTGTTATAAATAAATAACATTTACCAGCCTTAAGTGTGAACATAGTTTGAGATGCCTGCCTTAGAGTTTGAACACTGGCTGATATGTTTTGTCTGATCTTAGGTCAGTACATCACTTTGAGTTTGGAAAAGAGCGACAGAGACCTGGGCTTCAGTCTGGAGGGAGGCGTTGGCTCCAGTCTCGGCAACAAACCCCTCACTGTTCAGAAGATCTTCCAAGGTGAGATAAAGGTGCACCGTGCAGTCGGACATAGACAGTAAATCTAAAATGCCTGTAACAAATTCTGGTGTTCTCAATTGCAAAATGACATGAATACAATGCAACTACTGCAGATAATCTTTTGAACTGATCCACACAACTCTGACACAGCTTCTAATTATGTGAGTTATATAGAGTGCGGGAGTTGGCTTGACTTTTGGTCAAATTTCCATTCATTTCCCTTTGACCTACCGTTTGTAAATAGATTGGATTAGATTATTAGATGCTATCTACATTACAGTCTATGGTCTGATAGTGTGCCAGATGACAGAAGCTCAGGTGAGCCTGAACAAAGGCCAGGTGTAGAGGAAGAGGGTTCACTGTCATCTACTCATGAGATAAAATCAAATACACATACGGATGATGGCTTTAAAGGAGACCTGATTTAAAGTTGGACTTAAGTTGGTGCTTCTTTTTTATCTGAGCTGTTGTAAATTCCTTACTATAAATATATTGGCATTGTTTTTGGCACTTTGGACACTAGCAAAAAAAAAACAAAAAAACTTAGCACTTTTAAAATCTTTCCTACACATAACCAAATTTTTCAAACAAAATCACTCAAAAGAGAAAAAGTTCCATTGCTGGTTCATGTTCGGTCAATTTTAAATAGACATCAAACATTGCACAAGGAGCTACCCGTACATATTGATGCTTCACATTTGACTAAATCTACACAGGTGGTCCAGTGGGGAAGGTGGTCCCGGGCGATGAGGTTTTGGAGGTGAATGGAGTGAGTGTGGTGGGAATGAGGCGTTTGGAGGCCTGGACTCTGATCCGAAAACTGCCACCTGGTCCTGTCACCGTGGTGTTACGGCGACCACCCCAACCTCAAAACACATAGAGGTGCTTTAGTTTACACAGAAAAGAATGTTAATAATGTAACAAAATTCATTTAATCATATCACTCATGTCTGACTGTTTACACTGTGGAGATACGTGTGAAAATGTGTTTTTGAGATTTTTGGACTTGTATGAAGGTATTACAGACTAATTATTTTTCCATTTGGTAAGAAAATTGCACTTAATGAGTCAACAAAAATAGGCTACTCTTAACAAACTAGCTGTGCACTGTGAATTAAGAATGATTCAAGCTTAGTAACTACTTAATTAATCCCTTACACCCCTTGAGTAAGTTACTAAACCTACTAAACTATTTGTTCAATTATTAAGTGTTAGAAAAGTCTTACTAAATGGACAAATATCAGATAATACCTTGAAACAACCCCAAAAGTCTAGACTTACTAAACACATTCATCTAAACTATTAAAGATAAATATTCTTAGGTCAGTTTCCCTCTAAAGCACTTTTAATGCCAAAAATAAACAAAATGCCAAAAATCTACCTCAATGTTACTGTTCCACACAAAGAAGAATGCACTGATGAAGCTCTTGTAATTGTAATTGTAAAACCTGTATTAAGATGATGGCCAGCCTCTTACCACTTACCAATAATGTGACCTTTGTATGTGAACAATGCTTTTACTGATGTTGTACATATGTGTAAATTGCTGAGCACTTATTGATTTGTATTAAAATACTAAATAAGATTTTGTTCCACAAGATGGCACCAGAGTGTGTTGGGTTTTTTTTGTTTTTTTTTTACTATTTCAGTAGTTTTAAGATACTAAAATTTCAAACCCAATTTTCAACTCAAAACAATTATAGTTTCATAGATATTATCACAACATTTTATAACCTTTCTGATATTGGTAGTTTTCAGATAGTAGAATATGATTACGTGATACTACCAGATGGGGGCAAGAGTCAGATTTCTCTATTGATAATGCTGCATTTGGCATGATATATCTTAATAGTTAATTCACAAATGTTTAACCTGATTATTTGTACTAGTGATTAGACTCATTAACTTGTATAACAACTAGGGCTTGGTATCATTAACAAGCTGCTGATATGATACATACCTCAAGACATAGGCCACAATGCAATATGTATTTTGATACAGTGAGCTTTCAATTCAGTATGGTATATTTCAAATCGATTTGATACGGTTCAGTAAAAAACTAAGACTAAATTGGGGCTGTGATACTAAAATGTTTGTTAAACCACTTCTTGTACAAAGTTCAGATGAAACACATTTTTAATGATCAAAACAGTGAAAATGTTAAATGTGTTGCAAACAAATTTATTTCCTGTAAACAAGTAAACTGTAGCTGTAACATAATAATTTAGTAATACTCTTGGTGATATATCGATACAGCAGTCCACAATATCACATTAAACAATACGATATATCGATATTTTGATATTTTTGCACACTCCTAGTTACAACTAAAATCAGCATTTTAACACTATAAACTTTTCTTGCTCCTATCTGTATTAAATACTATTGGCGTATACAGTGTTATGTCATCTGAAACCCAGCAAATGACTGAGACTGTTATAAAACTATAACCAACTTTATTCTAGTAATCTGTTATTTTTTCAGTATCGCTACTTGTTCAAATGATTATCTAGTTCTGATACTAGTTTTAGTATCAGTTAGTATCTTGGTATTGATTGTTTTGACATCCCTTGTTTCCAGAAGTTTCCTTTCCTTCCTTGAACTTAAATTAGCTCTCTTTTTAAATATACTTCATCTCATTATTTGTTCACTGGTCCAGTAATATAATAATAATAATCAGTCATTCAGATTTTACGTTTTGCCGAAGCTACGGTGACATTTATCAGTACTGAGACAGATTACTCAGTCATTAATTTGTTAGTTATTGACATTAAACTAATTGAATGTACCAGAACAGCCAAAGAGGACTGTTCTATAGTACATATTTACATAGCACACCAATAACTGAAGCTTGTACATTATTGCATCATATATGTGTTACTATATGTTTAGTGTATGTCTCTTATAATGATGTAATCCAATGCAGTTTTCAAACATAAGCACAATCTCTGATAATCTTTATGGTCTTATGGCTCTGATAGAACGCCTCCAATGTCCATTGTCCAAGCCGCCGAGCGCACTCAGTCTGCCAATCCCTGAAAGTCACACGACAATAAACAGAGAAAAGGTAATGAAACAGTTTTAGGAAACGACATCGGCTCAGAGCAGCACCATGATGCAGCCGCGCTTCATGAGGGTCCGATGTGGTCTCATCAGGGAATGCATGGCAGAGTTCCTGGGGACCTTTGTTTTACTGGTAAGAACTTAATAGGAGATCTGCTTTTTGATTGTTAAAATGTACTTTTCCATTTTAACAAGCAAAAAGCAGTACCTGAGAATCAATGCATGTCCTAATGATTCTCAGGTACTGCCTTTAAACATATGTATCATTCAGCCTAAGTAAATATTTACTGTTGTTTATGGCTGATTATATTAATGAAATGTAAACAAGGAAAGTCATAATAAGCTTTTATATAAAGCTCATGTCTTTCTTTCGTCTGGTGTGGTCAGGTCTTTGGTTGCTCGGCTGCGGCACAGGTGAAGACCAGTAGAGAGACAAAAGGACAATTCCTCTCTGTAAACATGTCCTTTGCTGTGGGCGTCATGTCAGCTATGTACCTCACCAAAGGCATCTCAGGTGAGTCTCACAAGTGGACTCTTTGTAATCTTTAAATTCTTTAAACTTTTATCATTATTGTTCTCACAGGAGCCCACCTGAACCCTGCTGTATCCCTGAGCTTCTGTATTTTGGGACAGGTGCCCTGGAATCGCCTGGTGCCCTACAGTCTGTCTCAGCTCCTGGGGGCATACACCGCCTCAGCTCTGGTCTACTTCATGTACTATGGTTTGTGGTCCTGAACAAAACATCTATAACTCATGCATGTAGCATTGTTACATAATTCTTATGCATTTTACATTTTAAGAGAATGACAACTATTAAACTAAACTAAACTATTAAACTATTTGTATAAAGAATATATTTTTCTGTGTTTAGATGCCATCATGGATTTCAGTGGAGGAGAGCTCACAGTTTATGGGGCAAATGAGACAGCTTCTATATTTGCCACTTATCCAACAGAGTATCTCTCGCTGAGTGGAAGCTTTCTCGACCAGGTCTGCACATTGATTTGTGTATCAAAACTGAATCATAAAGAATGTATAAATATTATATTTGATTAGGTTGTAGGCACAGGCATGCTGATGTTGTGTATCCTGTGTCTGGGAGAGAAGAGGAACACTCCTGCTCCGGAGCAGCTCGTCCCTCCCATCGTGGCTGCCATTGTTTTGGGTATTTCTATGTCAATGTCGGCAAACTGTGGAGCAGCCATAAACCCAGCCCGTGACCTGGGACCACGTCTCTTCACTCTGACAGCGGGATGGGGCACTGAGGTCTTCACGTGAGTCTCTTATCTCTTGCTGTTACACAAGCATCTGATAATATAGGAAGTTTTTAGAGTAAACATGTTAGAATTGTAGAATATGAAAAAACATTTGTTATGCAAGTATTTTGTGTCAAAATGTGTATTACTTTGATTTTTTTCAAACAGATGTTACAACTATTGGTTTTGGGTGCCTGCGGTGGCCCCTATGGTTGGAGGAGTTCTCGGCACACTGATTTACCTGATGTTTATTGAATGGCAGCTGCCGGACCACCCCCCTGAGGACCCCCACACAGATATCAGCTTCAGTGACAAACCCAGATCCAGTGTCACATGGAACAGTAAAGATGAGCTGAAAGAGGCCCGCTTCTGAGGATTACTGTGACTCTGATTTCTATGTTGTATTGGTGAAATTAGTCTAGAAGCAGCTTTCAGATGCTATTGTTTTAGGTGGAGTTAAGGGGTCAATATTTGGGGTGCACTCTGTAACTTTACAGGTCCACTGCCAGCATGTCTCCATTGACATGCTATTGCTTTGCCTGAAATGTTTGTTATTATGGCATTAAACCTGTCTATCGCCATGAAGACAAACAGGTGACACCACCTAGAGGCGATACCCTCAACAGTAAGGATGCATTCAGGTTCCGTCGTTTGTTTGTTTTTGTAGAAACACCAGTGAAATGCAAGATATGGCAAAGCTCTAACATCTTTTTGAAGACAAGCAGCTAGTGGACCTCCCACCAGCAAAGTTACGTAGTGCACCTTTAAGACAGAGGTACTATTTTATTTTATGAAACTCATTCTTAATCATGTGGTTTTGTCTGTCAACTGTTTACAATGTAGCACTTTTATGGCATAATTTCAACCACTTTATCACACTATAGTGGGAAAAATCATTACATAAGTAAATTTGTGCCCGCATATTAAACTTTGTCCCAGTTTTCCATGTGGATAGGCACAGCAATTATGGTCTGGCATTGACCATAAACCAATCCAAACTATCTGCATTGTCAGTTCATCTATTAGTGACACCTTTGTTGTCTTTTGCTACCTCCATTTTTGTTACAAATGAAAACAACCGACTATAATGACATGTACTTGCCAAAATGACATTAATAATTGTTTTGTTAATTTGTTTGTGATGGATGTTTGACACAATGATGATAAACTGCCACAGATTTACAATAAAAAATGTATTGTGACTGCCATGTGATTCTGTGGGAAGGTCAAGTTGTGTCCCTCCTCCTCCTTTAGTGGCGCCTTCTTGAGAGTTTCATTATTATCACCAGCTCTGTGTGAGGGTGATTGCTTTGATTGCTGCTTCCTGCACATTCTACGACCTACCATCAAGAGGATTGTGATAATTGAAGAAAACAAAAACAAAACTAGCCTATAGCAGTCAGTAGTGTGGGCAGATACATTAACTGAGCCTATCACAAGATCTCACCTCACATTTCTGCCTTAATGTTAATTGGAGTTTAATGTCATGGGGGTGCTTGATTCATGCAGCAGATGGCGCTATTGCACACAACCCACAGTGAGAAAAGGTGCTGTAAAATGTTGCTGATTGGATTTTATTTGCACAACAGCGTGTGTGGGCACACCGTGTTCCCTAATCTCTGAAAAGTATCCCTAAACCGTCTCCCGGTGGGTGGCACTGGTTCACCGGAGGAGGTGGGGGCGGACGGGAGCCCCTCCTCCCTGTGCCCGGGCTGTCTCCTCTCCTCTGGCCGCAGCTACCTCACCTCGGCACGGTGTCTCTGTCTCCATTCAGTCCGGTCTCTGGGGTTTGTCCCTGCTCCATCGCCTGCACCTCAGTGGCCTTAAACCGAAACCTCAGCATGGCCCGCGCTGAAGCTCGGAGGATGAGTCTGCTCCACACCTCCGCGTAAAGCTCGCTGTCAAAGGTATGTAAGTGTACAGGTCTGTGCTTAATTGACTCTCATGATTTCATCGCTAATATTAATATTATCCATTCAGACCAGATCTATTTGAAACTAGACAGCTTTGAAGCACAGCCTACCCCCTTTTTAGTTTTTGTTTCTTTTATAACCTTAAGCTTTTCCTTCTCAAAGTATGTTCATGTCTTAGATGTTCAAGAGAGGTTATCATGGTTTGTCCTCTGTAATAGCACACTTCCTGTGATCACAATAATAACCGGTTACTTGAAAGATGCACTGTGTAACTTTTCTGGTGTGCAATATGTAAATTAACCTCTTGTATTTATTTCAGGAGACAACATACAGAGACATTAAGCTTATAAATATATGTTAAAACACAATGGAAACCATGCATTCTTGTAAGAGTGGTTTCCCCTCCACAGATCTGACCTGTAACTTTGCCTGATGCAAATCTGCTTGTCTCCTTGGAGCTATATACGTTTAATATCATACTCTGGAACATGGAGGCAAGTAAATGGCAAACCTTACTCCAGAAAAGTTCCATAGTGTATCTTTCTGACATTTCTGAATTCGCTGTAAAAATGTATCCTGTTTTATCTCTAAACTGAAGGATATTCTAGGAGTGATAAATATGGGAAACAAGTATATGTGAGAAGTGACACAGTACACAGTAAGCACTAAGCAGTGTGAGATACTGCAGACTGGAGACTGTAGGTGAAAGCTGATCGGGACAGTCAACATGAGGAGCGCAGTATTGATCAGAGGCTCGATGTCATGCTGTTTGTATTCCAAGTGTGCGCCCCAAACCAAGACGCCACAGATGCACAAGGCTGTGGCCCAATCTGTGTCCTGATCTCTTATACAATCTCACATCTTATTCATTCTCACAGCTCAGATCAAACCAGGGTTAGCTGAAGTAAATATAGATGATAAATGATAATATTGAAACCAAAAAGAACCAGGATTATGCTCCAAAAAGATTGTAAATGTGCAGTATTTTTAAATCTGTTGAACTGCAATAAATAAATAGCCGAATTCATCGTCCTTCAGCAAAAAGTTTATCATATTGCATAAAAAATAACCAAAAAGTCCCCACTTGGACAAAGAAAAGGTACACACAGTAAATATTAACTTCAAAAAATTATTGTTTTATCTGTCATATATTGAACAATAAATCAATATAGTCCTTATCGACAAGCCTTAGTAGAGGAGCGGATTATTACACACAGTAGTTATCAGATATACAGAGAAAGTGACCAAAAAAACTGAAGATGCCTAAGGAACTAAAACAAGAATTAACTAGGACCAAGTTAAGAAATCATGGACCAAACCAGAACTACAACAGAATTAGACCAGGACAAAAATTTGAATAAGTCTATACAGAATAAAGTAAAGGAAACAAAGTACATCAGGGTTCAAACTGAGCGTTCAGTCTGCTTGTAATCCTGAAATAATGGCAGTTTAGCCCTAATGTAGACTTGGCTTGGTCCTGTTTTGACAATTTAGTTTAACAAATTCTTTTAATTAGGTTAGAAACCATAATTAAAACTGACTATGTAACTGTTCAGGTGTGGCAGGTGGCGTGCAAGATATAACTGTACTTGATAAAATCTTATCTTTTTTGAATATGATCCTGTGGAACATTGCAGGCAAAGCAATAACATCTCCATAATGATGCTTCTCCCACTGAAAAAGCTGCATAGTTCACCTTTAAGTCAGGAAACATTTACTAAACCAAGTCTATATCAGCTCTACTCTACACTGTTCCTTTACTGGGATGTTTAGGTATCATCAAAATGGACTCAGTATCTCATAAATGTGATGCCTGGCCATGCTCTTGATTGTGCTGTGTCTTAAATCTGGGGATAAAACTTTGCTCCATTACCTCGGTCCTCTCCCATTGGCCGAGAGTGACAGAGGATCGGGTCCCTGCTCCCCAGACACTGCCCCTCAATGACACACACTGCACTCTGCTCAATGTCATTTCCTCATTAGAGAGCAAACAGACCAGAAAGCCTCCTGCTCTGTTATAAATGACTGTTTTTCTTCTCCTGCTTTTTTGAACCTTTCGTTTTTTCCGAACAGACAGTCTCATGGGCCACACCAGAAGAAAACCAGCAGAGGAGAGATGTTCAGAAACAGGCCTCCTCCAGGTTTGAAACTCCTTTCTCTTTAACATATAAAAAAGTACCTATTGTTCACTACTGATTTTGGCACTTGGTAAACCATGTAAACTTTCCAGTGGATGCTGCCACCTGTTTGACTCCATCCATGTTTCTGCTTTGCCTTGAACTTTTCATAATACAGCACAAGTGATTTGTTCAATAACAGTTGTTTATCTTGCTAAAAAAAAAAAAAATTTAAAAATGTTTCTGCAAGCAAGGTCGCCTCTCAACAGACCTGACATGTAAAATGGTCTCATGGTGTCACCTGCTTGTCTCCATGACAAACATATAACACTAATCAAAAGAATATATTTTATCTTCACTAGTCAAAAATCCTTAAAATGGTACCAATTGTGGGTGACTGAATTGAGTTGAACTTGTATTGTTGTATTGTATTACCAGGACAAGTGTGAGTGCACCCATCTTCCTGCAGGGATCATTTCAACACAGATATTTTTATTACTATGCACCATTTGTTGTCACAAATGTGGGTGTATTAATTTAGATATGCAACTTAACGCAGCAAAAACTGAGAAGTGCACCCACTACTGACACCTGTCCCTTTGAAAAGCATCATTGTTTCTGATCTGTGCATCCATTTTGCTTTGTAATATTTTAAGATCCCAAATAGTAGCTACAATGTTTTGCTCAAATCTATTGTAGAGAGGGAGGCAGTTACTATGGCAACCTCAGACGACCCCTCGTCGTGGTTACATAACGTGTAAAGTGTAATGCTGGAAAAGGCTTGGTCGGTGTGGAGATGCTGACTTTGCACTTGGCGCTGTAATTCGTATTGATTCACCGGTAGAGCAGCACAGGGGCCATAGCTATTACTAAACGTATCTGAAATATGGCAGATTAGCTCATGTTTTTAAAAGGAAGGAGCATATTAGCCTCGTTTGTTTTAGCCAACGTGGACCTTATACTAACATGTGCTAAAATCAAGACTAGATTAAAGCCGTGTCCACACCGTAGACTGTTTAAACAAGTCGACGAAGGGAGTGTGATGTCACCTACAGCGTTCGGCTCCAGTCAAATGAAGCTCATGATGAATTTTGAGCCAGATCCATATTAGGAGTAGGAATTTATTGACTTACAAAATAGTTAAATAAAATTATAAAATTATAAAATAATTATAAAAACACCAGGATCATGTAAAGAGGGTTAATGTGAATGTTTTAAGACCAAAATGACGAGGCTCATTGCAGCAGTTACAGAGAAACAATTGACAATTTTCCGATGTAAATTCAGTTGTCGATGGAGTCGTGAAGCCGGAAGTTACAGCATGAACTCTTCCTATTTGGAATGCTGTGCTATATCCATTTATATATACACAGTCTATGGTTCACACTTGCACACACTAGATCTAAATTGGGACTAAACTGAGTATAAACCCAGATTACGCCGGGACTAAACCTGGTCTAAACCTGGAGTAAACCCAGGCTAAAGTAGGACTAAAGAAGAACTAAAACGGAACTTAACCAGGACCAAGCCAAATCTACACCAGAACCAACCCAGAAGTGTGAAGATAGCTTTATAGATAAACTTTATTGATTTATGAGTGTCACAACAGATAAACCCAAAACAAATAACAATACCAACTGTTATATAATACCAAGTTATAACCAAGTCTTAATTACAGTTGTAAAAAAATGTGTCAAGGTCATATAAATATATTGTCAAATGTTTTTATAGCATCTTATATTGATTCAAAACAGATAATATGGATTATAGTCTACCATGGCCAGAGAGAATTATAATGCTGCATTATTTTTGTATGACCACACTGGGAGTCCGGGCGCAGTTAATCACCGTTTTATATCACTACACTGAGAGACCGCCATAGTAATGTGTAAACAAATGAACTACTGTTAGAAGAGATTAACTTCACCTAAAACAGAGATAACTAATGATTTAAACATCTATGGACAGCCAAAAAGTTGTCAGATTTAAAAGTAAATCTTTTCAGTTGCTTGTGTGTTAAAGTGTGTTTAAAAAAAAGTGTAACCCACTGCTCCTCCATGGGTGAGCTCACCTTAAGATCTAGGTATACATTTAGTAAACATAAAAAATGGACAAAATTGATTATATGTTTTTATTAAGGTCAGTATTTCATTTTTTCTGTGCAATTTGTTGAAATTAAGTTTGCAATGTTAGTATTATGACAACACTACTGTGCAGATACAACATAAGAAAAGATAACATTGTTTTTAACTGTTGGCCATGTTTTGTATGAAGCTTTGATCAATGTAAACAGGTAGACAGTGTCTTTATGTATGAGTCATTCAGAGACTATATGCCACACACCCTCAGGTCACTGCATTACTCATACCTGTATCACTGTATTCACTCTGCTTGCACATTTTGCATCATAACAGGACTCCACACACCAGATTTCCAAAATCATGCATATAGTTTTCATTTATTTGTATACACCGGCCACAAAAAAACTTCCCAGGTAATTTTTTGGGGGGCCCAGTAGAGTTTATTGTCTCATTTCACTCCCCAGATGCCTATCAAAAAGAAATTGTCATTTTATTCACATAGGATTTTTTTTTTTTTTTAAGGGTTATATTTAAATATAGGATCACTAACTAAAATCACTTAATCCTTTATGGCAGGAGTAAAATAAGAGAACTTTACTGATTTCACTGTAGAGAAATAAACCTGACATGGAAGCGCTTTATAGACAGTGCAGCGCAGATAGTATGATATAAAAGTGAGGATGCAATAAAACTCTAGTCTAGATAGAAAAGATAACTACAATGAATCAACATAGTAATAAATATTATTGTCATCTGACCATAGACTCTATACAGAAGTGTGACATCAACCACAGCGGCACGCAAATGAAGCTCACAATGCTCACAGTTACAGGAGCGAATTTCGAGCCAGGCCCAATATTAGGACCAGACAAAATAGCAGAATAAAAATACCAGGATCATGTAAAGTGGGTTAATACGAACATCTTAAGACCAAAACGACAAGAGTCACTGCTGCAGTTACAGAGAGAGACAATATTCCAATGTAAGTTAGTGGGAGCCAGAGTCAGTAGTAGTTCCTAGTTCCTGTTCCTACTATATGTCCATACAGTCTAAGGTTCTGACCTAATTCAATCCACATCTGCTTATAGTAATTTACTATTGTAGCCACAGCAGCCTTAGGGTGGACCAGGCTGCCCATCTGCACAATCGGCCCCATCGTCCACCACTCACACATTACATTTCTACTAGGCAAGGTGGGTGAAGTGTCTGGCCTAAAGATACAACATATACACAACAGTATGCACTATTAGAGCCACTGCTGCCGCACTATGACACCTGGTTTTCCAGCTGTCTCCCATGATTCCAGTTCTAACCAGGCCCAACTCTCTTTAGTTTTTAGAGATCCAGCATTTTCATAGTTAAATAACATTAAAAATACTATAAAGACTGTGTTCACAAAGGATAAATGTATCTTATCTTATGTATCTTTTGTATGTACAACAAAGACTACATTCACCAAACTTTATTATTATCAAATTCTAACATAACCACATTGTAAATTTGTAATATATATTTACTTTTTACTTTTATGTGTTTATTTTTGTAAGTGTCTGATGTCTTTGACCTGAGACACTGATCAATTCTCTTGGCGCCACTTTCTTCTTTTCCTTATTTGCTTGTTTAACCATCGCAAATGATTGTGAATGCAATTGTTCATTTAGTCTGTTAATGAGGACAGCTAATCGCATTAGTGCTGTGTACGACTGGAGACAAGTGCACTGTTACAGGTCCATGTAATGAAATCACTCAGGCTGTCATTGGCTTCTGGTTTGAAACTCATATCTCACCATTTAAATACTTACTGTACAGATCATTATGAAAATAGACACAAGGCTGCTCAAATATTGGAAGAAAGTCAAAATTACAATTAGAGGAATAAATATTAAACCTTAGTTGAAAAATAAACTTGTTATATTAGTTTGTTTTTTATTTATTATTTCAACTAATTACACAGAACTAGTGACATGATGATGTGATGTGATGTTAAAGGTGTAATTTGTCTGGAGTGTTTCAAAGTATGGCATTAAACTTATTACATTGTAAGGTAAGATAAGATCATCTTTTATTGTCTCCCATGGGAGAATTGAAAACTGGGACAAGGGATCACATGCTTTATCACAAAGACAATACAACACAACAACAAAAGCACCAACATCCACCAGTGTGTTTATTCATTTACAGTTGTTTTAGTGCTAAAGAAATACCTCGAAGAGCACACATTCTGACTGTGATGGGGGTCGCCTCTCCACACACTTGACTTGTGGTTGTCTCTATGGAGATAGTCAAGTTTAAGGTGATATTTGGAACATTAGTGAAACCAGCCAAAGCAATAACATCTCAGTTTAGACAAGCAGAACCAGAAAAGTTACAGAAAAGTTCCCGTATTACAACATTTTATGATCTGATAAATATTTTTTTTCTCATCAAAAACATACCCAGTTGTGTTTTGTTTCATTCACACGTTTAACACACAAACCCTGCATATTTAGGCTGCGTTCTCAAACAGAAAACACTCTCTTTCAACTTGTGGTGTCCTGTGGTAATGTGGAAAAAAGTGTTTTGAGCTTTGGAGATGTAGACAGACTAAAGATTACTTGAAAAAATGAAACAGAACACAACTCCAGGTATGTTTCTGAGGAGGTAACATGATTATAACATGGTTTAAAGCTCACAGTAATACATTTTATGCAATATAGGACCTCTAAGTACTCAAGAAATTCACTTGCGAAGAGCTAACAGTGAGAAAATGAAAAAGGACTGAACAGGTCTGGACTTATGGACGGTAACTCTTTTGGACTAAATCAATATTGATGTCCGCATTCAAAGTTGCATCTGGGCTGTTTTTAGAAACCTTTACGCTGATAGCACAGAACTGTTGTCTGTGTCTGAAAGTTTCTCATAATGGACTTTTATGGATTGGGGTAAACCTGCGTCAGGGCGTCTGCTGTCCTTGAACATTAAACTCTTAATGGGCAGTTTGTTAAAGATGCACTCACTTTCATTTGGGTTGGTTCTTACACAGTGAAACCTGGGCTCTGCTTACCTGGCACTAGAGACTGCCCTCTTCAATAATGTTACAGCATCTTTGGCACCAGCTGACAGTCACTCTCTAGTGCGCTTTTGGCCCACAGACACTGACCTTTAAGTAGACAGGAAGTCCCACGGGTAATTTACCTGACAGTACAACATCTGACAGGCTTAAAAAGGCTGCAGACTTTGTGAGAATAAAGTGTGAAAACTGTCAGTCTGTCAGATATGGGGCTCTAAACAGACAGTAAAGGGCTGAAAAATTCTACAGTAAATATCCTAAAGGTGCACTATGGGGCTCTGGGTCTGCCACTTGCTTGTCTCCATGGTTATAGTTTGCCTGGAATGTTTCACAGTAGGGCATTAATCTCCTGTTTCTCCATGGAGACAAGCAGGTGATGAGAAGGCGAGTCCACTCACAGTAAGAAGAAAGTTTTTTGAGCAAATGAAAAAAGCAGTGATTGAAGTTCCAGGCAATTCTAGCATTTGAAAGAATTTGAAGCAATGAATGACTGAACTAATACAAAATTAAAAGGTAGAGGTCTAAACTGGGAAACATTCTTTTTTGCAAGGGACAATAAAAGTAGTCTTAGTTTATGCAAGAGTTCAAAGTTTTAATTAATAATTAATTCATGATTAATGATTAATGCTGTGCCCCTATACTGTATGTGTGTTTTTATTTTTTGTAATCAAAATGTTAACAGACTTGAATTTGCTGATGAATCAAAAACACAGATGAAAGATTTAAGAGACCGTTTTTTGAGTTGAGCGAAAACACAGGAAACCACATTGTCTTTGTTTGTTTGTGTTTAAAGGCCACTGGCTGCAGCAGCATGATGTCCCTTATAGAGCTGTCTGATGTACAGAGGCACAGAGGCGTTTAGTGTCAGTTTCATATCATTTTCACATTTTGTGACTAATACAGCAACAGGGTGATCATTTAAAGATTACATGATAATGACAAAAATGTAATAAAAATTACAATTTGAACTCAACTCAGTGGTTGCAATTGCTTTAGTCTAGTTTTTTTTTTTTTTTTCTGCAAACATCAAAATATTATTTCTTCTATGTTCTGCTAACCCTGTAATTCATACCCCTACAGACACGATTTGAAATGTGGGATTATGGTGTTAGTTTTAGAGTTTATATTTCAGCCTTCTCTCAAATGTTAATGTGCACTGTGTGAGCTGAATCCTACTGTTTAAACACAAATCTAATGGTAATTGCTTTGTTTGTAAGGAAACAAATTAAGATATTTGTTCATTGTAGTTCACTGCAAAAAAAAAAGCTCTAATCTTTAATGTGTCTCCAGGAGCGCAGACACCCTCAGACACATCCTTTCGTAACGGTGACTAAACACACTGATATGGGGCTTAGACAATAGACAAACTCTATAAACAACTGCAATAGAAAATAGCAAATCAAACAGTGAATTATACAAAACATAAGTTGAAACTCAATGCACTATGCACAATGTAACTTTTCTAGAGGGGTCACCTGCTTGTTTCCATGGATATGTTATTGCTTTGGTTGGACTGTTCCTTAGTAAGGCATTAAATTGGTCTATCCGCACTTACTCAACTACAGGTGTTTATATTGCTAGAAAATACCTTGAAAAGCAGGCAAGTCTGTGCAATTAATAGAATTTTGATCACGATATCGATTTGTGTGTTAAACGATCTCCAAACTCATATAATCAAGTTGAAATGCTTAATTTTAAAATTAACTTTGGGATATTTTTATATAAATAAGTATATTTTTATATAAATAAGTATATTTTGTAGAGATTGTAGAACAGCTGTATATAAATATATATATATATATATATATATATATATATATATATATATATATATATATATATATATATATATATATATATATATATAGAGAGAGTTTATTTTTGATGCATTTATGTTTTTCTATACCTTATTTCATGTTCAAAGTTTATTTTATTCATTTTAAGTTTTATACATTGCAAAATTGCTCTTTGGTACAGATTTGTAGCCTGGATTTATTTTCAATTTGAAAGTTTTGCATAAATTATCAATAACAAAGTGTTTTTTTGAAAGAGAAATGCTGAATAAATGTATCATGTAACTAAAAAATAATCATTTAAATAATCATGATTTCAGTATTGACCCAAATAATCGTAATAATGATTTTTTCCATAATCGAGCAGCCCTAAAAGCAGGAGTTGACTTTCACAGATCTGGCCCCTAACTTATTGTCTCCACAGAGATAGATAAGTTTAATGCCGCACTGTGAAACATTTAAAGCAAATCTCCATCTAGTCTAACAATCCCTGTACGAGTAAAGTTGCCAAATTGGTGTTTCTATATTTGTATTTGTGGTCTTGTTTTGGATGCCATCGTTTGTGACTCATTTGCGTGTTGTGTTTCTGCAGAGGAGGAGAGACGGGTCAAAGCCAATGACAGAGAGTACAATGAGAAGTTTCAGTATGCGGTAAGAAGCCATTATCAAACATGACTTCACTCTGCAGACTGTGTAACTATGGCAACATAATGGATTGTTTCTCCCCCTCATAATTTAGAGTAACTGCATCACAACATCGAAGTACAACATCATCACTTTTCTGCCTGTCAATCTGTTTGAGCAGTTTCAGGAAGTGGCCAATACCTACTTTCTCTTCCTGCTCATATTACAGGTGAGGTGAAGTTTAGGACAGAGTGTTTCTTAAAGATGCACTGTGGAACATTTCCAGTGGGGGGTCTGCCACCTGCTTATCTCCATGGAAATGTTATTACAGAAGTACAATGTTCACAAAAGGAGTTATTGTATTTTTGAGCAATAGAAAAACCAGTAATGAATAAATGCTTGATGGATTTGTTTAAAGAGACAGTTCAGAGAGTTGGAGACGTCTGGAGACACTTTTTTAAATATTCCATCCAGTCCTTGTATTTGCAGAAGTCGCTGGTGCTAGGCTAGTGCATGTCAATGGCCATAGTTATCCTGCTACTAAAAACAGTCTTACTCACTCCACAAAACACCCAAAGCAAATCTATTATTACGCCAGACTGTCGATGTGAATGTCTCTGTCGATAGAATAATTTTAAAAGTAAAACCAACCTTGCATTTGAAGGATTTATGTCTGAGCAGCAGCAGCGAGTTGTACTTCCTGATAGAAAGCTCGGCAGCGGCGGACTGATATATGAGAAAATAGTCCCTCAACATGCGTCGATTCATGCGATGCAGGGTTAGTTTTATTTCAAACATTGTTCTATCAACACAGACATTCACATCGACAGTCTGGTGTAATAATAGATTTGGTTCGGGTACTTTGTGGAATGAGTAAGACCACCAGTGACCTCTGCAAATACAAGGACTGGATGGAATATTTAAAAAAGTGTCTCCACACGTCTCCAACGCTCTGGCTAACTAGAAATTTAAAGCCCTATGTCCAAAATTCCTCACTGCTCCTTTAATGTCATACCATGGAACATTCTAGGCAAAGGCAAATGTTTCACAGTTCATCCAAGATGCTTCTTCAGTTCTGAATGAGTGAACTGAAGAAGCATCTTGGATCAACTGCGAAATGTATTTGACCAAAAAATATGCAGCAGACCTTTCACCAGAAAAGTTGCACACTGCACCTTTTAAGTATTTAATTCTCTTTTAAGATCTTAATTGAGTATCTCACAAATTAATTTGATTTAAAAAAAACTGTCAGAGCATCTTAATCATTATTTTGGTGACAGAAATGAAATACTTATTGACTGTTTGTCCAAGTCACAGTAATATAGTACATTTTAAATTATACCTTCAATGCTTCAAACCAAATTTAAACCTATTTTATATGCAAATTTTATGCACTAACACAGTTCCAATCCAGATTATTTTAACATTAGATTCTTCATGTTTTTCTTTAGCTTTAAGATGCACATAAATAATTAGCCACTCATTTATGCAGTAGCTCTCCACCCCCTTCCAAGTCGCTCATCAAGGAATTTCTGAATTATACGTATTGTGCTAAATAACAGACATTTGATTAATTAAATGCCTATCACCATTGTAAATATATAACTTTGATACCCAACTGTACCCCATCTAAGGCTTGCTGTGGCTCTCACATATACTCACTTTCTTATGACCGCTAAAATAAGTAGCTCTCTGGTATTTTCATTTTATAAAGGTAGGTCACTGAAGGAAAAAGGTGGAGACCCCTGATGTAATGCGTTATGTAACTGCATTTCATCATGAGGAGAATACTGACTGAGCATTACTGAACAATTTAAATTCACACAAAGTATCTGTCGCTCTCACCTGTGCCCTACACTCCACAAATATGCTTGTGTTTTAACTTGTATTGTTTACTTGATGCAAACGCACTCCATTATATTCTGCCTGTGCACAGTGTATAATCCAAACCTTTATTGTGTTTAGTTGATACCTCAGATCTCCTCTCTGTCCTGGTTTACCACCATCGTGCCTTTAGCTCTGGTCCTGAGCATCACTGCAATAAAGGACGCTACAGACGACTTTGTGAGTGTTTGACAAACGGCTGCATTATGTATCACAAAAGTATCGATATCAATACTGGCTGATGCAATAATCAATGTCACAACAAAGTAAATATATTGCAGTAACACCAAGGTTCTCTATCTGACAGAAATGTGCTGTTTTTAAATGAAAGTCCAAAATAAACCATGATTTAATCTTGGTTTTGTCTATGTTAAGTCTGAGTCTGACTATTAAATTAAGGCATGCACTTTTTTAGTTTAAATGGCCCTAAGTTTCTACATTATTTTCTAATCTATGTTATATGTTTCCTCATCACAAACAGACCTGGAGTTGTGTTTTGTTTCCTTCACACATTTGTAACACACAAACCCTGCATTTTTAGTTCTTTTCAAACAGAAAACACTCTGTTCCACCTTGTGATATCATGTGGTAATACAAGAAGTGCTCTACTTTGTTTTTAAACTCCATACACCTTCATCTTCACTCGAAAGGTAAACAGCAGCTGTTAACTTCAAGACTACTGCTACTGCTAATAATAAAGGTTCTCTCAAACATGTGTGAATGAAACGAAACATAACTCCTGGCATGTTTTTAAGGAGTCAATTCTGCATAATATATGACTTTTGGTAACACTTTATTTTAGGATACACTCATTAACATCTAACTACCTGCTAATTAGCATAGTTGTAGCTGGTTAATTTGTCATTAATTAGTATTTATTCAGCCCCTTTTAATATCTCATAAGCTTATTCTGCTATTAGTGAGACTTTTACAAACAGTTTCCTATTAATACACTTCTTATTACTGCTTATTTGTATGATCCATGAATTATGATTCTAATAAGCTTTTGGTAATAATCGTGTTGTGCAGGACTAATTGCAGTTTTTACTTATTTGGACTTAATAAATTTAGCTTACTCTTATGTAATAAAACACTCTCTATTAGGTGTTTTACAGAGTTCAACTGGCCATGAATTAAGTAAGCTAAATTTATTAAGTCCAAATAAGTAAAAAATACATTTCTTGTGCAACTAGTCCTTAACAACACGCTTATTACCAAAAGCTTATTAGAATCATAATTCATGGACAAAAATGGCCTAGTATCGTACTAATAAGCAGTAATAAGGAATGTATTAATAGGAAAGTGTTTGTAAGTGTCTAACTAAAAGCAAAATAAGCGTATGGAGAATTAGACATTCATAAGGGCTGAATAAATACTAATTAATGACAAGTTAACCATTTACAACTATGTTAATTAGCAGATAATTAGATGTTAATAAAAATAAAGTGTTACTGGACTTTTAAATGAATTGCAATTATTGTTCCAAAAATACATTAAAATATCACAATAATATCCATATTGCACTATGCCTAAAAGCCATATCAAATATCGCTATTTGTGCCAATATTGTTCCAACATTGCTCACTCCTGTTTAATATGAGGATAAAATTACAGCAAAAGACAGCTCAGATGCTTCAGTTACGTAACATGCTCTCACTGCATTTGGTTTCTTTGTAGTTTCGCCACAAAAGCGACAACCAGGTGAACAATCGCCAGTCTCAGGTCCTCATCCGCGGCTCGTAAGTCTGATGATTTCACTTCATCTTGATACATTTATAAATCTGCATTATCCATTATTGTTATTTATTTGTAATTTAATCAAATTCCCCATGAAACATTCTGTCCACATCTTATTGATTGTAATCTTGTTGAAGTGAGCCATTTGCGTCTCTGTCTGACACTTGATGAGAGCTGATTGGCTGTGAATTAATGTTCTGTATTGCTGCATTTCCTCATCTGAAAAGCTGTGCAGAAATCCATACAAGTCAAAACTACTAGTTAAAGAGATTTCAAAACCTTCTACCCAATAATATAATCAATTATGTGCATTTAATTAGATAATGATGTTTTCTAAATGTATCCATCTCACTATGACAGAACATAATACCTCTAAAATGCAAAAATGTTTACAGACTGATCTAGACCTAGTTCCAGTTATTTAAGGTGTGAATCTCCTATAAAACAGCACTGTCCCCACATTATATTTTAGCATAAAGTGACTGTCTCTCTTTTTTTGTTCTCCTCAGGATCCAAAAAGAAAAATGGATGAATGTTCGAGTGGGCGATATTATAAAATTGGAAAATAACCAGTTTGTGGCAGTGAGTATCAGTTTGTCTGAAAGGAACTTACACAAATCCTTCATTCAAACCAAATTATACAGGATCATTTTGGTGCTTGTGGTTGCAATTGTTTTATTTTTAACTACACCAATCACATTTATAGATGCTTGATCTTAGGATTGTCTTCTAATTTAACCTCAGATGTGATTACTGTTTTGGTGCGCTGCAAAAAATATAACAAGCAAAATAATATCTTGTATCGGTCAGTGATTTTAATACAGAATAAGTTAACAACCTTGGTTTGACTGGACTGGAGGAATTATTTACATACAATAATTTGTATTAATTATAAGAATATAGATCTGCAAAAGCTAGGCCACCACCTGCTTGTTTCCATGAAGATGTTATTGCTTTACCCAAAATGTAGAAATGTAGAATGTAGGTAGAAAATAAAAATAAGTGTCCTGTTTCTTTTGCTTTACCTAAAATGTCCCACAGTATAGCGTTAAAAATATGTATCTTCATGAAGTCAATTAAGAAGGTGATGATTCAAGGTCACATTACAGGTCAGGTCTATGAGGAGGAGACTTGGCTCAGAGTTAGAATGCAGGTTTTTCGAGGTATTTTTGAGCAACAAAATAATCTGTAATTGAGTAAATGCAAGATAGATAAGTTTAAAGCCATACTGCGGAAATTTCCAGACTAAGCTATATCATCTCCGTGGAAACAAGCAGGTAGCGGACTCTCAGAAACTTTATTTTTGAGTGAAATAAATAACTCTAAACAAGTCAATACAAGTTAAAAGAAGAGTCATTTCTGAGTATGTGTAAGGTGACCAGACGTCCCAGTTTTCAACCCTGTGTTCCCTGTCCCAGCAGATTTATCCAAAACAATGATTTGTCCCAGTTTTATACAAGAACTGTCCCAGACGTCCCTATTTTAGACCAGTTTGGTACCTGCCAACAGTAAAGAGAGACACAAATTGACACTTGTTTAGGTAAAATACAGAAAAAGCTGCTTAAAAATGACCAAAACACAAAGAAAATGTGACTATACTGACACATGTTAATCATGAATGGGCAAATGTGTTACAGTTTTCCTTAATTACACACTCATGTCCAGTGTTGGGTCGTAACACGTTATAAAAGTAACAAATAACTGTATTGTGTTGCTTTTTGCCGTAATGCAGTAATGTAAGGCATCACAGGGAAAGAAATTATAATATTTTACTCGGTACAAATGTCTGATCACAGTTTGCAGACACCCTGCTCCACGGGCTTGGGGTTTTCTCAGGGGCAGTCCTAAATTCCAAGTCCTAGTCTTTGTTTGGTCCTGGTTTACTCCTGGTTCAGTTCTGGTTTAGCCTTGGTTTAGTCCTGGTTTAGCTCTGGCTCATTCCTCCTGGTTCAGTTCTTGTTCAATTTTGATTTAGTCCTGGTTTAGTCCTAGTTCAGTTCTGGTTTAGTCCTGATTTAGACCTGGTTTAGTCCTGGTTTAGCTCTGGTTCAGTCCTGGTTTAGTCCTGGTTTAGACCTGGTTTATTCCTGGTTTAGCTCTGGTTCAGTCCTGGTTTAGACTTCGTTTTGTTCTGGTTTAGACCTGGTTCAGTCCTGGTTTTGTCCTAGTTTAGTCCTGGTTCAGTTCTGGTTCAGTTTTGGTTTAGTCTTGGTTTAGTCCTGGTTTAGTTCTTTTTCAGCTCTGGTTCAGTCCTGGTTCAGTCCTGGTTTAGTCCTGGTTTAGTCCTGGTTTAGTCCGGGGTCAGTCCTGGTTTAGTCTTGGTTTAGTCCTGATTCAGCTCTGGTTCAGTCCTGGTTCAGTTCTGTTTCAGCTCTGGTTCAGAGCTGGTTTAGTCCTGGTTTAGTCCTGGTTCAGTCCTGGTTCAGTCCTGGTTCAGTTTTGGTTCAGCTCTGGTTCAGTTCTGGTTCAGACCTGGTTCAGACCTGGTTTAGTCCTGGTTTAGTCCTGGTTTAGACAGTAAAAAGTAATAAATAACACATTACAGTTTTGAAGTAACTTGCCCAAGAGTGCTCATTTTACAAGTTTATTATTTCCAACCACCACAAACCAGAGGCGTTAGTTTTTGATTTTGAAGTTCTGCTCACCCTAAATACGTGTAATTTTAACTGTATCCGTATTTGCAGTGCAGATGAGCAGATACTGTTCTAGTTAATCAGCGCTAACACAGTTACAGTGAAGGATGCTTTTGCTTTCAGCGTGTTGTGTCTCTATTTTCAGGCTGACCTGCTGCTGTTGTCAAGCAGCGAGCCTCACGGACTCTGTTACATCGAGACCGCTGAGCTGGACGGGTCAGATCCTCTCACTCTTCACAATGTGCACAGGCTAACGTTACTGCACTCGACACCTCGCTAAAGTGCTGTGTGTATGATTATCTTGCAGAGAGACCAATATGAAGGTGCGCCAGTCCGTCTCTGTCACGTGTGAACTCGGAGACACAAACAACCTGGCAACATTTAACGGTGAGATACTCAGGGTTTATGGTTATCCTGGTTTACTCTCGATTTAGACTGAGTTTGGTCCAGGTTTAGTCATGGTTTAGTCCCAGGTTTAGTCACGGTTTACTCTAGGTTTAGTCCAGATTTAGTCCAAGATTTACTCTCAGATTTAGTCTAGGTATTGTCCCAGGTTTAGTCCCAGGTTTAGTCATGGGTTAGTTCAGAGTTAGTCCAGGATTTAGTCATGGTTTAGTCCCAGGTTTAGTCCCAGGTTTAGTCATGGGTTAGTTCAGATTTAGTCCAGGATTTAGTCATGGTTTAGTCCCAGGTTTAGTCCCAGGTTTAGTCATGGTTTAGTCCCAGGTTTAGTCCCAGATTTATTCATGGTCTAGTCCAGGTTTAGTCATGGTTTAATCTAGATTTAGACCCAGGTTTTGTCCCAGGTTTGCTCTAGGTTTAGTCCAGATTTAATCCTAGATTTAGTCTTGGTTTATTCTAGGTTTAGTCCCAGATTTACTCATGGTGTAGTTATGGTTTAGTCCCAGGTTTAGCCCCAGGTTTAGTCCCATGTTTAGTCATGGTTTAGTCCAGATTTAGTCCCAGATTTACTCATGGTTTAGTCTAGGTTTAGTCTAAATTTTGTCCCCGGTTTATTCATGGTCAAGTCCAGGTTTAATCCCAGGTTTAGTCCCAGGTTTAGTTCCTGGATTAGTCATGGTTTAGTCTAAATTTTGTCCCCGGTTTATTCATGGTCAAGTCCAGGTTTAATCCCAGGTTTAGTCCCAGGTTTAGTTCCTGGATTAGTCATGGTTTAGTCTAGGTTTTGTGTTTATTTGGGGTTTATTTGTGGTCTACTCCAGATTTAGTGTAGATTTAGTCTCAGGTTTAGTCCCAGGTTTATTCATGGTCAAGTCCAAGTTCAGTCATGGTTTACTCTAGGTTTAGTCCTAGGTTTATCCGTGGTCTAATCCATTTTTAGTCTAGGTTTAGTCCCAGGTTTAATCCCAGGTTTAGCCTCAGGTTTAGTCATAGTCTTAGTTCAGGTTTAGTCATGGTTTAGTTCAGGTTTAGTCCCAGATTTTGTCCCAGGTTGAGTCTAGATTTCATCCCAGATTTAGTCATAGTTTAGTTTAGGTTTAGTCTAAATTTAGTCCCAGATTTAGTCATGGTCAAATCCAGGTTTAGTCATGGTTTAGTCCCAGGTTTAGTCCCAATTTAATCCCAGTTTTGATGGGGTATGAACAGAAGAGCTGAGATTTCAATTATATCACAATTCATCACTATACATGTTTTCCTTGTATTTTTGTTAAACATTATTTACATTTTCATCTGAACTAGGGCACTGCTATATACAAATATACATAGTAACATTAGAACCACAGTTGAAATACATAAATGCATAAAATCCAACAGATCAAAGTGTTCCTTACCCGAATAGAAATCCTGCTCGTGGCTAACGTGGCTTTGATGTCAGGCTCTGCTGTCAGTAGATATATTTCTTATTGTTTATTCTAAGATCAATTTGCAACCCTCTTTTGAACCGGGCTACATTGAACACTCACACATTTTGCCCTGATCTGTCAGCACAGAGATTCAGCCAATCAGCTCCCGCCCACCTTCCCTGACAAGGCCTAAATGTCAGCAGAAAATTGCCCACACAAAAGCCAAATGCATTACGGAGCAGCACACTCAGACACATTTTCCACATATCCACTTTCAAAACACCTGACTGATCATATTGAGGTCTGAGGCAGGTGCACATGGACAAATAGTATAATAATTCATTTTTAATAAATATTTTTTGTGTTTTATTTTCAGGTGAAGTTGTGTGCGAGCCCCCCAACAACAAGCTGGATCGTTTTTGTGGGACGCTTTACTGGAAGGACAAGAAGTACTCTTTGACCAATCAGAACATGCTGCTGCGCGGCTGTGTGCTCCGCAACACTGAGTTCTGCTACGGCCTGGTCATCTTTGCAGGTTGGTTTTAGAAAAGAGTAAAGAAATTTTAAAAAGCAGGTAATACTTGCTTTTGTTTTTAATAAACTTGACTTTCAAGACCTCGTAAGATAATATTTCTGCAGGTTTCAGTGTATTGGTTCATGCCAGCTAGTAGAATTAGTGTGTTCTTTGACTTATACTTTAGGTGGAGTTTTCTAGCAAGTTTCTTATATGAGAAAAAAATTTAATAATAACTACTGGAGGAGTGGAGGAAATAACTATTTGATCCCTTGCTGATTTTGTAGGTTTGCCCACTGACAAAGAAATGAACAGTCTGTAATTTTAATGATTGGTTTATTTTAACATTGAGAGACAGAATATCAAAAAGAAAATGACATTATAGAAAAAAAAATTAATTTATTTGCATTTCATTGTGTGAAATAAGTATTTGATCCATCCCCTACCAACCAATAAGAGTTTTGGCACCCACAGTTCAGTTAGACACTCCTAATCAGCTCGTCACCTGAATTAGGCTATGTTCAGATTGCAGGGCTTAATGCTCAATTTGGATTTTTTTGTGAAATCAGATTTTTTTTGAGAGGACATTCACATTTCCAATTAAATGCGACTTGTATGTGATCTCCAGTGTGAACTTTAAACGCCCCAAAAGTGTCTTGCACATGCATTGGAGGACACAACGAGTGTCAGTGTTTACAGAAGTTGCCTAAACGCTGAGCTTGTCTCCTAAAATACAGTCCAGTTGTTTGTTAAATGGACAGGTTACACATCGTTTTTTTGAGTCTTTAGCCTCCTTGTATTTGGTGAGCAGGCTCTTTATTTTTCATTGATTATTGAAGCCAGGACCGCCTGTAACCACGCTCTTAGACTCCTGTTTTAACTAGTCACCTGTATAAAAGATACACAGTCCACAGAATCAGTCAATAAATCAGACTCCAAATTCTCAAAAATGGGAAACTGTTTATTTCTTTGTCAGTGGGCAAACCTACAAAATCAGCAAGGGATCAAATACTTACGTCCTCCAATGTATATCTATTAATAATACATATTAAGAAGCCAAAACTACTCAAAACAAGTTCAGTTTTTACAAATTTAATGTATGGTATGTAGACATTCAATATAACTGTCTGTTTTGTATCCCAGGACCAGACACAAAGCTGATGCAGAACAGCGGCCGCACAAAGTTCAAGCGAACAAGCATCGACCGCCTCATGAATACTCTGGTCCTCTGGGTAAGCACCACCCACTTAGGTAGTTTTGTCTGAGGCTAATCTACATTTTCATACAAAGAAACAACATTTTCATACGAAGGAAAAAGCTGCAATTAAGCTAATTAAGACTGCACTAGACCAGGGCTAAACCAGGACTGAACCAGGACTAAACCAGGACTAGAAAATTGCCAAACCAAGTCTACATCAGGACTAAACTAAGTTCAAACCAAGTCCAAACTAGGAATGTGTGAAGAGACATCTGCAGCAAGAAAGTCAATGCACATTTCAGTACTCAAATCAGTATCTGTTTTTTTATTGTCAGTATTTTTAGTACTCCTGTCATGTGAGACATTAGAATTCACACTGATTTGTTACTTCGTTTCAGATCTTTTGCTTTCTGGTGTGCATGGGTGTGATCTTGGCCGTGGGTAACGCTGTGTGGGAGAGAGAGGTGGGCTCTCTCTTTCAGAGCTACCTGCCCTGGGACCCTCCTGTCGACAGCTTCATCTTCTCTGCCTTCCTCTCGTTCTGGTCCTACGTCATCATCCTGAACACTGTAGTGCCTATATCTCTCTATGTGAGGTAAGACATGTGGATCTATACTGCTACACTCACAGGGGCACTATGTAACTTTTCTGGAGGAGGGTCCATCATCTGCTTGTCACCATGGAGATTTTATTGCTTTGCCTGGACAGCTCCATAATAAGGCATTAAACATATCTATTTCCATGGAGACCAGCAGGTGATGCCAAGGCAAGTCTGATCTGTGCCTCACAGAAGGAATCCATGTTTTCCAAGTATTTTATCAGTTAAAAACACATATTGCCCACCCCAACACAGCATATCTAATATTTGGTTATGCAGTTATTGTATTTGACCGAACATTTGAGTGACAATCATTTTTACAAATATTTTCTTGTGTCTCAGTGTGGAGGTGATCCGACTTGGACACAGCTACTTCATAAACTGGGACAGACAGATGTTTTGTTCACAGTGTAACTCAGCTGCAGAGGCCAGGACCACAACTCTGAATGAAGAGCTCGGGCAGGTGGGCCTTATGTAACATAGAAGGACTGAGAATCGAAAGGGCAAAAGTAATATTCAGGTAACTATAGAGGAGAGAGGCAAGAAAGGTCCAGAATGTTAACCAACTTTACTTAAATAATTTAGTTCTCAGTGCTCTCCTAAGCATTTTTAGACATACATTATTAAAAGACAAAATAACCAATATTTGCTTTCATTTTATCTAACTCAGTCAAGGTTAACATACTCTATATTGCCCCCATAAAGAAATGTGTCATCTACATCCAACCCATCCTTCAAAACCTGTCAGGGACCAACCCAGAGCAGCGCCTGGGGACCCATCTTCAGATCTTGAGTGAGGTGTCTTAGGTTGACGGGGAAGACCAGAGTACCAGAAATACTACATCTAGACTATGGATAAAGGGAGAAAGTGGGACCATTTTAATGAGGCCACCTTAAATATCACCTGTGCCTTTCTGATTCTCAGCCTTTAATATTGTGTAAAATGTTATTGTTGTAATATTGTTTTGTTAAATGTGTTTAGGTTGAGTATATCTTCAGTGACAAGACTGGAACTCTCACCCAAAACATCATGACCTTCAATAAGTGCTCTATCAATGGACAAACATATGGTAAACATGTTCATATACAGTACTTTAGAATTGGTTTAGACTTTCATTAGACCCTGTTATTCCATTGTTTAGTAAAATATTTTCTTAAGTGGAACAATAGGTAATGAGAAGCTACTAAAATACACTACTGTAACCTCAAGTCTAATAGTTTGAACTTTCTTGGACAGGGGAAGTTACTGATCCACTGGGGCCTCAACCAAAAGTAAGCAATGTCATCTACTTTATCATCTTGTATTTGTGTTATTTCATTCCATTCTATTCCATTTTCTTCCGCTTATCCGGGGTCGGCCGAAGTGTTATTTCATATTGTCTTATTTTGATATAAGTGTTTGTTTAATCTAGAAACTGGATTTCACACCTTTCAACTCTCTGGCGGACCCAAACTTCTGTTTTTATGATGACACGCTCCTGGAGTCTGTCAAAGTGGGCGACTGCTGCACTCATGAGTTTTTCCGCCTCCTTTCTCTTTGTCACACAGTCATGAGTGAAGAGAAAAGTGAAGGTATGCATCGTAGTATTTAGTATCAATAAAGATAAACCAGAAGAAGTCAAACCGATAAGCATGAAATTAATGGTTAATGATTGTATGTTTTGCATCTTCTGTGTTCTTTTTTAGAACATATTTATTTTTTTAAAGTTAGTTCAAAGTGTAAACTATTACAAGCACTGGGCTATTTGAGCAAGAAATCTGTATTTTTTTGTTTGTTTCTAGTTTACTTGATTAAACGATTTAATACAAAATATAGCCTGAACTCTGCTCAAACCACACACTTTAACTGACTATAACTTTTAAAGAAACTGATTAAAATTTGCCCTAACCATTACAACAGAAATATCTTTTACAGCCTTTTCATTGTTTCACTATTCACTCTGTTATATTTCAAACAGGAGAGCTGGTGTACAAAGCTCAGTCTCCAGATGAGGGCGCTCTCGTAACCGCAGCTCGTAACTTTGGCTTTGTGTTTCGGTCACGCACCCCCGGGACCATCAGCACAACAGAGATGGGACGTCCTGTCACATATGCCCTGCTCGCTATTCTGGACTTCAACAATATACGCAAGAGGATGTCAGTCATTGGTAATTCAATGTGCAAAGTGTCTTATCATATAATCACTTATTTATAATCACAAGTGGACAATACAATGGGAAGCTTTATCCAATTTAAATGTGACCTGTGAATCACATTTCGACCAGAAGATTTTGCTTTATAAAGTTTGTCAAATATTACCTGAAAGCCTCATTATGTAACATTTAGCCAAAATATATAACCTTTTTACTTTATGGAAGTATTTAATGAACTTGAAAACCTTAAAAACTCTTGCGTCCTTGCATCTCCACAAATCTTACTCTTGTTTGGCCTCCACTTATCTCCATGGAAATGTTGTTGCTATAATGTTCCACAAATGTCTTCCTGAAGAATGTTTCAAAGTTTCTTTCACTATGTTGTCTCAGTGCGTAACCCCGAGGGGAGGATCCGTCTGTACTGTAAAGGAGCAGACACAATGCTGCTGGAAAGACTGCACCCGAGTAACCAGGACCTCATGAACATCACCTCAGACCACCTCAATGTGAGTGCGTGCTGCCCCCTAGTGTTCTCAATGCTGAATGTTTGCAGCTAAAGTACTAAAGCTGAATGATCTTTGTCAATATTTCACAACTCAACCTGCTCAGTCTGGCAACATACCAACATTTTTCTGACACAAATAGGGTACTTATCAGCTGAGAGGAGTGGTTGATTTTAATGTAAACACTTTAAGAACAACAAGATAAAGTTAGTTTGCCTGTATATGCCTGTATGTGGAACAGTCTTGGAAACAGCTTTGTATAAATACATTCTGTTTTTAAAATCTGTCTGAGCCAAGCTATAGGCTGGACAATACTGACTAAAACACAATAGACTAAATTGTATTATAGGCAATATGTATGACTTTATAATTAGTTTTACTTGATAATGCATTACAGGAAGTATATTAGAAATGTATATTATATGCATAAAACAGGGGCAGGATTATACTTCATTCCACTTCCTTTCAAGTAAAGAGACTTCTGATGAAATGACAAACTTGTAAATGTGTTAGGGTTCTTTATGTGCACAGATATAATGTGAAGAAATGATCAAAGTTATAGTATGATTTGTCTGTGTGTAGGAGTATGCGGCTGACGGGCTGCGGACCCTGGCTCTGGCCTATCGGGACCTGACTGAGGAGCAGTGGGAGGCGTGGTCCGAGAGACAGCGCATCGCCGAGAGAGCCACCGACTGCAGGGAGGAGAGAGTCGCTGCGCTGTACGAGGAGATAGAACAGGACATGATGGTCAGACTCTACTCATCTGTTCATTTCAAGACTCCCTAAAAGCTCAGCATTTCGTCTTCTGTTGCATCCATGGCAACCCAATTTTAACCTGAATTGCCAGGGCTAAATCAGGACTAAATCAGGACTAAACCAAGACGAAACCAGGACGAAACCAGGACTAAACCAGGACTAAACCTATTCACCTGAACTGCCGGGATGAAACCAGAACGAAACCAGGACTAAACCAGGACAAAACCAGGACGAAACCAGGTCTAAACTAAGACTAAACCAGAATGAAACTAGGACTAAACCAGGGCAAAACCAGGACGAAACGAGGACTAAACCAGGACTAAACCTATTCACCTGAGCTGCCAGGTCTAAAAAAATCGACTTAACAAGACAAAGCGAGTTTAGACCTAAAACTGTAGCAAAACACATCTAGTTTTTCTTTTATTTTCTGTTGGTACATCAGGGCACAGTTTTCCCTCCTTTATGCTTATGCTGGCAAATGTTGATTTTTGTTCATATTTTTTCACAATCAGGTTAAGGTTAGGGTTAGGAGGATCAGGGTTAGGTTTAGGAGCAGTTAAATTTAGGGTTTTGGAACGGGTCTGCTTACTGAGTCTTGGCAAAACGAGCATGAACTGTAATTTTTAGACTGAAGAACTTTTTTTAGTATTAAGTATAAGTTATTATACTTTAATTTACTTTAATTTTAATTTAAATACTTTAGTTATTATAAGTTTTTAGTATAAGTTATTAGTTAACTGTATTTAATGGATTGCAGAAATAATATCAGTGTCACTGAACTGCTTTGATTGACATGGAACGCTAAGTCCCACCCCCAGAAGAAATGCCGAGAAATTAGGGAGTCCTGTTCATTTGCATGAAAAACTGAAAGTTCTTGCCTTGTACTTTTTGCTAGCAGTCTTCCCCAATTTAAAAACGATTGAAACCACAAAATAGGAACCTGTAGATATTTTAAGCTATTATGTAGATTTGAAATGTAGGGATTTTTCATTTCCAGTTTCTAAATGAAGAAATTGCAAATGTGGAGTGCAGCAGTAAAACACTGATACAGGCTTTTTTACTTAAACGCACGCTATGTTACTTTCCTGGTGTATGTGGGGGTATCTGCTTGTTTACATGGATTTTGCCTTGAATGTTAAACAGTATGCACAATTATAAGTGTTTATGTTATGTTTTATTGCTAAATAGACCTTGCCTCTCTAAAGATCTGACTTGTAACCTGGCCTTATGATGTAACCTGCTTTTCTCCATGGAGATAGATTTAGACAGAAGTTTATCAATTGAGGTTTTACTGGGGAACATTAAACAACGTCATCTCCATGAAAACAAGCAGGTGTAGCCTCTGTCAGAAAAGTTAGTGCACTTTTAATAAAATGTTATGCTACTATTGGTAATGGTAATAGGATTTGTATGTGTTTAGCTCTTAGGTGCCACAGCGATTGAAGACAAGTTGCAGGAAGGTGTCCCGGAGACCATTGCTGTCCTGTCTCTGGCCAATATCAAGGTCTGGGTCCTCACTGGGGACAAGCAAGGTGAGTTTAGTGATCTGAATGGATGCAAAACATTCTTATATTACAAAATACCAAAATAGTTTCTTTTTACTATAAATACATAACAGTAGTTGACATGCTTCGGTTGCTAGCATCAAGCCGTCTTCAGAACTATCATCGGTGTTTGGTCTTATTTTATTAACTTCAAATTACAATCTTGACAGTTACTCTTCCAATATAGTTATAGTTAATTACAGACCTTTGTCGCAGTTTCCCAAATTACTTACATTTTAGTAAGTAAGTAATTTGAGTTTGAGTTTTGAGTTTAATTTAAATTTTTGAACCATTTGACCCACTGCTATACTTCTGCTCAAGTAATATTATTTTGAAGTAACGATACTCTTTACTTAAATACATTATTGGCTACACTGTGTTTTCATAGAAACTGCAGTGAATATCGGATACTCCTGTAAGATGCTGACAGACGACATGGCGGAGGTCTTCATCATCAGTGGAAACACGGTGCAGTGTGTGCGACAGGAGCTCAGGTATGCTGGGTCTCTTATGTGTTTTATCCTTTAAAGAAATATATCAAAGAGTTGATCATGTCACTGTTGTTGTCCTAGATGTATATAAAATGTTGCTCAACAGCTTCTGAAACTTTATAAACCACATTTTGCAGAATTTAGCATTTTAAATGTTCTTGATATTTGGATTTTTCCCAAAGTCTATGAGCTGTAAGTACTGTTGAGCTCTATATTAGAATATCAAGGACATGGCCTACAATAAAAAAAACTATTAAAAATGGCTGCAAAATGTCTAGTTAAGAGTAAACAAGGGTATAAAGTGATATTTTTGCCTGTTTATGGTTCATTTAAGGTTCCATGAGAGATTATGAGACAATAACAAAGTGTCTGTACTGTGTTTTTGTTGTATGTGCTGATGTTGCAGAGGGGTTTCTTTTTTTCTTTATGTACTGGTCCTTTTTTTCTATATGTACTGGTTCCAGATAGTTAGTATCCCAGATTCCAGACAGTATAAGTTTCCAGATTCCAGATAGTTAGTTGTAAAAAAGATAACTATGTCAGATTCCAGATAGTTACTAGTGAAAAAAGATAATTATGTCACAGATATTAATCTCAATACCAAATGTTTTTTGATTGAGTATTCATATTTTTTGCCAATATATCACATCCCCAATACTCATATAGTCATCCTATGGACCCAAAAACTACTGCGCTTGTGTTAAATCTTTCCTTTGTCTCTCTGTTCAGAGCTGCGAGACAGAGGATGGTGGAGTTGTCCCAGAATAGAGAAGAAGGGAAGGATGTGTTTGCAGAGGCCTGTTTTTTGACCCCAGACTTGAGAGAAACTCACAGAGAGGTCACAGAAGCAGAGAAAGACGAACAACCACCAAACTCTCCAGTGTCTCCAACTCCTCCGCTCAACCTCTTGGACAACATCTCAGGAGAGTTTGGGCTTGTGATCAATGGCCACAGTCTGGTATGAACTGCATCAAATTCACACTTCACACATTATCACACATCACACTGCTAAACTGGAATTGACTACACCAGGACTAAACCAAGTCTAAACCAGGACTTTAACAGGCAAGGCAAGTTTATTTGTATAGCACAATTCGTACACAAAGTAATTCCAAGTGCTTTATAGAATAAGAAATACATTACAGCCACAATAAAAACAAATCAAGATATAAATAATCATCATAAAATTAAAAAGAGAGAGAGACATTAATTACATAAATTAGAGAGAAGAGTGCAGAAGGAAAACCTTTCAGTCATATGCAGCTAAACAGAAACATTTTGAGCCTGGATTTTAACAGCATCAAACTAGAAGCCTGTTTCACATGTTCAGGAAGACTGTTCCAGGTTTTAACTGCATGAATCTGAAATGTGGACTCCCTGTGTTTAGTCCTGACTCTGGGCACCAGCAGGAGGCCGGTCCCTGAGCTCCTCAGAGTGCGAGATGGTTCATTTGACACTAACATGTCACAGGTGTACTTTGGTGCCCGGCAATGGAGAGTCTTGTACACAAGCAGAGCTGCTTTAAAGTCTCTGACCCACAGGAGCCAGTGCAGTGATTTATGTGCTCGTACTTCCTACTTCGAGTCAGGACCCAAGCTGCAGTATTCTGGATATACTGCAGCTCTTACAGCTCGTTTGAAGAAGCCAGTGAGCAGGCCCTTACAGTAGTCTAACCTACTGGAGACAAACGCATGGATAAATCTCTCCAAGTCTGATTTAGACACTATACTTTGGATTTTTGCTATGTTTTTTAGATGGTAAATGGCTGCAGATGTTATTGATTTGATGTGGCTGTTAAAGTTCAAGTCTGTGTCCATTATTAACCCTAGATTTCTTGCTTGATTTGAAGGTTTTAGAGAGAAAGAGGTGACTGTGGACACAGGACCAAACCATGTCTAAACAGGATTAAACTAGGATCAAACCAGAACTTGGGATGTCAAGATGATTACGTTAATCAATAATTGTGATTATTCAGGTCATAATATAATAGAATAGAAAAATAATGACAGATAATGACATTAAAAAAAAAATAAAAAAGCTTTCCTTCATCACTAAGAAAGCTGGTCATGTACTAGAGGAATGGTAATCTTTTAGACAATTTGAATGAAAAATGAAAGTAAAAGTTGTTAAAGAATAGTGTCAATAAATAAAGAGCTGTAAAATTATAATGGTTCTTCTCATAGTAATTGTAATAACATGTGAACTTTTCTGACCAAAACAAGAATGACAAATGAGTGAGAAATAAGGAAGTAGCATGTTCCAAATGTGTCTTTATTCAAAATAGAGTTTTCCTTATTATGTAGTAAACTTCCCCTCATTTAAAAATGCTCTGTGTCTTGTTTTTCCTACAGGCCCATGCGTTAGAGGCTGACATGGAGAACGAGTTTGTGTCTTGTGCGTGTGCATGTAAAGCTGTGATCTGCTGCAGAGTGACACCGCTGCAGAAAGCTCAAGTGGTGGAGCTCATCAAGAAGCACAAGAGGGCGGTGACTCTGGCAGTGGGAGATGGAGCAAACGATATCAGCATGATCAAGAGTGAGTGTGGATGGAGGAGATGGTAACGGCTATAGACAACTGATACTTTGCAATGACATTACTTAGGGGGTGTTCAGCAGTCACCATCAAGAGTGTAGTGGACGTGGTACGCAGGGGTACGCCATCCACCCACTTCTCCCAATATAAAATTAATATAAAAAAATAACAAATATAAAATAGTCTACAACCTAAGTGTCAAACCAGAGCTATTGGCAACGGTGAAAACAACCTGCATAGGCTCATTATCATAGCTTATAACCAGTCCTGGCTCATTCCTGGGATCAGTCCTGGGATCAGTCCTGGTTCCGTCCTGGACCCTCATCTCTCAGGTCACTATAGGACAGTACTGCAGAAAATAACAAATATAAAATAGTCTACAACTTAAATGTCAAGGACTAAACCAGGACTGGACTAAAACAAGACTAAAACAGGACTAAAACAGAGATAAACCGGAACTCTCCTATAGTGAACTGAGACATGAGGGTTGAGGACTGAATCAGGACTGATCCCAGGACTGATCCCAGGACTGAACCAGGACTGAACCAGGACTGAACCAGGAGGATTAAACCAGGACTGGACTAAAACAGGACTGAAACATGACTAAAACAGGACTAAGCCAGAACCAAACCAGAACTGAACCAGGACTGAGTGCCTCGATGGGCCCGGAGGTGCGCCCACGTAGACCGTCAGGTGACAGCAGGCGAAAGGCCACGGGGCTAAACACAGCCGTCACCCAATCCCGCTTTGCGGACACCCTACTCAGGGTTCTCTCTCTCAAGTCAAAGATTAGTCCTAACCAAGCTACTGTCATCGTAATTTCATTTGGTTGCCTTGTTTAACAGCACAAATCAGCTCACCTGTTGTAGCTCCAGTTAAATAGCATTTTATGGTCATATTGTGTTCAAACAAAGCTCTGTTTAAAGTCTAACTTGATTAACAGAGTTTCAGAGAGAGCAGTGCTTACAGTTAGAGTCACACCCCCAGGTCATGTTGATGACTTCAGCTACAAAGATGTATATTGCTGACATAATTCTGGCTCAGTTTCAGAACTGTTTATTCATGTTGTGTATTGTTAATGTCCATATTTAAAAATAAATAAATAAATAAGTCCCATTACAAAATACAAATTTCCCTTAAAAAAAACTCATGCATAATAAAGACAAGCTTTCCCTCACAACTTTGCAGTTTGAAAATCACAATAGACAAGATTTAAAAAAAAAAAAAAAAAAAGTACACATTATATATTTATGTTCTGTCATAAATGTAATGCCCATTTGCTAAATAATGGCTGCATTTGCAATTCAATTATTATTAATTCATGTTTATTTATAGTACAACACCAAGACCAAGGTGCTTAACATGTAGGAGAATATATTAAAAACACACAAAATCATTATCACTGTGCTATATAATGTGTCTAATTCTAAACATCAGACACAATACATAGTGCAGTGAGTCTTTAACCTGGACTGGATATTTATTGTGCAGTTCTTAATCCTTACCTTTTCTGTGTCTCTTTTTGCAGGTGCTCATATTGGCGTTGGAATCTCAGGACAGGAGGGAAACCAGGCAGTTTTGGCCAGTGACTACTCTTTCTCTCAGTTCAGATTCCTCCAGAGGCTGTTGCTGGTGCACGGCCGCTGGTCCTATCTGCGAATGTGCCGTTTTCTCTGCTATTTTTTCTATAAGAACTTTGCCTTCACCATGGTGCACTTCTGGTTTGGATTCTTCTGTGGATTCTCGGCTCAGGTCAGAGTTCAGTACCATCCAAGCAACTTAATAGCTGTTTTAGTATATTGTGTAATTTAAGTGTCTCTTTTTCCTCTAGACAGTTTATGATCAGTACTTCATAACACTCTACAACATTGTGTACACTTCACTCCCAGTGCTGGCAATGGGAATATTTGATCAGGTCAGTCTGCTTGGCAAATCTATGCAAATCACTGCCCACATGACCACGGTTGCTTTCAATTATGTTTTACTAATGTAGGTGTAATTGTATGTATAAGTAAGTGAGAGATTTTCTTTTTGTTTGTTTATGTTTATTTATTAAATGTGGGACAGTGGACATTGATCAACGTATGTTAGTACAGCATGTAAATGTGCCAGAGTTTTCCGTGCAGGTTAATTTTCATCCGTAGTCCCATTGGCAGGTTAATGGCAAGATAAAAAACAGGACATGAGCACAATAACATTTAATCCATCACACATAACCAAGACATTAAGATCAGTGAATATTAACTGTTGTCAAATTAGTAAAATTAGAAGATGTTAAAAGTACACACAGTACACACAGATTATAGACACAAATCACAAACACGCAACAAGACAGAGACGTTTGCTATGTGATGTTAAAACACATACAGCTTAGTTATGTTCACGTCTGATTGTCCAGGAGCCACTGTTTGATAGATCTACTAAAACTATGGTTAGAGGTCATGTTCCTTATTTGGTGTGGGGACCAGATTCCAGGAGTTTGTGGCGTGAACTGAAAGGGCCGACTGTCCAAATGAAGTCTTAATGGGATTTTACAGTCTCCTCTGCTCTATGCTTGAGTGCTTGTATTTAAATTCAACTGTATGAGCTCTTTTAATGGGGGTGGAGCAAGATCACGGGGGGTTTTATAGACCAGAATAATGTCTGAATAAATCATTAAGTTTTCTCAATTTAAAGATTTATATTTGCTCAATATTTTACAGTGTTGATACAAATTTGATTGTGGTGTTCAGGGACCAGTTTTCACATTAAGATATAAACTGTATAAGGAAAAAGAACATCAGAGATCAGGGTTAAGCAAAAACAAAAACTTCCACCTGCTAGACATCTTGATATTAGAATACTTTTTGAAAGGGAGTTTTGAAAAAAATAAATTGACCTATGATTAACTATGGAGGAAATATGTTTTAGTAAGAGTTATCCTTGTTTGCGCTTTACTACAAATTACAATGACTTAACCTAATATGGCTGAGGATTTGAAGATACAAATTATCTGGCCACTGTGTGCTGATGTTGATATAATATTTATCTAATTCAGTGCTTAGTTAAATGCAGCTCAATGCTCAAACACGTTTTCCTCAAAAGGGAATCCCCAAAATTAAGTTCAGTTTCACCTCTATTGTACAAGTCCCCATGTTGATAATACTTTGACCTTTCTCTCAGGACGTCCCGGATGACAGGAGCCTGGAGTACCCTAAACTGTATGAACCTGGTCAGCTAAATCTTCTATTCAACAAAAAGGAGTTCTTCATCTGCATTGCACAGGGCATCTACACATCAGTGGTCCTGTTTTTTGTCCCTTATGCCGTGTTATCTGATGCCACCCAAAGCTCCGGGGAGCCTCTCGCTGACTACCAAACATTTGCTGTCACCACGGCAACAGCCTTGGTCATGGTGGTCAGTGTTCAGGTAAGAGCCAGCTGTTCACTTTTTACCTCTACATCAGCAGAGTCACGCACAAGTCCTGTTTTTGTCAACTAATGTAGGACGTAGGACGCAGGATTCTGATTTGGAAAATTAAATGACTTTGAACATTTATGTGCTTGTGACATTGAGTGCATATCCAAATAAGGTGCTCCCTCACACCTATTTGTTTATTCACTCGCTTTTTACTTGGAGTTGGGGCTCTTAAATAGTGCAGAGTTTGGGTTTTTGGGCATAGAGATAGAGCAGTGTCTCAGGGGAAAGCAGAGATGTAGTGTGGACCACTACTGTTCACTCTCTGTGGTAAGTTAGCCAGGTCACTTTTCTCCAGCAACTAGGCACCAGGAATCAGTTTGCAAGAACGCTGGAAGTGCGAGTTCAGACACCAGGCCATCAGCGAAGAGCCATACATTCTGTGTTGGCAACGATTCCCAAGATCAAGGATTTAAACAACAAAGAGCCAGAACAAAGAGAATGTTTGGTGAATTTTATCAAAGGGAAATACGTTATTGCCCTTCTTCCTACGGGATTTGGGAGAAGCTTAATATACCAGTTAGCCCCATTAGTGGTGCATTACATATGTTACAACCAAACAGCAGCGATTGGTTAAATTTTAAAAAGTACTCCCCACCGTAGAGCAAACGAATCCTAATGCTGCGAGGTCAAACAGTTTCCACAAAGTGAAACCGACTGATAAATCAGGTTAGTGGCAAGTCCCATTAAGGTTCAAACTTATTGATATTCGATTTCTATGTTTTTCATGTCTATGTTAGGGTGACCAGAATTTCAAAAACTGGGACACCCTCTCTTTGGGACGGTTGGTAATAAAAAAAAAACTGTATGTAATTAAAGAAGTTGTTATGCACTCGATTCATGAGTTATCCACGACTTACTTATGAGTCAGTATATTAAGTGAGTACATGTTTTTTCAGTGTTTTGGGTAAACAGAGGACATGATATCCCCCTTTTTACTGTTGGCAGGTATCAGATTGGTCAAAAATAGGGACACCTGCAACGTTTCTTGTATAAAACTGGAACAAATCTGCAGGGACACTCTATGTGGCATCTTAGTTACAACTAATGTATATCACCATAGCTTCATTAATGGAAAATACATAAAGTAATGAATTAATGAAGACGGAATCTATGGGTAGGTTGCTTTACACTTCATGGTTTAGTCCTGATATAGTCCTGGTTTTGTTTTGGTTTAGTCCAGGGTTAGTTCAAGTTTAGTTCAAGTTTAGTTCAAGTTTAGCCCAAGTCAGTCACAATTTTGTTATTGTGTGAACTCAGCCTAAATGTCTGCCTATTTTTGTTTACTAATAAAAACTAAACAGTTATTAGTCATTATTTATGTATTATTATTAAGCATCAAGTGAAAAGTTTAAATTTGAAATATTATTTTTTATTCATCAATGAGCTCCATAACAGACTGAAACCAAAATCAGCCTCGTGATGCTTTGTACATTATGAGAAGGTTCATGAAGCAGTGCAATATGATGACACAAAACAAGAATTAGTTGACATAGAAATACTTTCGATTCAGTCAACAAAATTTGCATGACAGATGAAACCAAAACCTGACCTGAACCTGGTTTGGTTCTAATTTGCTGCTGGTTTTGTCTTGATTTAGACATGGTTTAGTCCTGTTATAGTCCTAGAATAGTCCAGATTTACTTGGTTTAATCTCAATTTTGATGCAGTATATATATGTGTGAATACAGTCTAAAACTAAATTAAAATATGTGAACTAAATGAACATTTGGGCAGTTATCCTCCTGTTTTCTTGTGTCTTCATACAGATTGCTCTTGACACCGGTTACTGGACCATTATAAACCATGTGTTTATCTGGGGCTCCTTAGGCCTCTATTTCAGCATCATGCTCGCCCTGCACAGCCAGACACTCTTCAGGATCTTTCCCAATCAGTTCCACTTTGTAGGTCAGTTCCCTGTCACGAAAAGAAATACTGCACTGTTTAGTTTTAATTTTACTGGTGAGATTGTTAAAAACCTTGTATACTAAAAATAAATCTGCATATTTTAATGTGTCGTCCCAATTAAGTAATTTGTTTTTGTCAAGTATTCTGCAGTTGTGATAATTAGTGGGCTTTTTGTCTAATACCTTAAGTGCTTTTTTATAAATAGTTTCAGCTAATTTAAGAGAACACTTGAACTCAAACCCCACCCCCAACTACCTTGTCTTGTGCCTGGCACTATATGCCTTTTGCACTTTGCACTATTTACATTGTATTATTTATTTATATACATGGGAGTGAGAAACAAAATTCCGATTGTTTATATGTTTTTCATATGAAGAATTGTCAATAAACTTTTTGAATTTTGAACTTTAAAGAGTAGTTTTGATTGTATTACTATATTGCTTCATTATTTATTGTATATCCCTTTTTTGCACAAGTGGGGAAATACTGTATGTGTTCCTTTTTTTGTAGTACAATAATATGTAAGTTATAGATGATCAAAGAAGAAACTCGTGATTCAAACTCTAACTACTTCATTAAATTTATTTATTTATTTATTTATTATATATATATATATTTTACAATAATCCCAGTAAACTCTTTTCAAAATTTAGAATATTCTGCTTTATAATTATTGTGTCAATGACATAAAGTAGTCTTCAGTATTCTGTAGCAGTATATCACACACCTGTTATGTGACAGACTAAGACTTATTACATCATAAGGACAGATGTTGAAAGTTGCTTTATACTGACATAGTTCCAAACATTTACGTCTGTGTGTTTTTGATTACAGGTAGTGCGCAGAGCACGCTGTTGCAGCCAGTCGTGTGGTTAACTATTGCACTGGCCACTGCAATCTGCATAGTTCCAGTTTTGACTTTCCGCTTCCTCAAGTTGGATCTCAGGCCTCAGCTCTCAGACACGGTAAAGATGCTCACTGAATCTGGCTAATATGTAACTTATCTGGATTCTTACTGTTTATCACCAAATGCACTCTGAACACACTGTCAATATTGACCCAGTGACTGTGTTCGAATGACATTTTTAGTCCACGTATTTAAGGGTTCAGCAACCTTGTCCCAGATGTTAGAAATGCAGAGAATGTGACATTTCAAATTAGTCTATGAGACCTAATTATTGTAATAATTATATTTTTTATATAAAAAAAAATAACATGTATAGACATTTTGATAATCTGGCAGGGATCCCTGCAACATTTGGTGAGAAAATCAAGTGACTGGATGACCACCAAAATTTTACAATACTAAGAACAAAACAGAAGGAGGGACTTGCTGGTCAGGAAACTAAAATCCCATTTATGGTTGAAATGATTAAGCGCAACACTTGACAAGTCCGCTAATAAAATATTATTTTCTGGATTACTTATTTAATCTAAACTGCAAAATCGAATGGACAATTTGATTTGTTAATAGTCTCTATCTAAAAGTCAATACATTTTCCCTGTATCTGGTTAAAAAAGACTTGCTGACAAGTCAACTAGAGTTGCAGCTCCTAACCAAACTGACCTATGTACTTTTATTGTTTCTGAATTGGTGAATTACTTTGTTTCAGGTGCGTCACACACAGTTGGTCCGTCTGAAGAAGAGGAAGCTGGCTGGTCGCTGTGCGGGTGGTCACTGGAGAGGGGCCAGTACCATGTCAGAGGGGCGTCTCGGGGCCCGTAGTGGCTCTCGGAGGTCGGGTTATGCCTTTGCTCATCAGGAGGGCTTTGGGGAGCTCATCACCTCAGGGAAGAACATGCGCCTCTCGTCTCTGGTACTGGGCTCGTTCGGCTCTAAGCACAGCTCCAGTTGGATCGACACACTGCGCCGTAAGAAGCACCCGCAAACGCCCACCTGCACCTCCGGAGACTGTAGCCCCGCCCCCAGCTCCATCTCTGCCTCTGTCCCGGCCCTTTCCAACTCGTCCTCCATGATGGGCGGGTCACAGGACACGCCCATAGAGGAAGAATCAGACACGACTACAGTTCCAAGTGTGACAGCATCTTTCTCCGCTGAAACCAATGGAGCCCCAGGTGCATCCCAGGGCCCGGCTCAACCCCAGCATAGCACAGCCCCGTCCTCAGCCACGGAGAGGAGCCAATCAGATCCCCCCACAGGCTGGACCCTCAGTCTGGGAGCAGTGCAGGTGACCTCTCAAACTTAAAGAGCGAGTATTACATTTCTATAGGGTATTAATTGATAACACATAACATTTTTAGATCACCATGTTATCTTTTATTGTTTTAAAAATGCTGAACTTGTCAAAAACAACACATTAAAATGTGTAATTAGATTCATATTTTGTTTTGATCCTTTAAGAACCCTCTTCCCTTACACTTCCCCTTCAGTGTGCCAATGATCGCAAGATTACTCAAACATGCATAACTGACTAAAACCACTTAATGTTTTTAATGAAAGAACAAGGTTATAAAAAGGTACAAGGCTCCAAAAAGAGGATTTTGCATAATACCCACTCTTGAAGAAAAAAATAGCTGCACTACCGGTCAAAAGTTTTAGAAAGAACACACTAATGTTTCCACTTATTTATTGCAATTGAAGTTATGCAAGTCCAATGAAGAGCTTGAAATGGTACAAACGTAAGTACTGAACAGCCAGAGGTTAAAAAAACAGATATTTATTTGATTAATAATAAATATTGATTTCTATTGTAAAAAGAACGAGCCACAAGTGTGTTCAGCTGTTATATCTATCAAATCTGCCACTTTCATGAATCAAAAGTTTAGAAAACGTTTTGGTCAACAGTAAACAGTAAAAAAGTGGAAAAAGTGTGGTGTTCTAAAACCTGTGACCGGTAGTGTATATGGTACTTTATTATGCCCCTTATTCTTACTCATGTTACATTGTCGCTCTGTGCTTGTGTCTTTCTCTTTAGGAAGCCCTGTTTGGATGGAGGAACTCAGCACCTTGCAGCAATTCAGCCAGTTAGGTATAACATGATTTTCCAGCTCAATAAACCAAAGGGAAATTGTGAAACATTGATTTTGCGATTATGAGCGCACAGAACCTAAGCTTACAGTATTTATGGATGGATAAATGACAGCTGTAATGGACTGTGTTATTTTCATGGGTTTTACAAATGAAAAGAAACAAAAGAAGAGAATTCACTATTCAAGATGCTTTTGAAAACCATATACTTTTAATGTTGCCTTTGAGATATAAAATAGTATTAGAGTTTAAAGGTCCTATATTATGCAAAATGAATTCACGTGAGCTTTAAGCCATGTTTAAATGATGTGACCTTATCAAAATCACACCCAGATTTGTGACCACACATGTCTGAGTAATCCTTTATTTGTGGTTTGTCTACATCTTTAAAGCTCAAAATGCTCTGTTCCACGTTGTGATGTCATGAAGTGACAGATTTCAAGATACAATTTACATTTTGTTCAGTTTAGAGATTGCCAATCCCAGTTCTAAAATCATCCAAATCATTCTGTATGGAAGGTGTATGGAGTTTAAAAACACAGTGGAGGACTTTCTGTATTACCTGGGATGTAACAATAACCGAAATATTGTGATATTGTATCGTCAAAAGTCTCACAATAATATCGTGGGCTGTTACAATATATTGAATTATAAGTTCCTTTGCTTAAATGCATGTTTTTATAGTAGCAACAGTTTATAAACATAGGGAACTACATATCCCATGATTCATTTCAGTGCAGACAACATGAAGACATATGTTTTTACTTGAACTCTTGGGATTATGACGGAAATAATTCACATCAAAATTTTGTCAAGGTATTTTAAAAGCAAAAAAGTGTTTTATCTACAATTATATTAGCCTCTTCAAAATATCACAATAAATATCGTACCGTGAGATGCATATCGTGATAATATTGTACTGTGAGATTTGGATTTCGTTACATCCCTAGTATTACCGCAACACAGTGGAGCAGAATGTTTTCCATGAGAGAAGATCTCGCCTAAATATGCAGGATTTGTGTGTTAAACATGTGTGAATGAAACAAAACACAAGTCCAAGTGTGTTTGTGATGAGGAAACAACATCGTAACAGATCAGAAAACAGTGTAATATGGGCCCTTTAAGAGTTGTAGAGCAAATACTAAACCATGTAAATCATATAGCCTACTTCTGAGCCTGTTTATGTCGACTACAGTTCTCAGTGAGAACAGAACATTAATTTACAGATTAGACTTTATTTTCCTTTGCCACTTACATCATATTGGTGTGTTTATTACGGCTCAACCACATGCACCTTAAGCGTGATTTATGTATTATTTTAGGCCTACATATAGTCTGACAATAGTTCTGGTAAAATGTAGGCATTCATAATTTATTTGTAATTTATATATGTCATTAAATTTTACTTGGATGCTCACTTTGGTTTGTTTGAATTTGTTTTATTATCATTATTTTGTTCAAGTAAATAATTGTCATACAACCAAATGCTGTGTGTTGTGTTTTATTATTATTTTAGTATTTTTAATTACACTGCTTTTCCCTAGATAATCTTTGTTGAAAATGGTCCATGCCTGAACTCTGATCTTGGTTTGACAGGACTGTAGGAGCAGTGCACTCAGTCAGACCTTTAACTTTCATATAGAAACATTTGCGTGTATTTGGCAGCGTGGCGTACACTTTATAGGATTTATAGATGCAGTAAAAGCATTTTGACACAGAAGCAGACATTGCTAATAAGAAAATAATGTGTATAAAATAAGCCTTATATTAAAAAACTTTACTTATTTCCTCTGTTACTGCGTCACGATAGAAAGAAGAGACCAGGGATTTCTCAATAGCGAGTTTTTACGCACAACCCAGTGGCAAATAGATCCCGCCTTAAAGAAGCTCTGTGAGAACACTCGGACACACAGACTCGTAATTAAACTGTGCGCGATGGATTGAGCACGAAGACAAGGGAATATTGATGAGAAAAACCAAAACATGTGGAGAACTTTTGTCTCCGCGCTGTGCGTCCTGAGTGTTACTCCAGTCCGCTGCCTGTTTCATGGAAGCTGCCCCAGGAAAGGTGAGCTGTAATGGTTAAACAAACAAAAACTGACTGAAAACGAATATATAATAGAAACGAATTCACTACTCGTTTTTTAGTTAGTTAATTTAAGTGTAAGTGTGTGGATATTAAATTAACGTGGAGATTCCTGTTTATGTATTTTAGGTTATTTGGAAAAGATAAGGCAAGGCAAGTTTATTTGTACAGAACAGTTCGTACCCAAAGTAATTCAAAGTGCTTTACAGACTAAGAAATGCATTATTGATTGATTGATATTTCGGTCACAGGTATATTCTGACATTATTTCACAGATGGTCATATTTAACATACACAGACCGAAAAGGTGTAGGCTGTTTTCTTGACACCAGTTCATTTTCATAAATACAGCAAGAGGAAACAGACAAATCAGTAACAGTACTACAAAGTACTACAGCACAAACTAAGTATCATAATTCATGTATCTGCCCAGAGTTTAACATTTAAACTTTTTTTTACAAAATGGAAGAGAGTGGTGCACGTTAAAATCACAATACAAACTAATCAAAACACAAATAATCATCATAAAATTAAAAAGAGAGAGACATTCAATGAGAGAGAAGGTAATGGTGTTTAGTTAACAGGTTGACATGTTTCTGTCCCACTCTCAGTTATGAGTCTAAAGAAAAAACAGGTCTTTTGAAATCATTATTTTGTACAATAATTCAGGTTTGCTTTTGAGTGGGAAATTTAGAAAATAAAAGTTGGCATTTATTTTTATTTATTTAATCATGTTTTAAAGTAGAATGTTTGTTAGTTTTTCTCTAAATTGCACAAGTAAAACATCAAGCTTCTACACTCTTTTGGTAAAAATCTGACCTTTTTAACCTCCAAGAAATGATTGATAACAGGAAATATGCCACTGATGAAGAGATTTAGCGAGATTATGTTTCAGAACTAAACTCCCACATCCTAAGTTGTGTAGTATCCACAAGTAGTAGTAGTGGTTTTACTGTACTATTTATTGTTTTTGTTTGTTTTTTTCTGCCAGACCCCCCTCCTGGTGTGGTTGTTGTGTCCGACGGGCAGTGAGTTGGTCCTAACATGCAGTGGTCACGTGATTGTTGATGGGGTAAAAGTTGTGTTCCCCACCTTTCCTGCTTCTGTCACTCCTTTAACAACAAACTCCATAACCCACAATGCTGTGCTCCCAAAACAACAAGATACAGTGACCAGGGAGAACCAAAGAAAAACAGTTCCTACTTTTTCACCCTCTGTGAGCCATCCAGTCAGGGAGAAGACCGAGTTGGGTGCTGGAGAGGAGGACGGATTTGAGGATGAGTTTGATGATGAAGAAAAAGAAGAAAGAAGTGTAAAGAGGACGATTCAGTGGAAATGGAACAATAAATATTTGCAGGGGATGACGCACGGGTCCTCACTGTCTCTGTCCCACCTGAGAATGAGCGACTCTGGGCGCTACAGCTGCCATCTCAGAGGCGCAGAGAGGTTCTCCACAAAGATCATAGTGTCTGGTACGTATCCTTTATCTCAAATGTAAAAATCTACTGTAAAGAGATATTCACAAATTAGTTTAAAGGAAGGAGGGTCTGCCACCTGCTTGTCCTGCATGGTCCATCTATATTGCTTTGCCTGGAATGTTGCATAATAATTAATTTTAAATGTATATCCATGGAGACAAGGTCAGGTTATGTCAAGTCAAGGTATTAAGTAAGCAATAAAGGAACAGAGTAATGGCAAGATACGTAAGTTTAATGCCATACTATAGAAAACTCCTAGTCAGGCTGGTGTCACCTAGTGCCTCCGCTCAATTTCATTTTTCTCCAGCGACTAGGTCAGAAATCAAAATACTCCAGACAGTTTGCAAGAACCCCGGAAGTTGTAGACCTCACACAGGCCAATGAGCGAAGAGCTGTGAAGCCATGACTGCTTCCCTTTTGTGGTGCAGGACAACAGTAAACAAAGCAGTCAAGATGGATGTAGACAAAGCCATACGTTCTGTGTTGGCAAAGATTCCCGTGATTGAGGATTTAAAGCCAGAACCAAGAGAATGTTTGATGAATTTTATCACGGGGAAAGACGTTATTGCCCTACTTCCTACAGGATTTGGTGCAACATATATGTCACGACCAAATAGCAACAAAAAGTACCCGCCTACCGTCAAGCGAACAAATCCTAATGCTGCGAGGTCAGACGTTTCCATGGAGACACGATGGTGGCAGACCCTCCATCAAAGTTACATAGAGCACCTTTAATATTCCCTATACACAGAATATGTATCTTGTTAGAGTACCTATAGCATCATTGTATTAAGTTTGTGTTTTTTTGTTTGGTTTCAAGATGATTCCAGCTGGTATAAAAATCCTCTTGAGATTTCCATAAAGCATTCTGATTCATTAATCACCTGTCACTCACTGTCAAATGAATTAAGACTGACTAATAGATCACGATTCAATTTTATTACGTATTGTCCTTATTTGAACGTATTTAAACTGTCAAAATATAAGACGCATTTAGCCCAGACAAAAATATCTTGAAGACAACCTGAAGCTAATGACTCGTAATAGTCAAGACCTTACAAATCAAAATAACCTAACCATTTTATTACAGCATGACCAATTCTTTTTTTTTTTTTTTTTTTTTTTTTTTTGTTATATTTGCTTGAATTTGCTTGTTTCTGTAGAGACTGCAGAGACTCCACATTTGTCCTGCTACAAAAAATCCCCAAGCAGCAAGATCCGGTGTGAGTGGACTCCACAGACACAGCTTTACAAAGGCACCAGCTGCTCCTTGTTCATTCTCAAAAGGTCAGAAAACACACTCCAAAGAAAATATATTACATTACATACAGGTTTCACTACGTAACTTCTCTGAAGGAGGATCCAGTCCGCCGTCTTCTTGTTTCTGTGGATAGACAGGCCTAGTCTCGAATGTTCCACAGCATTAATATATAGTCTTTATCTGTTCAAATGCAGATATTGTTATTGGTTACCGTGAGTGGGAACACTCTACAGATCTGTAACTCAATGCCTCACTGTGGAACAATCCTGTCAAATAAAAAAAATCCATGGAGTCAAGAAAAGTTATGCAAACCTTTTTATTCATCCCAGAACAGTGGAGGGGAGATTCTTGACTGCAACTAGGCGGCGGCAGTAGCTCAGTTGGTAGAGCATTTGCCCACTGATCTGAAGGTTGGTGGTTCGAATCCCGCTCTTGACATAAACATCACAGGTTGAGCGGTCAGATCCACTGACCCACAGGTTGGCTGGTGTGATTCCAGCTCCCACAGATGAATGCTGCTGTTGTGTCCTTGGGCAAGACACTTAACCCACCTTGCCCACAGTGTCTGCGTACACTGGTGTGTGAATGTGTGTATGAATGGGTGAGTGGTTCCTTGTTGTAAAGCGCTTTGAGTGCCTTGAAGGTGGATGGTTTTCTTATTACTCAGGGGCAATTAATTTGGGCAGCATCAAACTGTTTGACAACACAACACACACGGTGAAGCCCATTCATAACCAGCACAATATTAAGAACTCTCAGAATAAAAGCAAAAGAAATTGTAATTCTGTCAACCGAACAAATGGCTTCTTCAGTTCTGACTGAACTGGTGAGTCCTGGCCTTTGTTCTGTCTGAAGGGAGAAACTAACTGACCGCTTCACTTTAAAACTTTGTTCAGAATTACATTTTCTTTTGCTATAGAACCTACCTGGATGACACATCTCTAACTAACTACTGCATGTTTCTTTTCAGTCCGTCGACGTTGTTCTCGGAGGTCCCGTGCTCCTACTCCGTGCAGCGCTCTAAATGTTGGTGCGCTATGGACCATAATGAAGGGGACAAACGAACACTGCACCAGGCCTTCCTCTGTGTGTCCAGCATCACCAATAACTCCACCAGCAACCTCCTCTTATTCACACCTATGCACATCTGTAAGACAAAACCTCCATACCCCCTATATTCAAATGATTAATTCAGTCTGTGTTTATGGTGATATAGCACATCAAGAAAAAAAGTCATGTTTGGTTTATTTGTTCCACCACAGTTTTTAATTTGATTTGCTTATTTCTTTTTAAAAAGTAATTAAAAAGGCTTGCAATGTACATTTTCTGAGAACAAACAAGACAAACCTTTAATCTGACTTTTAAATCCTCTTTAACCGGCAGGCCTTTTTCTGAAAATTTTAGTTGTCAAGATTTTTTCCAGTATCTACAATGTCCACGAAACTGGAAAATAAATAAATAAATAAATAACACTGGCAAAGAATAAGTGAGATTCAAATCCTAAAACTGAATTACCACCTAAAAACCAAACATGGATTTTGGCATGAAAAAGATTGAAAGAACAGAAACTTTGGTAGAATTTGACACAATATTGCAGTTAAGGGATATCTTAATGAAATTTGATATTGGAGCTGTATGCACATTGGTCTCAAAAGTGCATTATCTGTCTAAAAATAAAGCACCAAGAGTATTTTTCCAAGAATCTGTGATGTTAGTCATTGGATCCCAAATCTATATCCTATCTCCTCTTCAGCAGGACTCTAGGACTCATATTTTGCTCTCTTTCTGTGTTCCCCTTGTTTCCACAGTAAAGCCAGACCCTCCCTACAACGTGTCTGTGCAGCCGGAGGTTGGACTGAACCAGACCCTGGTGGTGAAGTGGAGACCCCCGTACACCTGGAAGATACAAGACCGCGTCTATGAGCTCATCTATGAAGTCCGATATAAACCCGTGATATCTGCATATTTCCAAGTTAGTTTCACTTCCTTCTTCACTGCAGCAAAAGAACATCCACATTGGCATAAATTACATTTGTTTGTAGTTTTATAACATTAGGCCTACTTTTTTGACTTGTTTCACTACATTTGCACAATACATAATTTACATAAAGATAAACTGTCTGGTAGGGTTAGAATAATGCCCAAGTTCTAGGATTTGAACTAGTCAAAAGTACAAATAGTTCATCAGATGCGCTGCTTAATTATTTTGCTGGAGGGTCCACCACCTGTTTGTCTCCATGGAGCTTTGCAATGTTTCACTGTGTGGCATTAAACCTATATATATATCTTCACTGAGATGCCATCAAGCCACAGTTACAGTTTTTTGTGATTTAAATTGAATTAATGCAAGACAATGTTCAATGCCAAACATCCCAGACAAAGCCATACAATCTCCATAGGTAACTCCATAGGTATAGGACATAGGTAACTGGTAACTGGTATTTCACACCTCATGTTGGAAACATTTGTTTAAGATTTACATTTTTGTAGCCTTTGGCCCTATTTTTACATATGAATTCAGCTGGAATGATCTGAGGTCGTAATAACATTCAACATTCAAACTTGTACATATCCCCTTTGTTCAGTGTTGTACAGGGAAGTTGGGGGTCTATATTTTGTGGTGACCTTTTCTGTTTTCTCTGGCAGACAAATTCAATCAATGAGCAGACAAACAGACACACCATCACAGATGCAGAGGCGGGGGAGCTGTATGAGGTCCAGGTCCGGGCCAAAGACGAGTACGAGGGGCAGTGGAGTGAGTGGAGTGCCCCACAGTACGGACGCAGCTGGACAGGTACAGTGAAAATACACTAGAGAAACATTTGTAGATATTAGTATTTTAAAGTGCATTTGAGAGGTGTGATTACTCATTTGCCTAACTTCATTCACACAGTCACACAACATAGACACACAATGTTTTTAACATTTTAAAATGTTATATTTAAAATGTGGTGTTTTTTTTTTCCTTTGGCTTATGACATACTTAGAGGTAATTCGATGTTACTTGTCAATTATGTGAGCAAGGGCCAAAATTTGTTTAAATGGCTGACTAATAGAAAGAAATTGTTTTATTTTATTTATTTTCTTAAAAGAATGCTCAGAAAAAGTTGCAGTTGCAGCAGAAGTATAAATAATAATATGGTAATATTTTCTAAAATATTTACACATTCCATTTTCTCATTTATATTTTACAGAAGTGTCATATGAAGATCTGTCAGTGACATCCGTGAGTATTAAAGATACTTTATAAACATCTATGTGGGATTTATTCCTTCTTTTTTTTAAATTATTATTATTAAAAATATTGTCCATTCACAGTTTCCGTACACATATAGTGAGGGCTCAGGCTCTGAGGACTTCATTGAGGGTAAGCTCAACTGTTAGACTCAAGATGGTTTGGGGAAAATATTTTATTGCACCCAGTCTGACAAACAGGAGCATTGACATGTGAGAGAAGAGAAGATTGAAATATGAACAAATAAACTAAGAATTCCTTGAATTTCCAAACAAGTTCAAGATCATATAAAAAATGTCATTTGCAGAAGGAAATTCAGATTTATAAATAATTGCTGCCTTTGCAGTTTGATAATTACACCAACTCAAAATGCCATTTTCATCTGATTGTGTTATACTGCATAGCTTTAGTTTGTAGAGTTGTAACTTCAGGAGGATTACAGGTTATGAAGGATTAGTACATGATAAGACCGCACTGAAACAGGATCTCTAGTTTCCAGAAGATTACATAAATTACCTAAATAACAACAGCCTTTGTATTCAGTATGGCAACCATTATTTTTGTGAATTTTGGTTGGAAATGATTTTCAGCGCTAAACCAGGCTTGTTCTGTTAAACTGTTGGCCGTTTGTTGTTGTTGGTGGTGAAGTCCCTTCTGTCCCAATGGGTGTCCCAATGGGCTTCAGCAGGAAGTCATGTCAACAGAATATTGAACAACGAAAGAAGCCAGTGGCACCCACAGGAAGCATGGCCCAAGACACCTCTGCCACACACCATTGCACCAATTACACGCTTTATATTACTTAAAGTGTTAAGCTCTATTTACATCACTGCAAGATTTATCACACAATCAGACCCAGAATTTAAAGGTCCTATGTTATGCAAACTTGAAACAATGTTGTTTCCTCTTCAAAAACATACCTGGAGTTGAGTTTTGTTTCACTCACACATGAGTAAACCTTTATCTTTGGTTTGTCTATATCTCCACAGCTCAAAATGCTCAGTTCCACCTTGTGATGTCATGTAGTTATAGTTTTCAAGTTTATAGCTGCCCTTTACCATTAATTTAGAAGAGATTGTAAATTCCAGGGTTGAAAACATCCAAATGATTCTAGTGAAGGTGTATGACCTTTGAAAACACAGAGGAGCACCTGTATAACCACATGACATCATGAGGTTTTTGGTTTGAGAGAAGAACTGAGCTCAATAAATATGAAGGGTTTGTGTGTGTGAATGAAGCAAAACATAACTCCAGGTGTCTTTGTGATGAAGAAACATTATAACATTGCATAATCTGGGCTCTTTAAATGGTAACAATTAGAAAATCACAAAGGCTGCAATTATTTAAAGGTACATTATGTACATTTTCTGCTGGGGGGGTTTGTCACCTGCTTGTCTCTATGCATGTTGATGCTTTGCCTGGAATACTCCACACTATGACATTTAATTTGTTTATCTTGTGTGTATTGCTCAAAAATACATTGAAAAACCTGCATCTTATGTGATCTTTACATATCTGACCTTTCACTTACTTACTGTGCAACTTTTTGGTTGGGGTCTGTCACCTGCTTGTTTTTGTGGATATGTCATCGCTCTACCTGGAATGTTCCACAGTATGACATTAAACAGCTCTACCTTACATTTATTCAACTACATGTGGTTTTATAGCTCAAAATTGCATTGAAAACAGGTGTTCTGATTGTGAGCAGGGTCGCTTCTCCACAAATCTGACCTGTTACTTGGTCTGGTTTGGTCTCTGTGAAGATAAAAAATTAATTAAATGATTAATACCATATTGTGAAACATTCCAGACAAAGCAATAACATTTGCCGGGCCCTCTACCGGAAAAGTTACACAATGCACCTTGAAGCAACATAATGTTGTAAACAAAATATCTAAAGCAGTCACCTGTTGACCTCTACAAACATATTCTGAAATGCATGTGATTCTTATATATAAGTTTAGTAGTTAATATTTCAGTCTTCTCTCATATTTTGATGGTAGAATTGCTTATAATGTGAACTTAAAACATAATCCTACAATTAAAACATGAATTGCAAATCTAATTGAAATGTAGATAGTTTTCCAAAAATCATTCCACCCTCTTAATGATGATGGTGTTTTTCTTCACAGATCTGTCTTCCTCTGCGCATCCTGAGCAAACTGTGTCACAACTCTATCTGTGGGTCGTACTGTCCCTTGGCTTCTGCTTTACCATTTTGGTGGTATACTTTATAAGGTAATTATCACGGGTTCTGCTGCGGTGTGGTCACTATATACTATGCTGACCAGTGCATAGTGACATCGTGTACTTGGGCAAGACACTGCACCCACCTTCCTTATGAATGTGGTGTTTTAGTGACTGGTGGTGGTCAGAAGAGCACAGATTAACAGCCAAGTAAAGCGACATAAATGTATTGTAGTTAAGAAACAGTAGAGTAATAAATGCATATTCAATTGTTATTGCAAACAAATTGTTGAGTTGTAATTTAAACTTTAATTTTATGGACTAATTAATTTGTGAACTTAGATACTACATTATATACCCATGTGTACTAATGTAGTACATCAATAAAATGTATTATGAAGTCGTGATATTGTAGTGTTAGTAGTTGTTGTTGCATGGTAGTAGTAGTAGTAGTTCTTGTTATAGTAGTAGTAGTAGTAGTAGTAGTAGTAATAATAGTTCTGGTAGTTCAGCACTGGTTGCATTTGCAGTTAACATCACATTTTTGGAGTTAGAAGATTATTTAAATGAGAGCCAAATGATCTAATTTCTTTCTTTTTATGGTCCCTCTGTTTACTCACATCAGATTTTGCAGTTTACATGTCATAAATAATCTTAAAAGTCCAGAAATCGTACGTACATTTGAACAAAGCCTCTGTAATTTCATCATTGTGGGACAAATGAAGGTTTATCTATATCTTATTAGTTCTTGTATTAGTAGCTCTTGTAGTAATAGAAATACTAATAGTAGTAGTAATACTAATAGTAATAGTAATAGCTATTGTAGTAGTATCAGCAGCAGCAGTACATGTGATTTGTTTTGATTCATTGTTTATTTGTCCAGGTACAAAGATCGATGTTTGTCCAAACTGCAGAGCTTTGGTGCGTTACCTCAGTGCAGTGATTCGGTGCACCCTCAGCCTGGACCTGCCCCGGCTGTGACAGAGGGACACGCTCTGCTTAACAAGAACCACCCTGTGAATGAAGTGAAAGAGAGAAGAGAACAGGAACTGAGAGAAGAAGACATGACTGAGACTATGAACATCAATAACACAAGCTATTTTTTGGTCCAGATGGGATTCTAGATATAAGCATGGTTAAAGGGCCTGTACCTGACTTTGAATCATGAGTCAGAAACATGTTTTAGTTTGAACCCTTAATGACCCTTGTGAAAATGCATCATGACAGAGCACCACGTGTCTGAGATAGTGTCAGGTAGCTGGTTTTCCATGATCCTCAGTGAATGAGCCTGATTATATGAAAAAGGTGACGCTTTGTAAAATGCATAGATTAGCTTGTATATTACAGTATTATTTTTCTTATCGTGCAGCTTTTTGCCATATAATGCATTTGTGAAGAGCCTTAATCTTGACAAGAATCAGTTAAAATCAGGTACAGCCCCTTTAAAGAAATGTACAATATATGTTTGTAATAATAATGTTTTTTGCCTATCTTACACAGTCTACCTCTGAAATCTCTGGGGTTTCTTAAAAGGGCAGCCTTTGCCAGGTTGTGAGAATTTTAATGAAAAGAGGGTATTTTACATTGCTGTTTTAATGTGTCATTGTAAATAAATATATAAATATTGAATGAAACAGAGTAAACTGTGAGTTTCTTATGTAGCTTAAGGAATACATCGTTAATCATGGGAATGATTGCAGAGGTTAGTTTAGAAATATTAAATTCATGCGCATAGTTTAAGTTTGCTTATTTGATTTGTGTTTGTGGGTGGATGCAGTCTTTGTAAAATAGACAATCTGAAGAAGCAAGTAACTTTTTTTGGTGGGAAGTTTTGGTGGGAAGTTTTTGTTATCATGAAATGTCACTGCTCTGTCTGGAATGTTCCACTATCGACAGTGCAGTCATAGAGTTATCAGAATATTGAAATGCCATGGAAAGAGTTAGGCCTATATCTATCCTATATAATATAACATTATTTTATGTGCATCTGAATTTCCCATAAACACACTGACTCGCCAAGGGATTTCTGAATTATACGTACTGTGCTGAGTAAGTCAAATTTCATTGATTAAATGCCTATTACCATTGTACACATATCATTTTGATGCCTAACTTTGCACACTAATAAATGGATAATGGTTCATGTTCTATAGGTATCTAACCTCATCCAAGCCTTGCCATGGCTCTTCTATTCATTTAATTTCTTATGTCCTCTAAAACTAGTAGCGGACACAAAAAATTTTGATTTTGTAAAAGTAGCTCAACGGAGTAAAAGGTTGGAGACCTCTGCTGTATTCAGTCTAATAGATCCTTTGAAAAATTGTAAACAAAAATATTTTTAAATTCCAGATGGAGGCAGCTGGAGGCAAAAGTGAAGTGGAACATAATGCGACTTTCATGGGATTACTAGGATTAATTTCAGAATGTCACAAATTATGAAAAATCAAGGAAAGTTTGGAAAATGAAAACCACTCAGATACATGTGAATGCTATCAGAGCCCAGTTTAAAAACACTTACAATTGTGTTTTATGACAAGACTGACAATTTTTTTTTTTTTTTTGACAGAAGACAATTATGATAGACACTAAGCATTTTTACAAAGGCAAAATCCACATTTTGAGGTTTTACAGGACAGATCCTTACAGAAATGTTGAGCCCACAATAGTTTTTCATTTCATCTACAGATATATTACACATTTCACCACAAATTATACTTTTTGTAAAGCCCAAATATTTATCTATTTTAGGGTTAGAAAACGGTATTTTTCCATACCTTGAAAATTCAAAATGGTTATTTATTTTTTGTTATAATGTCATGAAACCATTAGCATTTAGGTCTGCTCATCAGTTAATCATTGTAAATATATTATGTTATCTTAATTTTGCCTCCATGTTTCCAGACTTTTGAACATTCTGATGACATCAGATTTGAAAGGGTCTGAGAGAACAAATAAAAGACAAACAATCAAATAACCAAACGATCTTTTTTTGGTATTTATTTGGAATTCATTATTACCATTTATATTTTTTCTATTTGTTATTTTATTATATTGTGGTGTGTGAGCTACTGTGTCCAAATAATTTCCCTTGTGGATCAATAAAGTTTGTCTAAGTCTAAACAAGAGCATTATAGCAGGTAATGTTTGAGCACACTGCCCTCTGCTGGACTCGGGTGGTATTACCGGGTTTCCTCTGGTTTCCATGGAGACCGTAGACTCCACTGTCAGAAACAGGCGCATCTGAGACTTCACTTGCAGTCGGCAAAGATAAACTTATTATCAGTTACAGATCAATAAAAGTCGTTTGCAGCTTTTCACAATGACGGGGAAAAGCAACGTGGTTAAACTTGACCACGGTGTTTTAAGCGCTGAGCAGCAAGAAAAACTAAAGCAGTTCAAGGCACGTATTGATGCTAACGAGTGCCGAGTTAGCTTTGCCTTAGCAGCTATGGCTAAAATGTGTGTTGTTTTTTTTGTTTTTTTTTTGCGCAGATTAAAACAAGAATTGACAACGAGAACTACCTCAGATCACATCCAGAGATAGAGATCCTCGTTGGCGACTTTCTAAGGTAGAACAAAGTAAATTAATCTACACAAGGCATGCCCTTAAAGTCACATGGGGCAATAGCTTTCTCATTATCTGTCTGTCTAACTGTGCTCTGATTAACACATAGCTACATAAACACGACATGAAGATTGAGGATCACATTAGAGCTAACCAGGGCAGCTGTGGGCCCAAATGAAACTAAACGAATGGATGCAAATGTAAGGCTAAGACTTTGACTGTCAAATGAAATCAAAGAACCATTGGTGCCACTGTCTCGGGACTTAGCTTACATAAACTTTAAATACATTAAGGAAGTCTACCCTTAAGTTAAAGTAAATAGTTTAATAGTAATTGTTTATTTACTGTAAATCCTTCAGTTTTATTCACCCAGCTAGGATCCATGTAAAAGAAGGTTGAATTCAGCTTTTTAAGTGTGAATATACTTTGAGAGTCATCCAAATAGTCCAGCTTTGTTTATTGAACATTTTTAACATTAACAAACTAATCAAGTGCACTGTGTTGAATAGTACTAATACAGGAGGACACATCTGAATGTCAACACCCCTACTCACTGTCTAAACAACCCAAAATAAAAATAAATAACTGAAAAATAAGTCAATAAAAAGAAAAATAATAATAATGATTAAGTAAATAAAATTGATAGTAGTAATATATAAATTAAATAAATGTACAATGCAAATTAATACCAAAATAATGATAATAATAATAACTAATTCAAAAATAAATTCATTTTAAAAAGTAGCAAAATAGGAAGTAGTGATGCGAAAGGAGGAAATGAGAGGTGAAAGTTTACATAGGATAAGAAGAGGAAAATGAGGGGAAGAAAGGATTATTCACTATGCTTGAGTCATCCTCCTGATCCTGAGTTATTGAAATAGTAAAAGTTAAAAAAATAGTTTTAAAAAATACTTATCAGAGCACTGTCAGAACTGAGGAAGATTTTTGGATGAGTGGTGAAACTACCCACTCACTTTCCACCATGGCAGAATTCACTGTTCTTTTGATTTGATTTTCTATTTTCCAGAGACGTGCTTCTGCAAAGACCTGTTGACGTTCGTGATTTTGCTGCAGGTGGGTCACTGACTTAGAACAATAAAAATGTCAAATTGTTAAGCACGTTGTTTAGGAGGTTATAATTAGGCCAGTTAAGATCTATTAGGTCAACATTGTGATAAATGGAACAAGGAACAAAAAGTACAATGAAAAATAATTTACCCTAAAAATCAGTTTGATTGATTTGAATAGTTTGATGTGTCTCTACAGCTCATGTTTGAAGGCACTGTGCCTAATTTTTACTGACTTAAAAATGTGAAAAATTTTATTTTGATCCAAAGTTACTCTTTGTGTACCTTATGCATTCTGAGTAACTCTGAATAAATCTAATAATTATTCTTGGCAATGAGTTTATTTTGTTTACTATTACGATAAAACAAGGTAAAAACAATAAGCATGATAACTGTGCACTTCCTGAAAAATTAAATTCTATATGGTTAGATGCAGACAGTACTCAGGAGCTGCTTATACAATATATTTGTATTGGTGCAAGACAAATTTTCCTTAAATACATTGAAAAACTGGGCACAGGGCAGTACTACAAAAGAAGAAAACCTTGCCAGGGCATGCAAATAAAAACACACTTCTTATAATACTTATCATACAAAGAGAGAATTACCTTAAATGATCTGTAATCATAACTAATGAAAGGCTAATTACTGTGAGTTGTTGAATTCCCCTTTTACCAAAATGACTTGTTTGTTTTCAGAGCATTTCAGCAACCCAAACCTGCAGAGTGACACGCTCTCTAAAATGGACAAGACTAATGAATTAAAGTGAGATACTTTTAATCCTCCTAACACAAGACGAGGAGTAACCATGGAATCTCACTCATTTGTCTCGTTTAGAGTATTGTTTAAAGTGATTTTTTTATTGACTTAGGACTTATAGTCTTAGTAATAAGAAGTGGCATTCAACATTTGTCTTTCTTTGTGTTTGCTGTCATTCTATATGGCTGTAGATTTTCTTCTGAGCATGCAGTGATAAAAAAAAGGTTGAAAATGTCATTTGTAATACATGTAATCTTTGAGTCACTAAAAACAAAAACAAAAATAGAGAAAACGCAGAAGTTGTGACTGAGCTCGTGCTTTGTTTTTGTCATATTTGCATAAGTTCCTTTACAGGAAAATTTAGGCCTGCTGACACTACCCCAATTTGTTGGTGGTTCCTCTGATTGTTCAAAAATATTCCCACAAAGGCTCCTCTGCCATTATCGTTTGATTACGACTGCATTATAATAATGAATAATACACAGTGACCCCAATGATCGATAGTGAAAGTGACTGCATGTAACTTTGCTGGTCACTTCTCTCCATGAATGAACAGATTTCTTTAACTTGTCTGTTTTTAGAGACTGGAATAATACAAAATCCAACTTAAAGTGGATATGACAGGTTAGACTACTGTTTTCCTCTAAATCACAGTTAACGTGGTTATTTTTAAAATTTTACTAAAGTTTATCATTTTACTTTCTGGCTGGACACGGGCAGCAGATATAACATACATAGAGATACATTACCTAGCAACTATAACAAGGGCCAAAACATGTCTGAATTACACAATAGTTATGATTTGTCAAATAATAAATTACAACACTTTTATTTTGTGAAATGAATGTTTGAACTGTTTCCTTATGGGTACATTGTCTCTGCATTTTGGATGGAGTTTATGTCAGTTCATGACATAGGCAGAAGTACTCTGTTTTAAAACTTACAACTAAACAACTTTTTCTTTATTATTATTATTATTATTATTATTTATTCACAAACTGCTGCTTAACTGATACTGTACAATTATGATAAATCTATACCTCAGATTCAGTGGTCAACTTGTCTCACAGATGCAGTATGTTAAGCATGTTTCTTTTTATCGCGGCTGTTTTGTCAACAAGCTGTCCTTTTTAGTTCCTATTTAAAGCTACTTCTGTGGAAGCATAATCAGGCTTGAATAGCCAATAGTCAGTAATGTTCAGTATTCACGTCACTCGGTCCCCGACTGATCTCAGACAACACTTATTTTCCCTAACAAATGTTCTATAAATAAAAAATTACTTGCTTAATAGAAAAATTTATTAATCTGTCAAAGGCTCTTTGTTCCTGAGCTTTAATGAACAATTGGCTTGTTCATTAAAGCTCTTTATTCCTGTGTCCATTGAAATCCTACCCCACTGTGCCTGCTGTGTGGTTGTTTGCTTCACGTTTTGGGGGAGCAGTCTATATTTGCCTAAGCTCTTTCAATAATACATACTAGAGTTTTACCATCACACAAGCCTTTTAGTAAAATCCATTCACTATTCATTCAATATTTGACTGTTGACATTTACATAACTTCCTTTACTGTAAAGGCCGCTACCCCAGTTTGTTGTTGTTGTAGAGTTGTTGTTGGATATTGTTTCGATGTTCCTCTGATTGTTCATAGTCTGTTTCCACGATGGATTCTGTACCATTGGAGTTTGATTAGAACTATAAAACATATACAATCTACATATATTCATACAAGTGTGAAAGTAAAGGTACACTATATTACTTTCCAGGAGGGTGCCTTGTCACCTGCTGATGTGACTGATTTGTCTGAAATGTTCCAGGATGGCATTTATTCAGTTACAGATGTGTTATTGTTAAAGAAAATACCTTGAAAAACTGTTACTGTGAAGGGGCTTTCCACAGATCTGACCTGTAACTTGGTTTTGGAGGTGTAGCCTGCTTGTCTCCATGGAGATAGATAAGTATAATGTCATACTGTGGAACATTACAGGCAAAGCAGTAATATGTTGATGGAAACAAGCAGGTGTGCGAGCTTCCACCATAAAAGTTGCATATTCATCTTTAATTACGTTTGTTCATGAGTTGTGTAAATAAGTGAGTGATTTGGAGGCAGTACATGAGTGGCAGGTGTAGACAGTGGGTTGCACCTGTCTTGCCTCACACACACACAGACCGTCCGCAGAGGAACACCGCTCTCATTCGACTGCACCCTCTTCTCCCAAACACAACAGGGTAAGATAATGCCTTTAATTCAGCTTTATTACATAATATGTTTCAAATCTTTAAAATGTGTAAACCGACTTTCATGAGCTCTCTATGTTTACGTTTCTCAGTTGTATTGTATTTTGTTTGGCAAAGTTATATGACGTGATTGATTTTAGACAAATGATTTCATCCTAATTTGACAGACTTTGTAAAGAGTTTTCCCCCATTCAAAAGATATAATATTTTGATTATGCCATAGATTGTAATCCACGAATACAAATGTGTGGATAATATTTTATTGTGGGTTCACTAAAATACAGTTTATAAGAAAAATAGTTTTGTATGTGTAATATTTCCTTTAGATAATCCCACATATTCTGAAAAAAAAGTTAATAATCAAATAAACTTTTTGTTTTGTTTTGTTTTTTAGGCTACCACAAATATAAATGCGGTGTGTGCGTGTATTTAAATAAGAAGTCAAATCACCACACAGTAACCAAATCGAATGTCACAAAAAGAATGCATGCAAATGAAATGAATTTATGTTGAAAGGACACTATGGAGATGTAAAAAGAATTATTTTAAATGCAGGACATCCAGTTCAGTATAATGAGGCTGTTTATCCCAGCCCAGTGTCTCGAGCCGCCCAGAGGGAACTGCAGAAACCTCAGAGGAAAGAGTTATTGAGAAAGCTGTAGGAGGCCCATAGACTCCATAACAACCAATAACACAACAGTTTGATATGAACACGCATCTGTGATTTAAACGTATTTGTGTTTGCAGGATTGTTTCTGAACACATTTGAGCATGGGGAGAAAAGGAGGGACAGTTTTGCTACTAATGTGTTGTGTGGTCCTAGGTAAGATTCTCTGCTGATAACTAAAATGTACACTCAAATGAAATAATGAATAATGAATGAAATAATAGCTCTTTTTCCTATTAATTAAAACTGTTGAGTAAATGCAATGATAAAAGCTTGACTAGTTTAGAGTCAAAATGTCAAATGTCTACTTGATACATCTACAAACTTCTTAGTTCTAATTTTGTTGAGTCTACTTAAAATAATGAGTAAATGTAGTGAAATCAAACTTTTCATGTACAATTTACTTAATAAATAAATAAATAAATTGATAAACAGCAATGCATACATTTATTTTTTTCTTTTCTCTCCAGTGACATCTGTGAAAATGAGAGACCCCAGGATCAAAAACTGTGCGAGACAACTGGTATGGAAACAAAGGATTTAAATTGTGTACAGTTTAATTCATCAAATGTTTTTTTAATCATTTTTTTATTATTATTCAGATGAAAAATTGTCAAAGGGAAGGTGAGACTAACGTCCAATACTAATACACTACTGTGGTTTTCAGTAAATGAATATGATGTAATATGTTCATTTATTTTACCCTGTTTATTCTGACACAGGATATGAAACACCTGACACTGATCAGCTGGCCACTGTGCTGAACAGGTACATTCAACATTACCAAAGTGCCACTGATTACTTATTATTTAAAAACTGCTTTATATTATAATCTTTTTAAAATGCTTTTCTCTCAGTGAGAAGGACTCCACCACTTCCCCCCTCCTGGCTGTGTTTGACAGTGTCCTGGAATCTGTCTCCTCTGGCTACAATCCTTCCAAAATTCTAAGTTCTTTAGGGAAAAAGGTGCAGAAATGTTTTCACTATTGAAGTAGATGTCCTTACAGACAATCAACACTTATAAATTTACTATGAGAAGATGTTCTTATAGTAAGTCTATACGTGTTGAACCTGATCATTTTTTTTTTTTTTTTTCATGCACAAAATCTATTTTAATCATCTGACCTGGCAACCTGTCTAATTGAATATTTAAATTTTTGCCACTACAATGATTTTTTAATTTTTTTTCCCCTGTGTGGTTTGGTTTAATAATGCACTGAACAAAAGAAGAAAATTCTGCTATAAATTTTTGTTCCATCCATTTGAAATTTTGAGTAACCAAAACATTTAAAATTGAATCTACTATCATCAATTTGTGTTTTTAGGACATAACTCTCACCGCTGACATGTTGCCAAAAATTATCCAGAAGTTTGCCAGCGTCTCGGTAAGTCTAATCTCACATGGAGCACACAGTTAAGTAGAGCAGTACAGTTTGTTAAAATCCTGTTGTTTTGTATTAGGAGTCCTCTGCTTGCTACCTGAACGCCATCATGGCTCCGCTGGCTTGGGACACTGTGACAAACATGGACGGCAATATGAATTTGATGGATTATAAAACACTGCTGTCAGCCGCCAAACCTATGATCACAAAGTGTCGTGAAAAACTGAACCTCCCTCAAACCATCATGAAAGATTACCTGTACAGCCTGTGAGTGCGAACTATGTGGTTCAGAATTTTGAAGAATTACTGTTGTAGAATAAACTGTAGAGGGCCAAGAGTTGAAGAGAAGAGGACGACACAGGAGAAGTTGATTTACCATCAGTAAATAGTCCCCAGAGACATGAAACAAGACACTGTGATAGTGTTTTCCGTAGTGCAGTCTAGTCTGGCTATGCTTCTGTTGTAGGGAGCATTATACTTCTGATGACGTAGGCCAAGATAAGGGTTGAGCTGGTAGTGAGTTTCCTTAGTACAGCACAAAATCCAATAAAATAATACCAGAAACAAGATGGGACACAAGACTGACTATAACAGAGTAATTTAGCCATATCCAAATGTTTGTACAAAATACAGCTGAAGCTAGATAGATAAATACTTTTTTTTTTTTTTCAGCAGCAACAATGAAACATAATAATAATAATACAGCGGTAATTAATCATTTATAGTAATGTGTTGTACAGGTACCCTTTTTAGATTACACCACAAAATATACTCTGTCATTACTATATTGTTCCTATATTTCCTAATTTTAATGCTGTATACAAAAATATTCCCCTCAGAACATTTGCAAACAAAAGAAAAAATTTCTTATGAAGTCAAATGAAAAGTGCCCTGATCTGTTTTGCATGCAGTATGGAAATGCTGAATGAAGTGTACCCGCTGACCACTGAGGACCAGAGGAATCAGGTGATAAACTGGGCCAAGGAGAAAATTAAGGAAGATTTATTCAACTGTAGCAGCCGAGCGTCTTCTGGCTCAGGTGTGTTCCCAATAAGACACGAAGATACAAATGTACTCTATAGAATATTTGCATGGGTAAAGAAGATGCTAATCCAACTTGTGACGTTTCAATGCAAAGATTCCAGGGGAGAAACATACTATAGAACATTTTCTTAGGATACTATAGAAAACGGTTGTACTTTACCAGGTTAAAGGCAGAAAAAAACAGACCTCAGCAGGGACTTACCATGCCTAAAATAAACAAGATTTAAACCTGCAAAAGACCATTTTCAAAAGACCATCTAATAAAACAAACAGCTATTACATATTCAGAAAAATATCACAGAATGTTAAATGTGTTTTTCTTAGAAATTGCAGTACTGCGTAGGCTATGTTGTATGCTAATGGAATGGAAATAGCATAATGACTGGGAAAACAAGAGACGAATGAGTTTGCACTCCTGATTTCTTTATTATCCAGTAAAATAAATGTAAATAAATTCCAGTCCACACTGGGTTATGGTTAGGGGTAGATAATAATATATAGATAATAATAATTTTACCAAAATAATCCAATGTAATAACCATAACTACATTGTTTAGTTACTGCTATTTCCAACCTATTACCATGTTATTACTGTGCTGTGGCAGAAAGTCATTTGCATATTAATACACAGTAAAGTCCACCATGCCATGGTCTTCACTGGTTGAGATCAAACCTTCTAATAAAGGCACATGATCTACCGCTGATCAACAGCTGAAATGTCTTTGACATTTCAGTGAAAATTATGTTGCAGCATTTTGTAACATGTCCAGAGTATAACTCTTGTTTATGACAAAATGTGTTTTTATTTCTTAACAAACCTTGGTTTGATCCTTGTTTTATTGTTGTTCTAGCCTAGATTTAATTCTTATTTTACTCAAATGTGTTTCCCATAGTCACACTGATTCATTGATTTTATTTGATGCTTTGTATTTAGTCCGGTGCAGTAACTCCTTAAAATGGCTGACATATGAGTTCCTCACCATACTCGGCCCGTATCTCTCCGAACTAACTCCAGCAGACCTCAACCTCGCTCCAAAAGAACAGGCACAATTATTCTGTTATTAGGCACTTATTATTATGAACTGTTAACCTGACTGTTGTGTTAAATTATACTCTTTCTTTATTTTTAGTTGTGTAACTTCTTCAAGGCGTCCGAGTTCAAACCTATTATGGACAAAATTATGACAATGAAGCCCAGTCTGGCCCAAAAACTTCTCAGCATAATCCAAAAATGCTTTAGCAACAATAAAGAATTTATGAACTATTTGGACAGGTAGGTTCATTTGTAATTTAATAACTGCAACCACAAATAGAAATAAACACATAAATCTTCTTTAGAGTGTAAAAAATATAGCCAATATAATCTTTACTCAACATTATTTAATTTCTCAGATTATAATCAATAAACATTATTCTTTGGTATTTATGAATTAATTAGTTGCTAATCCTGAAGCATTCTTAATAAACTATAAATTATTTGTTCATGCTTCATAAAGGCTAATTAACTCCATTACAGTTTTATTGGTGGAAGGATAATTCTTTTTGTTTAAATCTTTACAGGTTAGGCCCGCTGGTTTGTTATTACAATCCCCCAAGCTCTCAGCTCACAGCCAACGACAGCATCACACTTTTATCTGCCCTTTCTAAGTGTGACGACCGCGGTCTGACAAAGGTATATTTTAAAGGGGAACACACAAAGTCTGCACACAGCTACATTTCAAATAGAGCTGCTAAATTGGACAATACCTGCAGAACTAAAAAAAAAGGATGAGAGGGGAGGACTAGACATATGAGGAGCTGTGTGATTGGTCTAACAGGGATACACTCTTCAAACCCTGCAGTTTTTCTGATTACAAATACATAGTTAGGATCAGGGCAGTATTGTGTGATGTCACCAACTACTGAAAACTGCATAGGTCACTGGAAGCAGCACACATTAAATATATTAAATGTGAACAATGATTTAATGTATTTTCATGTTTGTGACTTAATCTAAAGATAAAGAAGAAACTGTTGGACAATGTGAACATCAAGGGGGCTAACGTTCTTCAGACCATTCGTCAGCTGGGAGTTGAAGCCAAGATTCTGGGGAACAAGATAAAATCATTAAGTAAGGATGAGCTGAGGAGCCTGGTCAATGACTCCAGCATCAAGCTGTCAAAAGAACAGAAGCGTATGGTGCTGAAGACATTTGTGGGGGATGATATGGTGAGGATTGTTTAAGGTTTGGACCATTTTCTCTGTGGGGGAAAACCAAATCAGGGGATATCATGATAATCAAGAAGGAAATCTCTACCCCTATAGTCGAGACTTTTAGACTTTAGACTCTAGACTACATAAAAACACTGCCCACATGTACTATGTAACATTCACACATAATAACATGATAGTTTTGCTTTAACAGTAAAACAATTAAAAGTAAAATTTGACAAACATATTTTAATTCTGTACTTCTATCTTCAGTGCAAGCAGCTTTCAGAAGAGGAACTTAAAGACCTCTCAGGAGTTGCGGATGCGCTGCCAATTTGTATTTACAAAAAGATCAAGCCTAAAGATCTTGAAGACCGTGAAGTGTTGAAAAAAATTGTCAAGAACAGCAAAAAGTCCCAGGGTGTAGCCATACTTAGAGCGGTGAGTAAGAAAAAATTAATTCCTTTTAATAAGGTGCATTATGTAACATTTCTAACATCTCCCTCAGACCCAGAAAAGTTAAGTAGTGCACCTTTAACATATGTTTGTCTTTAGTTAGGTAAGATGAATGCCACAGAGATGATGAACTTGCCCGATGAACTGCTTCAAGTAGTTCCTTTGCGTCAACTGGAACACTACAACAACATTGCCTGGGATAAAATTATCCAGAAAAAATGGCGCAAAGGACAGGTCAAGACAGTTTGTAAATAAACAGTGTTTTGTTTTTTGTATATTGTACACCTGATGTGTTATTATTTCTTGAGTAGGCTACATATTTTGCCATGAATATGACACAAGAAGTCAAGGATTGGTACAGGTAATGTTTTTCTGCCTTGGATCTATACACATGTCATCGTTATAAAGTCTCAGGATTTATATTATGTGAATTTATTTGCATAGAAATGCGGGCTCCATCCTTCTGGGTGTCACTTGTAAACAGATTGAAGCTGTTGCAGATTCTGAAGTTCTGGCAATGGCTCAAAGCTTAGCAGACACTCCTCAGTGGCTCTCCAAAGCTATGGTATTATTGAACAAATTACAATTACATTTTTGACTTTCAATTGTTCTATAGTATTAATATTATTTTATAAAATTTTCTAGGTCAGATGCATTTCACAGAAGCTTTTCTCGACACTTGAATCACAAAGAACAGGCTACTTTAAAACCATAACTACAGAGGAGCTGAATAGCATCCCTGCAATCTTTCTGATTCAACTACCGTAAGAAACACACACTCTCTTTTTCCTTATATGTTTTGTAAATTATTTCCTACCATTTCTTCCTCTTGTTTAACTCTTTAGAGCAGAAGTGGTGCAGGGTTTGCCTGACTCTGTGTGTTCGGCTTTCCTCCAAAAGATGGAAATGTTAAACATCAGCAGACCATCCCTCCGCTCTGCCTCTCTCCCTGCACTCACCCAGAAAGCTCTGAGCTGTCTGGTGAGTTACAACCAAATACTACCAATAGGCCCACATGATACAAGAAATACATACACTATTCTATGACTATGTTTGTGTGTGACATTACTCAGCTGATGAGGTAAGGTTAGTTAATTGTGTCTTATACCATGGCCAGGGAGAATTCCAATGGCTAACAGGCATGTGTTAATATCACACAACATGCAAGCAGTCTAGCACTGCTCACCACTCGGCTGCCATTACCACGACATCACCATCGCAATGGGTCATATGAACTATTTCTTTGCATATGAGCAATGGGTAAACAAATGCTGCTGGGAGTAGAATGTAAGGAATAGCACAGCTTCATTTAAAACAATAATAAATTATATTTGAGACATTTCCAGACAGTGAACAGGTTTTCACATTCACTGGTGAGACAATACAGTTTGTAGCCGTTGTATAAGCGCAGTAAACAACTAGGATCTGTGCGTCATGTGTTAAAACTGAATCAAGTACAGCTCCACTTTTTTAATGCTTACTAATCCTATAAAGCAACCACACTGATATCCTTTTAAGTTGAATTTCTAATTCTAGCAATTTCCTCATCAAAAAACATTCCTATATTTGTGTTTTATTTCATTCACACGTGTTAAACTAAAAAATTCTGTATATTTAGGCTGAATTCTTCCCACCTTGTGATGTCACAAGAATGTGCTTCCCTGTGTTTTTTTTATTCTCCATGCACCTTCACTAGAATAATTTAGGTAATTTCAGTCCTAAAATGACCAATCTTTACTGAATTTAAGGTAAAACGTAGCTGCTAACTTTAAAACTACTGCTTGAAGTTTATGACATCACATGGTGGAATATACAGTATATAATTTTGATCTTTGGAAATGTAGACAGACTAAAGTATGTTTTTGATGAGGTAAGAGCATTATAACATGCTGTCAATTTTTCAGAACAGGTATTTTCATAATATAGGATCTTTAGTAGTTATATGAACCTCTATTCATAATTAGATTCAGATGCTAGAACATTTGATTTCATTATTTATTTATTTCACTGTGTTGAATCTTCTCATTGGTCTTCAGGGCTCAAATATGTCCAGCCTGACCACTGAGGACATGAACAAACTGGGCCCGCTGGTGTGTGAAGTTTCACCCACAAAACTGAGACTCCTCGAAAAGGAAGTGCTCAAAACCACCCTTCAGGCCATGGCTTCTTGTTACCGCTTCCCTGAGGACCACCGAGAGGGTTTGCTCCAATTGGTCAACCAGACTTTTGGGTAAGAATCAACAAGAATTAAATTTATAAACAAAAAAATGCAGAAGTTTGAAAAATTTTTGTGCAACCCAGGGATCCCTCAACTTGGACTCCTGCCACTGTGGAAGAGTTGGGCCGTCTCCTCTTTTTGTATGGAAACACCTCATTTTCTCTGTCTAAAGAGGTAGTTGTTTGTTTGTTTGTTTGCCACTACTCGAAATTTTATTGCTATACAAATACCTGCCGATCAATAAGTTTCATAATGATGAAAAGTTAGGCTATCAATTTAAAACATAAGCGTATTTCTTTCTTTTTGAATGGGAAAAAGTTCTCCAAATGGCACCATATAACAGAAGTGTAAATCCATGAATAGCATTGCAGTAAGGTCTTCAGCTAGAATATGTTTGAATCTGAACTCTAAAACAATGCATTCTGAGTAAACTGTTTTTGGAACCTGTCAAAGTTCTCATTGTAATGTGCCTGTGTCTTGTTTTTTGTTTTTTTCAGTATGGCATGAAAACTGCCGTCTCTTATCTCCTTGATAATGAAAATGTCCCCGAATATCTCCGCAAAATACTTTTTAATCTCACTGTTAGTAGCACTCCACCGCCTGCAGCCCGGAGGAAGAGAGAAGGTTGGTTTTTGTTCAGCCTCAAAAACGTGTTTTCTAAATCAGGTGAAGTTAAAATGAAACCATTGCTCTGACAGAAGTGTAGCAGCCGATCTGTGCTTATAGCCCTTCTGATGGCCACCAGTCACTCACACACCACCGATATTTTTTGCAATTTAGATTTTTTTCCGCCCATATTGATCGGTCACAGTTTTTACGATTTACTAAAGCTTTTAAATATTTTTTTAACAACCCCAGCTTAAGGCTGTTCAATTAATTGAATTTTGATCGTGATTTTTATTTGTGTTAAACAATCTCCAAACTACAGTTGAAACGATTTAATATTATCAATAACGAAGTGTTTTGTTTGTTGGGTTTTTTTTTTTAGAGAGAAATGCTGAATAAATGCATCATGTAACTAAAAAAATTATCATTTGAATAATCATGAATGCCATATTGACCAAAATAATTGTGATGATTTTTTTCCATAATCGAGCAGGCCTACCACAGTTAATTTAAGTTAATTTACATTTTATTTTACTTGTATGTCTTGGTGGCCCTTATCATGTCATATTACTTTATGCTGGAAATGTTCGTCATTGGCAGGCAAAGTTCATGCATTTACGGTCAAAGGATTGGCTGAAGACTTCACAGCTGAAAAGTCTGATCAGTTCCTCTTTCAAACAGAAAACACTCTGTTCCACCTTGTGATGTCATGTGTTAATACAGGAAGTGCTCTACTGCGTTTTAAAAATTCATACACTAGAATCATATGGACGAGTTCAGCTCTGGAATTGCCAATCTTTACTGAACAAAAAGTAAAAGGTAGCTGCTGACTTGAAAACTACCACATCACAAGGCAGAACTGAGCATTTTGAGCTGTGGAAATGTAGACAGACTAAAACGTGGGATTACTCAAACATGTGTGAATGAAACAAAACACCACAGAACTCAGTGCATGTTTTTGATGATGGCCTAAAGCTCACAAGAGTCATTTTTTTGCATAATATTAAACCTTTAAACTATTTACCAGACTACATGATGTGTTCTTCTTCTCTTTAGCCAACCCCAACAGTAACGCCGTCAAGCCGACCACTAGCACCACCACCAGCAGCACCAACACCTCCAGCAGCTTCAATGGCACCGCTATCAATGCTGAAGTCCCCACCGTGGAGCTGATCACGGACCTGAAAGAGCTAAATGTCTACTGGACCCCCAAACAGCTGGAGGCCATGACTCAGGACACCTTCAATGAAACGGTGGATATTCTGGGCGCTGTGACCGGCTACAGCCCAGAGCAGCTGAAAGTGCTCAGTGGAAAAGCCGTACAGGTATTTCACCAACTGCATATCATTCAAACTATCAAAATTTATTTCAACCTGGAAGCTTTATTGAATTGATAACAGCATTGTATTTTATCATGAAATATCCAAAAGGTAAATCCACTTTTCTGTAACTAGACCCAAGAACTCACTGTAACACAAATCTGCATCTGTATTAAATATTGTGCTCAGACCTCGGGAGAAAACACTGTGATGAAGGGCGTGGTTGGTTAGATAACGTTTAGATGTATTAGCCCTGGGCCTATTCAAAGCTGCAGAACTGATTCTAGTTCCCACTTCTCCAATGTGGCATTTCATCATAGCAGGCAGATTTTTTCATATATTTGTTTTTATTGTTGAAAAATGGCTACAAGAATGTCCAGAAGTTTGAATTTAAGAAACTGATTGGCCATTCCTTGTAAAACACAAATTAATAGAAAAAAAAAAAATAAAATAATAAATGGTGCAAATAAGTAAAAACTATAAGGCTACAAAGAGGCAGGACTTTGCATGTTCTCCCCGTGTCTGGAACCTAAAACGTGCATCATAGGGAGGTAAAAATCCTTCAGCTCGTCCTGACCAAGCCTTGCAACAAGATCATAGAAATGGGTCCCCGGGCGCTCCACGTGCTGCCCACTGCTCCTGAATGATGGGTCAAATGTAGATGACAATTTTCCTACAGGGACAATAAAGTACTAAACAAAAACCTGTACAAGAGGGGGCTCTAAATGTATTTATGTATCTGCAGGCCTTTGGTTCAACTGCCAGTATGAATGAGACTGAAGTCGCAAAGCTGGGCTGTATCTCTCAGGGCTTCACTGCTGACCAACTGGTGAAAATGAGCTTCAGTCTCGACTCTCTGGACGATATCGCCAAATGTGGCTGGAATGACTTACAGGTACAATTATCACTATTTATATAAAGCAGTGGCCCATAGATTGTGTACAAGCTGTTGAATTGTAGATATGCAAACAATTGAATACTGTATTGAGTTAATCGTCTAAGAAAAAGATTAAAAAAGATCTGATAAAAAAATAAAATAGACTTACAAAAAATCCAAATTATATCTTTTAAATGATGGAAAGGCCTCTAAATGTCACACATAAAGAAACAGAAATGAATGAATATACGCTTGTTAGCACCTTTCTGAAGGGCAAAAAATAATCTGTTTATCATTACCAGGATGATCCCAAAATACATAGACTTTTGTCTGTATGGCCAACGTTTCTTTACTGACTTTTTACTTTTTACATAATGTATATACAGTGGTTATATAGTGCTTTGTGTGTATTTGAGCAGGTCATAGCCGTGTGGAAGGCAGCAGCCAAATTCAACAGTCTGACGCCTGCCGGTCTGGCGGCCTCCGACATGGTGGCTCTGAGCCGTTTCATGTGTGGACTGAACGCTGAAGAAATCAAGCAACTCAACGTCACCGCCTTCACGTACGAGAAAACTGGAAAACTTCCCAATGAAAATAATTACCTCAAAAATATAACAATGATTTCAGTGACATTAGGCCATACTCCCATGTTTAGGGCAGTACTTTCATTTTTTGGTAACAGTACCTATTCTGGTAATATACATTATGTAGATTGACAAAACATAATAAGAATGTTCATAGATTCCATCACATACTATTTTTGGAAGGTTACACAATCAATTTTTTTATTGACTTCCTGCACTGCCTTCCCAGTACCCACCAGGCATCAACACTTTTTTTTTTGCTTGGTAGTGGTAGTACCTTAAATTTGTAACTTAATGGTACTGTAATGTGATCTCCTTTTATGATGAGTGATTCATAGCAAATACTTCACCATGAGCCTTCTTAGTGTAATCACTTTGTGCTATGATCAAATTGATGTGTAGAAAAGCCATGTTTAAATTATTATTATTATTTTATTTTTTTTATTTTGCTGCATCATTTATATACAGTATCTGATGTACATAACTGTCTTGTTCAGGGAAGCTGTGGGGTCTCTGTCACTCCAGTGCCCTGCGGAAGTGATGCAACAGTACAAGAATCTCACAATGAAATCCTTTGGAGCCCCCGACACCTGGACTCCAGCTGTAGTCTCTGACCTGGGCACTTTTATTGGTGAGGTCCTCTGCCATCATCAAGTATTTATTTATATCAAGTATCTGGTAACGAGATGGTCCGGTACATAAGGGGATTTACTAGAGCCTAGATTACAATGATGTAAATGAAGGAGCTTTGAACTATCATGGTTAACCTCAACTATCTGCCCTTTCATTTTGATCAAATGCAATCAGTTTATTTTTGTATTTAATCATGAGAAGTTAAACAGTGCACATTATGATAACTGCATCGTCATATTCACTATGATCATTCTGAACAAAGGTGTAGAGGAGTAAAATATCTGTAAATACTTTTTCTATATTTCAGCTGGCCTAAGTGATGGTGAATTTGCTTCTTTGGATGTCTCTGTCTTCCAACACATAAGCAAGGACTGCATTCCTCTCATCCCCCCTGCCAACTTAGCCGTAAGGAACGTTTGGGCAACTTTTATATCTTTTCAGATTTTTTGTTAACAAGTTTAAATGTAGTCTATAAAAGGTTGTTTGTTAAAATCTTAATTAATTTTGTCTTTTCTATAAAAAATAAATAAATAAAAGTCATACACCTTTTTGATTGTGTCTGTGTGTTTCCCTTTAAGGCTCTGTCAGTAACTCAGATTGAGGCGCTCGGCCCTGACAACGCTGGTTTGGTAACTCAGGAGCAGAAAGCCGCCATGACAGCAGAACAGCTGGGAGCTCTTTCCAGGGCCATCGAAGGAGTTCGCAACCCAAGCTCCGAAAGTGGAAATAAAGGTAAATAATACTTTGAATTTTAGTAAAGATGTATTTGAAGGCTGCATTCACACTTGTGCGTCCTAACAGAATACACAAGTGTGTCCTGATATAGACCTGATAAAGACTTGGTTTAGTCCTGTTTTAGTCGAGGTTTAGTTCAAGGTTACGTCCTAATTTTGATGTGTGCCTGATCACAGCCTTCAGTGGCATATGATGTTTCTTTAAAATATAAGCAGGGATTGTGTTTGTGTATATTTACCATAGGCTTAAAAGAACAATGCATTGTTCTACGTTATAGCACATGTGCCATATTCCACAAAGTTAAAGGTGTTCTAAGCAAGACGGTCGCAGGTTCAGTTCCCAAATTGTGCAGAGCATTTCTATGAGTTTGCAAGACACTCCGTAAACAGGGGTTCCCAAACTTTCGAGGACAAGACCCCCCCCACATAACCCTGCAGAAATTGACTTTGATAATAGTGATAAAAGTGGCTAAACGTGTTATATAAGGTTTAATGTTAAAGAATAAATAGATTGAATACAGTGTTATCATTTTTAAACCATATCTTGAGATCATCTTGTGACCCCCACTTTGGGGATTACTGCATTAGACTGATATCAGCGTGAATTTTGTATTTAGTTTGTACTCAAAGTTTGTACTCAACTTGTACTCATATTAGTTATTATAAAAATGTTCTAAGTATTGAACAACAAAGTGCTCAATTAGAATATACTATTATTTTTAACCCAAAAATCTCTAATAAATATGAAACAATAATCCCCCCCCCAAAAAAAAAATTAAGTATCACGTATTTTTATATCTCCAAATAAGTACTGATTAATATGTTTTTATACGTACTGCAGTATGTAATTTGTTGTTTTGTGTTATAGCTCCACCTCTGGCGACTGAAGGCATTGGCGCTTTCTTTAAGCCTCTCCTGTTTCTCGTGCTGGGGCTCATTCTGCTGTGAAGTTTTGAATACAGAATCCTGCTTCCTGCCACAAAGATCATGTAGATGGCAGATCTATTTGCACTCAATGTAAATGAGTAGTTTGAATTTTCTATCTTTCACTAAATAAAATATATAAGGGCGTTTGCAATAGATGGTGACTGTTTGCGTGCACTCAAAAAATCTGATCATTATCTGATTTCTGGATTTATTGGATTATTGAGATTAAATAGTTTCTTTCACACCAGTGCAAAAGAACTAACTAATGACAACAAAAAATGAAGACTGAAAGAATAATTTTAAAATTGGATCTAAAATTTGATAACTTAAATCTGTCACCAGGCGTTTTTAATGATCACATTTTGTTTGTGCATGTAACACACACCAAAACTATATATTTGAACTATAAGAAGATATATTTTGCTAGGACATAATGTTGTTTAATAGGACAATAATAAAAACAGTTGTATATGAACAATGTAATTAAGTTGTGTATTTAAAGCTGCATTAATCCACTTTTTGGTTTTGCTCCATAAAGTGTATTGTAAAATCTGTAATGTAATAAATTCTGCGCACTCCACTCCAGTTTCATCATCTAATTGTGAAACATTTTATTACTTACAACCTCATAAGGAAGTGCTGTGTGCATATATATCACGCTTTTTAAAAAAACCTTTAAAATTGTGAATTTATCTGATAATTCCTGTGAGCAAGGGTTTGTGAGAGCTAGGAACTACTTAAATGACAGATAACTACTTCCTCCTTTTATGGTTTGAAGGTCAGGTATTGCAGTGGTGAAATAAATTTAAAAAGACAAGATTTGTGTTGTGTTTTTAATCACATTTTAGCAAGAATTAACAGCAAAGTGTAAAAGCTGGTTATATACTATTCAACTCATATTTTAACATACAGTTTCAACATTATATTAATATTTAGCCTCACACAAACACCTTCACACACATAATTACAGTGATTACAAAATGATCCAAGGGTATCAAAATACGCAAACAGATTTTTATAGAAAGAAAAATAATTCAGTTTAACATTATAGTCAATCGTTTTAATCATTTCAGTATAAAATGCGTCTTTGAAACTAGCTTGTTGTGCTTGGGGTAATCTGTTCCCCCTGTCTGCAAAAGCATCAGTAAACCTACATCCAAGCTATTTAGACCAAACCATAAAAACATGAAAGTACTAGAAGGTATAAAAATATGCACTTGTATTATCTAGGAGGGCTGCAAAATAAATATCACAATTTTACTTCTAATAGCAGTGTTAATAAACCAAATGTTGCGATTAATCCTGAGTAAAAAGTGAGGACAAGGCATGTTTCTCAGCCCTATTCAATTTATTTTTTTGTTTTTGCACCTTTAAACAGTCACACTTGCACTGTGTAACTTTTTTGTGGGGGGGGTCTAACACCTGCTTGGTCTCTATGGAGATGTTATTGCCTTGTCTAAAATGTTCCACCATGAAAAATATGCATTATAGCTGTGGGCGGGGCTGCCTCTCCACAGATCTGACTAGTAACTTGGGCTGTTTTCGTTACCGGCTTGTCTCACATCCAGACAAAGCAATAAGTTCTTCTTCTGAGCAGGTGGCAGACCCTACACTAGAAAAGTTACACAGTACACCTTTAAAGAAGACATATTATGCTCTTCTCTATTTGACCATCTCACAGGTAGAACATCGTTTTACTCGTGTTATTTATAAATGAAAAAATATTGATCCAAAACAACCTAAACGGAGTCTAAACCACAGTAAGGACTGGGCCATGGGCAGGGACATGTAGCAGGTGCAAACTAGCACTGTTGTCCTTTAGTCATTTAGTCAATTAATCGGGTGATGGAGTAGACCAAAATTTGTATTATTTGACTAATCATTTTATTTATTAGATTATAAGAATTTATATGGGACAAACACAGAAAGTTTTTTTTTTTGCTATTTGTTTGTAAAAAGGTAGATTAAACTCAAGACAGAGGTGGGACCAACTCATTGTTTTGCAAGTCTCAAGTAAGTCTCAAGTCTTGGACCTCAAGTCCGGGTCAAGTCCCAAGTCAAATACAGGCAAGTCCAAGTCAAGTCTCGAGTCACTGGCTCATAAGTCCAAGTCAAGTCCAAGTCGTCTGCTTTGAGCTTCAAGTCATTTCAAGTCTTTAAATCTAAGTAATTTAGATTTTTGCAATTTATGTGACTTTTAAGCTAAATCGTACTTAAAAAGTGTTACAGAAATGCAAATTTTTTGAACACTTCTTAGTGTGAATTATTATGGTCAGAATAGAAAGAATTGATATTAACAGTGCTTAATAACAGTAATTTTATCATGTAGTCTGCACTGAAATGGAAGGATCGTGTTCTATGTAGTTCCCTCTGTTTTACTGTATTGTACTGTATATTACTGTAGTACATTTCAGGATACCACATCACAGTACTTCAGTTACATCTGAAGTAAACAGAGAAGAGGAAGGGACATGTTCCAGTTTGTTCCTGTAAAATTCATGATCGCATTTATCAACTTAAAAGAGAGAAGTATTTTCTAAAAACATATTTTTTAAGACAAGTATCAAGTCTTCTCAAATCACAGGGCTCAAGTCTGAGTCAAGTCCCAAGTCACTGACCTTCAAGTCCAAGTCGAGTCCCGAGTCTTAGTCTATTTTATCAAGTCAAGTCTCAAGTCCTAAAAATAGTGACTCAAATCTGACTAGTCCCCACCTCTGACTCATGATTCACAATTTTTATGTCTTTATTTCTGCATAAATAGTTGTTTTTGCATCAAGTCCTGTGCAGTTTGTAGTTTTGAGAGCTTTTGCCACACCCCCCTTTTAGATGGTAGGTTTACTCAAACACGCCTGAATCGAAATACAGCTCTGAGAAAGCTACTGATAAACCGCTTTGCATTGTATAACATGTCTTCTTTAAATTTAAGGCACTCCAAATGATTCTAACAGCTAGCTTTATATCTCAGGTAGTTTTCGCCGTGTTTCTCGCATTTATAAACGCCATCCCGTGAGTTCTGAAGTGCGTATTAAGATCAGTCGCCTTCTCAAAGTGCTTACCACACACTCTACAAGCCAGTGCCCCCTCACTGTCCTTCCCCTGAGGTAAGGCGGGCGATTCTGGTGCTGAAAATACACTTTTATTATCGTCATGGTTTTCATTTGGGGAGGGGGTGGGACATGAGTTGGTTGCTTCGTGGCTTTCTTGATCTTTTACTCTATGTACAATGAAGCGGTGACGTGACAAAGAGTGATTGGAGGTAAAACATACGCCACACTGCAGGCATTGTTGAGAGCTGCCCCCTGCTCCTTTACGGTGTTGGCTGATGTGGTCCAAAAACTCTGCCTGCTCTTCGCACATGTAGCCACAGGGAGCGCAGCGGAAGCCTTTCTCAGTTTCAGAGGAAGAACGCCATTTCTTTGCTGGACTCACCTCGGTCAGAGACTCATCCTCCTGCTCGGACTTTACAGCCGATCTACGACTGCGGCGAAACACAGCACCACCATCATGTTCTGAGGAGCTGTCTGCCTCATCACCGCCCTCCTGCAGATATAAACATTCAAACACTCAAACTTCATTTATGTGGCTACTTACAACAACACAAAGAAGTGCTGAACAAAAATTGTGAACAATAAAGCCTTATAATAGAACTAGATCGGGCTGCTTGCTCATGACAGATATCACCATCATGATTTTAGGCTAATAAATGTAATGTTTCACTTCTATAATGTGAAATTTAAATTGTGGAGAACGTATACAGCTAATTTAAAGTATTAGTAATATTTTGTGACACTTCAAAACTAATGCAGATTACAGTATTCTTTGTAATTGAACAGAGTAAGAATTTCATTAAAGTTTAAGACTTGAATGTAAAAACAAATACAAGCGGGTGAATTATGAGTCATTAAATGTCGCTAACCACTAACTAACCACACTTTTACATGCTGTATTTTTGCATACCCACTATTATTTTTTATGTTGGCTGCAGATGAGGTGGTATTTACTAGAACCTGATACATCATGGTGTGTATATATATATATATATATAACTACTCTGGATGGTGAGAATACCAATTTGGACTAATAGCCACAATGGTCAGTGAATAAGGCAAGGACGCAAATCATCATAAAACACAACACAAAAAACAGAATGTAGAGCTCACCATGAGAAAGTCCTGGTCCCCCGCCTCAAGGCTGTGTCTGAGCTTAATGTGCTTCTCCAACATGGCTCTGCTGCTGAAGGTTTTCTTCATGTCAGTGCAGAACCTACAGACAATAAAATACAATGCAAATAAGTGAGATATCAAAAACACAGAATCATACTGAGGGAACTGAAAAACTGACTGGCATCTGAAACCGCGAGCAGCAGTTTTGTGTTTGTCTCTGATGTGTCGCCTCAGGTTTGATGTTGTGGAAAATGAGCTCTCACATTTGGTACAGGGAAATTGCTTCCGTGTCTGTAAATAAAGTTATATTGAATATTGTTAACACTATATTATTGCACAACACAATAACACAACACAATATTTTCTGCTCACCTTTTGAGGTGATACTTCTTTGGCTGGGCTGTTCCATTCTTCCCCTTCAGAGCTCTCCATCCTCACTGAGGGTTGTGACTGGAACAGTGGAAGAGGAAACTCCTGTTTGACTTTAGTGTGGTAAGTCTATAAAAATAAGATATCATTAATAAAAATAACATTTTTGTAATTTCTATTGAATACATTATAATGCTGTGTTATACCTTTAAATGGTCCATTAAAGAAGATCTGATAGAGAACTGCTTGGGACACTCAGGGCATTTGAAGACATGCACTTTCTGATTGGCTAAATGTGTATCGAAGTGGACATAGAGCAGGTTTTTGTTGGTAAAAACTGTGTCACACATGACGCACTTAAAGATGGATCTGCAAACACAGATTTAGTTATCCACATGAAGAAAACATGTTTAATACTTAATATATGATCTATAATCTTACATGGCCTGAGCTCCTGTGAGTGTGGGGTGCTGAGCAGTGATGTGGTTCTGGATGCTCGGGGCAGATTTAAATGCCATAGGGCAAATGGGGCATTTCTGGAAAATGTCACAGTGCGCCTGTTGGATGTGTGACTTCACGGAGTTTATGCCTCCAAACACCACCAGACAACTGGAGCACCTTTCAGGACAGAGGCAGTGTGAGTAATTCAGAGGAATAAACAAACATGAACACAGTATGAGCAGGAGATGGATCACCTGTATCCGATACGGCGTGCAAAGTGGAAGCAGGTCTCCTCCAGGTGAGTTTTGAAGGTGTGTGGTTTGGAGGTGCCTCCACACTCTGGACACACGTGTGGAGCAGAGTTCAGGTGAATGCGCTGATGAGCCGCAGCACAACAGCTGTTGGACAGCAGCATCGGAGGAGAGCACTCTGTGCACGTCTGATACAAACAGGGACAAAGTAATTGCATTGACATACCGCATCAGAGATTGAGATTGAATAACACATGTCCAGATTAAACTCACAGTGGTTTGAGATTTGAGTTCTTGAAAATGCTTGGCCACCTCCTCAGCACTGCTGAACTGTGTCTGACACTCAGGACATTTATGATTACTGTACTGAACCTCCTCTGTTTTTCTGACAGATGTGGCGTTTGGACTGACATGGGATAAAACAGATGACAGTGCTGTAAAAAGACAGAAAAACATGAGATACAAACAGGAAAGAGGAGGAGCTGGACAAACAGAGACAGACCAGCTGCTGCTGTTGGCTCGTGAGGGCCGATCATCTGCTCCACAGGGACAGGCTTCATCACTAAATGTGAGCACTGCATGATCAGGCCCCTCTCCTTGTGCTCGCGGGCGTGTAACAGCAAACTGCACTTGTTAAAGAAGGCCAGGCGCTTGGCACAGTGATTACAGGTCACTTCGATCCTCAGCGAGCGCCGGTCATAATGTCGTGTTAAACTCTGCTCCAGGGCAAAAGAATCTCCACACTCCTGACACCTGTAGCCCTAAAGAAAAAACACAACAAGGCTACACTTAAATGCAAGACATTTAAAAGAAAACTGATAACTTAGATTTTGGAGACATGCAACTAGTTCTAACTAGTAAACTAGTATGGTGGCAATTTAAAAACATTTCAAAGGCTGCAAAAATAGTTGATAAAAAGGAAGTGTATATTCTTTTGTACTATTACTTGTGAACATTGTCAACTACAGGTGAACATCATAACTTCTGTCATGAGCTTGAAAAAAAATCACTATTGACCAAATAAATAAAAAAAATTAAAAAGCAAGTTAACTTCGATCATAAATCAAATACACAAAAGATAATGTCTGAAAAAATAACGTCAAGTAAATAAAGTTTACCTGAGCTGGTAAGGACAGACCCCACTCTGCCTGGCGGGAAGAGGCCAAGTCCGGTTTGTAACTGGGCAGCAGATTTTTGTTATTTAAAATCCTGTTGAAAGCCTCCACCAGGTTGGTCTGGCTTTTCGATATAATGGCTCCTGTACTGTTGACAATAGAGGCTGGTCTGCTGCTGCCACTGAGAGGAGGCAGCAGTGAAGGCAGAGGTAAAGTCATTCCCCCTGATAGAGTTTTCTGTCCCAGGCTGCGTAGAGTAATCCCCGCAGCTGTGACTTTAGCAGTAGTTTTTGAGCTGATATCCGGCACAGAGGACAATTTTAGCTTAGTTCCTTTCCCTGCTGTTGCTTCTTCCTCCTTGGATTGCTTTAACGATTTTCTTCTGGGCCTTGTGACAGATTCAGCCTTCACAGATTTCACAGCTTCAGTTTTGGTTCTTCCACTTTTTTTAGCAGCAACAGCTCTGGCAGACCTTTTCATTTTAACTTTGAGCGGACCCAGAGAAGGAGGATCTGTTACTGTCCTTGTGAATTTTTCCTCAATTTCAGTGTTCATCTCTTCTGTAATTTCCGCATTATCCTCTTTGCTCACTTCACATTCCTTTGGTTTTTGCACTATACATTCAGAGTCAGTTTGTGGCCGTTCAGGGCTCCTCTTGGGAACCAGCATCCCCGTTTCACTTGGGGGTGGACTTTCGGGGGAATCGCGCTCATCAATCACATGTTCTGGATATTTCTCATCTTTTACCAACGGAGGCGGGCTAGGGAGCAGAGCACCTTGGGAACTCGAAGTAACCGTTTTTGCTTCATTCTTAAGCTCTGAATTGTTAAAACGAGAAGCAGACGATGTGTGACTGGAATTTTTTTCAGAAGAATCGCTCAAATACAAATTAACATCTGGCTTATGTTTTAGTTTAGGTTTTTGGGGTAATGCTGATTCTGGAGACTCTGGACTCTCTTGAATCACTAAAGCTCCTTCTAAATCAGGATCAGAGTCTTCCTCATCAGATTGGTTGAAATTATTTTGTGTTTTGATGTTGTAGGATGATGGGTTACTTGTGTTTGGGTTGTTGACCTGAGGAGATAAAACAGGACTGATGTTTCCGATGGCTGATGACTTGTCATTTAAAAGAGGTTTTAAACAGTCCTTAGCCTCTCGTGGAGGTTGCAGTGGTACAGTAGTATCATTCATTTTGCTTTCATTTTCAAAAGTGGTTGATATGGACCCTGTTAACTTTTGAGGTACTGGTTCTATATTAGACATCTTATTTGTATCAGTTCCCTTTAGGCCATTGGAAACCTTTGATAAATCTTCAATATTGCATAGCTCAGTATCTGCAGCCTGAGAATCCCCTTCTGTTGAATCATTTTCTGTTTTGAAATCATTGTGAACACGTTTTTCTTTCTCAGTCCCTGGTATATCTGTCCGCACAGTGTTCTTTACAATTACACTAACTGCAGGAACGTCGCTCTGGTCGGTGGGATATGTCATCTTGTCTTTCCCTCCTGGAGTTCCTTCTTCTGTGTCACTGTTCTCCTCCTCTGGACTGGACTCGATGGCCTCAATGTCGGGGATGTCGAAAGCTGCCAACAAGTCATCAAAGTCTGGAGTCTTCATGTCTCCCATTTCCAGAGCAAAACCTAATAAAATTATATAGTTGTTGTTATAGATATTTAGAATTGCACTATAGTCATTTATATTAGTGACAATTTATATCAGTTTCAACTCCTATGCCTTTCCTTCTAAATAACACATTGTAGTCCTGTACGAAGTTGGATTCACTTCTGTAATCCATAAATATTTTGTTACCCCTCAAAACATTCAGTGTATGAGGCATAGAGTGACCAGATTTTCAAAATAAAAAACTGGGACGTCCCTGATTTGGGTTGGTTGGTAATAATAAAACTGTGAAACAAGTCATTAAGAAAGCAAAGAGAAAACTGTTCTGCACTTGGCCCATTCATGACTAACATGTGAGTCAGTATAGTCACATTTTCTTAGTGTTTTGATCATTTTAAGCACCTTTTCTGTATTTTACCTAAAGAAATGACAATTAATGCCTCTCTTTACTGTTGGCAGGGATCATATTGGTCAAAAATAGGCACACCTGGAACATTTCTTTGAAAAACTGGGACAAATAATTGGTTTTGGATAAAGCTGCTAGGACAAGGGACACAGGGCTTAAAACTGGGACTGTCCCGAGTAAATAGAGATCTGTTCACTCTACTCAAAACACTCAAACAGTGTACGAGGCACGACACTTATTTGCACGAATATGCAAAAATTTTACTGAAGATGTATTAATTTAAGAGTTGATTACGCGTTACGCTTATCGATTGCAAAACTTTTCACAGCCAGATTTTGTCAAAGTTTGGGAACTTCTCAAATGAGCAGATTTCAACAAGTGGCAGCTCCGGTTTGGCTAGGCTAACTGTTAGCATTAAACACAAACTACGGGAATCACGAACTGCCGCGTTGACAGGATTAAACCGGGTTTATAAAATGCACAGATGTTAACAATGCACATCAGATAGACGTGACAAACCCCGTGTAGCTGCTGTAAATAAAACACTTTCGTAGTGTGCCTTAAATACCTGCAACTTCGATGGAGATTTTCGTTAGTGGCGCACACGTATTTCGTCATCACATTAGGCGACACTTTCGTCTTTGGTGTCGTTCACACTTTGCACAAATCATTGCTTGATTTAAACACATTTTTAAACTTAACTATGCATGTAAATATCCTTAAAACACACCCAATTTAATCTGAAACCATGTTGTTAATGTCAATACCGCAACGCTTCCATTTTGCATGAAAAATTGTTATGAAACTGGTCGTACTTTGTGGGTTGAATAGTAAAACCACATTTATTAAAGCCGTTTTAGTTGGTACAAAATGCAATAATGCAAACTGAGTGGGTGAGGAAAGCATGAAGACAATCGCCACAAACATTGATACTCTACATGCATAACAGCTTCATGACTCATTAATAACAGTCCTTTTTAGTAAATGTTTATTTCTTTTTCTCTTCATCCTTTTTGGGGTCAGGTTTGGGGGTCTGTGAAGCCAAAGACCCCATGGCGTTTCGGATGGCCTCATTACTCGGGTCGACACCAGGGAGGCTCTCCAGTACACTCTGCAGAAACTCTGGGTCTTGCATGACATCATAGTCTTCCTCTTCCTGAATGAAGAGAAATGGCCATTAGCTCCGAGTGCAATAAAAAACATTAAGCAAATCCAGCGCTGATCAAGCAGCTTGGTAAGTAGAGACAAGTTTTCTCCAAAATAATCCAAGTTCATTTGTTAATAGGAATGGGACAAAATTACAGAATTAAGTTCTCTTTTGCTTTGTGACCAACATGGACAAATGAGGCACAGACACAAACCACATAACCCTTTTTTATCCAATCACAAACTCATGTGATTGTCTCATGTTTCCACAAACTTGAGGCAATTTTGTCCCATTCCTAGCTGTTCAATCAAATTTGACAACTCAAGTGTATATCTAAAAAACTGGTAGTAATGAGTGTACCTTTACTTCAGTTGAGTCCAGTGGATCTCCTGTGTCCATGCCCTCTGCACCAAACTCTACAAGAAAAACAAACCACAGTTTAAATTTTTGTGCTGAGGTTACAAAAAGTAGGTTTAAACATGGAAATATTCAGGATAGTAGAGCAGAACTACAGCTGTTAGCATTTTGCGGTACAAACTTTAACATTAATATTTTTTTTGGACTTGCTGTGTAGTTTTTATAATGGTACACACCCTCTGCTCCCTGCATGGACATCTGCAAAGCGTAGGCAATCTGCTCATCCTCAGTCATGCGGCTGAAGTCTGGGAGAGCAGGTTTACTGTCTGACTGAGGAACAGACATCTTCAAGAGAGTTGCCTCAGATTCTGCAAAACCAAATAAACAAGCTTAAAATAAATGCATGGACAAAATTATTTTACTTTTTTAACATAGGCCAGTCCCTGACCATCTGCCTCAGGTGCAGAAATGCCAGCTTCAGCAGCTGAAGTCACAGCTGCCCTGCGAGCTTCATCTTCTTGTCGTTGTCTTTGTTCTTCCATTGACACTCTCAAAGCCTAAACACAAATGCATTCCATAAAAACCCACATGGAATAACATTTTAACAATATTGTTGTTATAGGTTTTACCAAAGCCAGCTCTGGGTCTGCACTAGGATCAACTCCAAATTCAAAGTCACTGGCTCCCAATCCCAAAACTGCACCTCCTTCTCCAGCCAGGATAGGGGAAGACAGAAGAGCATCAGCCAGACTCGGGCCTGGAGGAACTGTAACTAAGTGGGAGCCCACGCCTTCTTTGCCATTCAATGTATTAATGAAGGCTGTCAGCTTCTCTGTGTTAAGCTCCTATAAAAATAAGTGAAACATAAACAACAATTTAAATAATTTATTAGGATCTTTAGGTCAATATAAAGTAACCATGTGTACTTTAAAATACCTCTTCTCCAAAGTTAATAATATCGACATTGACTTTCTCTTTCTTCAAACGCTTTGCCATCTTCACCAGCTATAAAAGAATTCAAGAAAATGTTACACATAAACAAAAAACAAACGTTTATTATAGTTTTTTTTTTTTTTATGGAAAATAGCAAGACTTACATCTTTTTCATTGTCTTCCACTGGGCTGCCAACAAAAGCAATAATGCGCATCTTGTGGTTTTTACCTTGGTGCTTCAGAGCCAGCTACAAATAAGGAAAACAAAAGGCAACAAGAGATTTTTAAGCCATAACATCCAAAATAAAAGTGCCAAAAAGGCCTCGTGAACTTACATGTGCCACCCTGATGCCCGTGCAGAAGCTGATATTTCCCCTGGGCTGAACCGCATGCAGCTTGGAAAGTATCCTGCCTGTGTCAGGAGTGAGGGTAGTCAACACCTCACAGTTGCTGCAAGTAAAATTAATATGAATCAGAAAGCTTTATTGCCAGTGCCACAAACTATAAATATGGTGCAACATACAACAAGTAGTAATAATAATAAAGCAATAAATACAATAAAGTAATTTAAAAACTATCAAACTGGCAGTGAATAAGATGAGTATTGCTGAACTGAATTAATAAAGTGAAGTTCTTCTGATGTGTTCAATTGAATTACAGTCCACTTTGAAATGTAAAACAACATTTTATGTATTTACGGCATCTTACTTTGCCATGGTGATCAGTCCCACATTGTTTTCAGGATTACTGCGGGTTTTGGAATGACAGACAATATTCACAGCATCCTGTTGTGCTTGGAGTCTTGTAGGCAGAAAGTCCCCATTACGCATGTACTCACTGTTGTCCACACTTAAAACAGAATAAACAATTGACAAGGTTAAATAATATAAGTAATGTTAACAACTACTGGCATATCGTTTTAAGAATAATAACAAGGTTTGCCCACAGAGTTATCCTACAAGACAAAATATGGTGGCAAAGGCAAAATTCAGTTAAACATTTTCAAAAGTATATTATATTTTTTAATAATACAGACACCCTAGTTTGCTGGAGATGAAAATCAGATGACGAGGTTCCACCATAGTCTCATTTATAAAGCGAAAACAAAACAATACCAACTCTGGCATTGACTAATTGTCCTAAACAGCCGTTTTCAGGTTGAATTAATAATGTGTAACTGCCTAAAAAAATTACACACTAATTAAAATTACATTTCAATGTACTCTTTTATTCTCATTGGACCAAAACATCTCGAAAACCTTCGCTAGCCAAAGAGCTAACAAAACACAACTCTCCTACTCCTGTCAAATCAAACTGATGCAGCCCAATCTTATCAAACATCGACCAATATCATTTACATAAAACCAGAGGTCTGTCTATTTCACTGAAGTGGTAATGTTGTGGTTTTACATAACTATAGTTAGAGCTTTTTTGCCCCGGTTAGAGACAAATGCTAACCGTGACTCAGGAAATAAATGAATGCAAAAGATCATCCCTTTACAATAATCAATCCCCAAAGCACCTTGATAGTTAAATATAATACTAAACTAGAAGAAGGACATAAATACACAACTATCCATCTACCGTATTAAAAGTATTTTTAAAATATTTCTTACCAAACCATAGTGCTTTCGAGCACCATCTTGGCGACTTAACCTTTTACCTTTTGCGTCATTGTGATGGGGGCTTATGGGTAATGTATTTTTATCTTCCTACATCGACAACATTGGGAAAAGAGTTGTGTAGATGTGAGGCTGTAAGCAGCGGGTTTTGGTAGATGCTATAGTAAATTAACAAAAATAATTATCATACTCATCGTCTACTATATTTATACTTATATTAGGCAATAATTACAAACAATAACATATTAGCAGGCAGCTAAAATGACTATGTTCACTACAGGTCATAGTAAACTTATGTATTTTACGCAATTATGTATTCAGAACTGATGTATGCTTATTTGTACTCCGTGGAACCCAATCTCGTATAAACATTTCAATGGAACACATCTGTGTACCTCCATTACCACATGAAAAATATACATATAAACAAAATCTCTTCCTGGGGCAGTGTTCAATAACTGGAGCTGAGAATTAGAGTTATGTAATCAAAACTGGCTAATAGTGAGTTACATTTATGTACTCAGTTCCATTCACTTAAATTTGATACACTGTAGGTCTACATGTAACATTGTTTTTTTTTTTACACTTGTGTAATATTGATTTTAAAATAATTCATAAAACATTGGGTACTGTGAAAAGATGCTGAGCTGTAGGTTGAAAGATCAGGAAACTATTAAAAATATTAAATGACTTAACAAGTTTAGCCACTTGACGGTTGCACGGTTATTATGGGAGTCTGTCTTAAAAATTGGGAATATTCCCACTCCTCTGTGGATGGCCATTGTGCCATTTATTGGCACTTTAAAACTTTTAAAAATCATGAGAAAAGAGAAGATATTTTAAAAATATGTTTAATCCTTTAAAATCATGTCACCACCACATAAATAAAACATGGCAGAAAGACAAACAGCACATTATGAATGAGAAGGCATTTCCGTGACTTGTATGTACATATCCACAATTTACAGATTAAAAATATAGTATTGAAGCATAGAGGACACCCAGCAACACTGGCAACGCAGCCATGTGAACATTCATGTAAAAAGCACAATCATCATGGAATACGTCATATCTAAACACGAAATATAAAAATGAATTTATAAAACTTCCCCTTCACAGGCAGCACATGCTATCAAGTTTCAGACATCCTTCTGTCAGTTACAGTATTTGAACAATCATTTAAGGACCATATACAAAAACTTGCTCAGCCATATCAGTCTCATTAATAAATATACTCTTCTGAAAATGTTATGGATTGTATTTTAAATTGCATTGATTTAAATGTAGTGTTCAAGCATTATGTACATGCCATACTTTCTTCCACTGTACACGGACAACCCTAATAGATAAAATACACTTCGCATTTTCTTTTTCTTTTTTTCTTTACACATTTTAGTTTTAATCCTTCTTTCTTGGGAGTGTTTTTCTTTGGTGGTTGTGCATATCAAACTCATCAAAGGTAAACATTAATATAACTCCAGATCACTTCAAGTATAGCAAACCAAATTCAAAAAAGGGTGAGATGCCAGCATTAAATATACTTCAGTTTGAAATGTAAGTCTAAACTTTATTTGTACACTACCTTTAATACAACGTACCTACTTCATTAGGTACACTGTAACATGTAATAACCCTTATTACAATGTTATTACATGTTACTTAATCATAAGTAGTGTAAAATAAAGGATGACTGACCAACAGTTACAAAAGTCTGGGAACAAGCAGATATAAATATTATCTGACAAACATTGAAATTCAAGAGTTTCATCTTTACTTACATACTTAAGCTTAGTGCCTCAACCAGTACATTTACCCTATCTTTGGTGCCTCAAATTCTCAGTCCATAATCCTCCGTTGTGCTTTCAAAAAGGACTTCTTTCGGTCTGTATCTCCACCTTGCATTGCCTCAGTCTCTCAGTCTTTTTATACGACTTAATAATATACATTTGCCAGATGAGATGATTTGGAAGAACAGTCTCCCAGGACCACTCAAGTATCTCTTCATAAAATGTGTTCAGTTGTTGATAGTCAAACAAAAGTGTCTTATTTAGTGTCAACAGAAAAAGCTGTATAGAAGCAGCATAAGACTATTATTATACAAAAACAAGTTCCACATCGCAGTCAGTCATATTGGTCCAAGAGCGGAAGAGGGCAGGGTTCATTTCTGTTACCAGCAGAAATTATTCATATGAACACTCTTCTAAATCTGATGTCAAAATGAGGTTTACAATATCTTGTATTGTAACAAAGAGAAACTGAATTACTGAATACCACCACTCTTTTAGCTCCGATGACCCATAGCCCATTGGTCCACACACAGATGGCAGTTTGAAGAGTTTGGCTGTAGTGATAAGGCAGATTTCAGCACAAATTTAACACCAAACTTAGTGTTGGTGACAGCAGGAACCACTCTCCAGCAATGTTACACCATTTTGTCTCATTAGAGGAGACATACACTGTTGTGCAGATGTGGCTCTCTAAGTAACTTAAAAAATACTTTAATGTACATTCAGTAGTGGAAGACCCTATTGGATCTTAGTAGCACCACTGTGCCTTCCAGCAAGACAATTACTATTAAAGAATGGAAGTGAACTCTAAAGTTGTAAAATGTGAGACCAAGGAAGGGAAATGATTGAAAAGCAAACAGCAGCTTTTGAAAATATATAAACCATTACATTGGATTTGCTTCAGCTCTTAAGGTCACCAACGGAGGACCTACTTCATATATTCACCTACACAAAACCTTTCCACGGGCAGTGTCTTTATACAAGTCCATAAAACAAACTTACATCTGCTGCCCACCACACTGTCTTCTGAATGTTGAAGGATCATTTTAACTGAGGTGACAAACAAAACCTTCATGGCATAACTTCTAGAGAGCTGCCAGATCAGGGCTTTCTCAGAAGGATTTGAGAGCCCAGTTTGGAGTTTGGGAGCTTGGTTTGGGGTCAGAGTGGAAATGAAATTACGCACAGTGATGGTGAAGGCTGAGAAAAATGGATCCTGCCACAGATCTTCACCTTCAAGTCTTGGCAGACTTCTTTATCAGCATCAAACCAGAAGAGACCCAAATGTGCAACAGCGCGTCCAGGAAGGATAGGTCGCTCTGAAAGTCTCTTAAACGTTCACCACTCCTCTCAAAGAGGACCGATGTCATGGCACACATCCTCTTTTACTGTGGACAAATTTAAAATGTTAGAAACTTAACACAACTACTGCACTCTGCTAGTACCGACAGTGTTGACTTACAAAGTTGATGTTAGTCTCGGGGATAACGTCAGAAAGTGAAACTACATCTTCATTTCCTGATGAGTTACCAGTTACATTAGCAGCCCCCTCTGCATCCAGACTGTAACAGAAATATCATATGAGTCAATTACAATATATCTGAGGGCTTTTGAGTATACAGAGGTAACCGGGTCAACTTCACCTGTGAAGAGCGATTTGTTCATGTTCTGTATTCTCTGATTTGTGCACTTCCACTCCAACAGACCTGATCAAAGGAAAAACATTACAGTACCATAGATAAAACATTACACTTATGTAATTAGATCTTTAATATGATACCGTAAGCGAGGAGAGGAGGTGGTTACTCCTGTGCTGCCCACAGAGGACGTGGAGAGGTTGGCCTCAGCCTCAGCGGGGCAGTCTGTGGGGGGAGGGGTCCTGGGGAGCAGATCTGGCCGGCCGGACTGAACACCTGCAGGAAAACAATTATGACCACTTGTTCACACACGCTTCAGAACAAAAGCTTTTGTTGCTACTCACCAGCCTCTCCATCAGACTCAGTGCTTTTGAAGTGAGAATGATACATTATTCTGGGGTCCATGGACTGTCCTGTGTGAGAGAGGGGCGTGGGAGCCCCTAGTGTTGGAGCTCTCCTGAGCCCACCTGGACCTCCACTTCGACTCTTCTTAGATGGAGATGCTTTTACTGGAAACATCAACCACATAAGTCACAATGGGCAGATCAAAATCCTGTTCTGAATGAATGTGCTCTGAGCTTACAGGGGATTTTCCTAAAGACAGTGTTGCACATGAACTGTTGAAAACGTTCAGCATAGAAGCCCGGTCTGTGCACTGACACAGTGTCCTGAGTAGAAAGGCAACAACAGCATCAATACAGCTCAGTGAAAGTTTGCTAAATGTGAAGAAATACCTCAAATGTTGGTCATGTTTAGAAAACCAATTCGATTCAGCCAAGCATCTTACCCCATCATGGACTAATGCCTTCCAGGAGTGCTCCAGCTTCTTGATAAATCTGTGAAACACTTAGATGAGTCATGATGATGCATTAAACAGTGTGATAATAAACCAGCAGATGTGGCACTGACCTGTAGGATTGGAGGATGTCGATGATGCCGATGTAGATGAGCAGTCTCTCTCCTTTTGAGTTTCGAGCTGGAATCCCGCCCATGCTGCAACGACAAGTCCAGAGCGACAGCACTCTGCATCATTCAGCTGTTACTGACCAGTGTCCATTCAAACACAGCACTCAGTTCACCCAATACTGTCCATCCAAACACAACCCTAAGAGCAGCGCATTTTGCACGAACAAAGTGAAGTTCAAACTCTTAGTAAAAAGGAAATATAAAGCTCCTGAATTGTCTTAACATTTTTTATTTAAATTTGGGCTTTCAGAAAACTCCTCTGATGTTTGTGGCATACAGCTGACTTACGTCACAATTTCCTGCCAACTAAATGAAAAGACTCATTACATCACAAAAAGAATTGTTAATGTGTGGTTATTGCCTATAATAACAAATAACGGATTACTGCATTAACCATGATCACCTCTGTTGAATACAAAAAAGAATGGCTGGACTCACTGGTCTTCAGAGTCTAGTGCTCCCTTCCCTCGGGCCTCTCCCTGGATGGACTCCATGGCGGTGCAGTACAGGCTCTTCTGGGCTTGGGGGCGCCGCTGGTCTGGGGTCACTGCGCCCTCTGACCCCCCACTGTCTCCAGAGTAAACACGGTCTCTCTCGCGGTTGGCCTGGTCCATGTTGTGGATCCCCATTAGAAGACTGTAGTCCATGATCTTAAAGCTCTGTAAAAGCTGAAATGCACAGACAAATGAAAGGTTACTTGTTTAATTACAGACGTTAGAAAAGGGTAGAAGGAAAAAAACAAGACTTACTTACTAAGACTACTTAATACAAAAAAATATTATTTAAACCAGACACTCATTTGACCAGGTTGTCTTTGATCTTTTTAAAAGTAATATGACCATAAGATTAGATTAAAAAACATTATTTGGGTTCAAAGTTACATATTTATGAGGCAGTAATATTGTAATGGAGTTCTATGCCTCAGTGGAATTTATGTTCATTACAGAGGGAGTCACTGGGTATTTTTCACTGGTGTATTTAAATCGATGGAGTATCAAGCTTCTTCTTACACCAGAGTAATTAATTTATTGTTATAAAATTATAATTTAAAATGATAAATTTTATAAACAGTACAGAGAGGCCTTACCAAACAGTCTCTCTGTATGGTCTTGCTCAGAGCATTGTAGTTGTCAGCCTCCATTAGAAGTCCATCAGGGAGGTCCTGAATGAAGTCCAGGTCTTTGTGTGTAGGGACGGCCTTCTCCCTCTCTTTGGGGGACGCGCGCCTCTTGTAGGTGGAGCCCTTCAGGTCGTACTTCAGGTGCATGGGGATGATCCGCGGCAGCAGGTTGTTCATTACCACAATTCGGATGTTCTTTCCGCCAGCCTGGACGCAGTACAGCCCGTAGAACTTAGGAAGCAGAGTGCGCTTATTTTGGTTTATGTTCTGCAAAAGAATAACACACATTAAAGCAATTAGTCACCTTCAGTAAGAATAATATTACACTGTAGATTAGAACGTGTCTGATGAGACCCACCATAAAGTATCCGGGCAGCAGCTTCTGCAGAAACTCTGCCTCTTTGTGTTGAACTGTTTTAATGATGAATTCATCATCACTGGAGACATAGAAGAGTGATCCACTGGCCCCGGGGTTAGACAGCTCGATCAGCGGCTCATTGCAGAGTGAATACTGTAACATTAAATACACAAATCACACATTAAAAATGTCCACATGGCAGCAGTTACACTGCTTCCAAAAGTACTAACCAGGTAGTCATCAGGTCGAATCCCAAACAGTTCTCTGAAGTAGCGAAAAGCGATAGGAGCGTAAGTTTTGAAGCGAAAGTCACTGTAGTGATGAGCAGGCGTCAGGTTACTGCCTTCACTGTAAACAAGGAGGAAGAGGACATGTAGTAAACTACAGAAATAAAGAAGGAAATGTCAATATCAAAAGTAACAAACCTGGGGAAGAAAATACTTTCTACCACCACAAAGTCCTGCATGAGGACGTCTCTTTCTGCCTTTTGACTTAAGCTGCCGACGGTGTGTGCAATGCCCAGCTGAATGGCTCCTTTGAGAGCTGAAGATGTGGTCTACCAAATAAAAACAACACACATTTAAGCTGCTGAAAGCTTAATTATAATATTTTGTTCAACAGTTTCTCATGAGGGGAATTTAAAGTGCGAGCCCTTCTCAGGACTGACCTTTTTGTAAGTGGTCTCTCCTGTGGTGGTCTCGACCCCTCGATGTCCGATAGTCTTCTTCATGCTCTGAGTTGTGCCTGAAGAGCCAGGCATCTGTAGTGGGACAGTCACTGGGTTATTATTCATTTCATAAAGTTTTTTTCTTCATTCAAACAGGAAGCATTTAAATGGAAAACTACTTTAAGAGATGACTGATGCTCAGGTCTGATCAGAGTTAACATGACTAATGTTTACTTACATCAGATGGAGCCATCCTTCTGATACTGCTGGCTCCTAAAAAATAGAGAAACCATAAAATTATATAATATTATAAATTATATTATCTAAGATTATTTTATGTTCAATGAATCAAAGGCCATCTTCAAAATCACATTTGTTAACAGAAGTTTGAAAAAAGCTGGTTAATTAGAGGTTATTTCCAGCTCTGGCCGATGACTTTGGCTTAAAATAAATGTGGGTTATGCTCCAGATTCATCTGGCTCCCAGAAGATACGGCTCTGCCACAAGTGCTCTACAAAAACACTTCAACAACCAGTTTCAGTATTCAAAAACAGGCGCCAGTAATGATGAGAACACACACTTTAATTATACAGTTCAAGTTAATGTACATAAAATGTGTGAATTCTGAATCACTGATTTCCGTGCACATCTTCACAGTTTTCAGGACAAACTGTGGCCTTCAGGGACACAGTGGCTACAGCCCACATTTCCCTTCACTGTATTAAACAGCAGCACACACTGTAATAGTCTATCCATGCAGATTCTTGTCACACAAAAACCCACACCATGCCAGTACCTCGCTGTAAAGCTCTCCTCCAGAACTGAGTCCTAATATCTGTGAAGCATGTCATTGGATAAATAAGCATAGCACACAACAATACACTGGCCACAAAATGTATTCATAGTCCAGTTTTGTCACTTGGCAGAAATGAGCCAGGTGTAATAATAACAAACCTGTCACTGTGAGAGGCTGAGACACAAGCAAGCTATAATCATGATTTGGCTTGAAGGCTACAGTCCAGCAGATTCGACAAGGCATTAAGTCTAACCCAATTAGGTCGTCATAGCAGTCCAACACGACAATAAACAAACCATCTGTTCATCTCAACAACACCCAGACAGCCCCGTGCACTGGCCCCAATCTCAACAGCCCAAACACAGGGCAACATGTCTATCTATATCTACAACGCAACTGGAATAAAGTGGTTCATTTTATTCTTACATTTATTCTGTACCATTGTCAGAGGGTACATGACGCTACTGTTTTAATGTTGGTTGAAGTTTACACTGAAGGTAATAGTCTGTTTGGGTAGGGTGACCAGATTTTCAAAATAAAAAACTGGGACACACCCTGGCTAGGATGGTAGGTATAAATAAAACTGTGAAAAAAGCATGTAGCATTGTCCATTCTTGACTCATGTGTAGGTCAGTGTATAATCTGAGAGACAAAATACAGAAGACTGCGCTTCTGTATTTTGGCTGAGCAAATGCAATTTATGCTCCTCTGGTTTAGACCTGGTTTAGACCTGGTTTAGACCTGGTTTAGAACTGATATAGTCCTATTTTAGCCTAATTTTAGTCCTGATTTAGAACTGATATTGTCCAAATTTACCCCAAGTTTAGTTCTGGTTTAGTCCTGGTTTAGAACAGATATAGTCCTATTTTAACCCAAGTTTAGTCCTGGTTTAGACCTGGTTTAGTCCTGGTTTAGTCCTGGTATAGTCCTGGTATAGTCCTGGTATAGTCCTGGTATAGTCCTATTTTATCCCAAATTTAGTCCTGGTTTAGACCTGAAATAGACATGATATAGTCCTGGTTTAGTCCTGGTGTAGATCAAACTGGTCAAAAACAGGGAAACCTGGGACAGCTCTTGTATAAAACTGGGACAAATCACTGGTTTTGGATAAATCTGCTGGGACAAGAGACACAAGGCTCAAACCTAGGACTGTTCCGGGTAAATAGGCACGTCTGGTCACCCTATGTTTGGGGGCCTGGTAAAATTATATTGATATTAGGGTTTCCTTGCACACAATGATTGAACGCACTTGGGTTAAGTCGTGAAGTGGTGGGGGTGTAACCACATGAAGAAACGGGACGGAAAAATAACTGCGAATCCTTTATTCCAGTTTAGATTATGATCAGGGCCTTAGCGAAATCCCGACTCCTACAACACCAAATATGACACACAGTTTCTAACGGCGGTATCTATATTTACACATTTAACATCTCTGATAAGAAATCGCTTTAGCCAACGTGGTTTGAGGGAGAGTTTATCAGCTTCTTGGTTAAGTGGCTCTGATAGTGACAATAACAAGATTGGTTGAAAAGATAACCCGCTGAACTTAAGCAAATATGGGGAAACTGTGTATAGTTGGTTGTGATTAATGCCTGGTTAGTTCGCAGTTGTTTTGATTTGTAGTGGTATAAAAGCTACGATGCTAGTTAGCTCATTTACGCTAGCTATTTGCGCCGGCTCGGATCGATATGATGCAGCAGCGGACAAATAAAGATATAAACACCCGCTTTTGTACAGGATTCTAGACTTATCGGATTGCATAAATATAAGAAAACAGCTGAGAGGATGACTGTTTCTGTAAAATACCTGGAGGGGCTGTTGATCCTGATTCTGTCCCCGCAGACGCCATTATTATCTGCGGCTCCAGTCCCGCTGCTCAGGGATACACTCACACAGCGCCCCCTGGTGGAAGAGGCTGGGAGTGCACGCCTTCACTTGGACAAATTTTTTAGACTTAAATTTACACTTAATGCTGTAAATTCCCCACTAACTGTTAGTACAGTTGCAGTTGTAGTTCATAGGCAGATCAGGGGTCCTTGGGAGCACCATGGTAACGCTGTCACTGTTACCATGGTGATGCTGTTACTTGTGGCCTAACTGTTGTAGTTTAAGATCTTTACCTTTAACCTAATCTAAAAAAAAAAAAAGTCTGCGCTTATGACAGAGATAGTTACAGATGAAATGATAGTTCAGACGAAATCTGTCCATATCAGCTAAAAGATTGAAGACAGGACTTTAAAGCTCAGAAAATACGTCCCCGTGTCCGTTTTACTCTCTGACCGGAGTATGGTTTGGATAAAGTGTCCCAATACACAGTATACAGTCCCCCCCTACATACAGGACAGACATCTACAAATATTTATATATGCATGTGATTTCTTTTATATTTTATAACCTCAAACACTCATCACATTTTACAGTCAGTGGGCGTACTGAGAATATGTGTTTGTTTTTCTTTTGTGAAATGTGTGTTAATATACTAGATATGGATGTCGGCTCATGAGTAGCCTGCAAACATTCAAATGCTACTGTTAATAAAGCTTTTGGGAGAGATTTCACTTTATAATAACTTGATTTACTCTTGTCTTGTATAATAATTCAGACCCCAGATAAACATAAAACTTATTTTATTGTATTTATTTATTTTGATCGCTTATTTTTTCCATTTAAAACAAAAATCTTAACAGGTGTTGGTTTACATTTAACTTTTATTATTGGTGAAACATGGACACTCTGTGAAAAGACCTCTATAAAAATAGTAGTAGAGACAATCTGACATATAGCCCTACAGTGTTTGGTACAGGCCTACAGTAGGTTAAAACATTCTTTCTTTATGTAATTTCTCTCTTTGTAAAAGATACAATAGTTTGTAGTTTCACACTTCTGAGTACTTTGTCTTAAGGCCCTAGCCAGTAGGGTCTGCACAGGGTAGTCACAGGTTTAAGACACTGGGCATATTTTCTTTTTCTGGCGTGAGGTTGCCTTGATGATGGCATCCATGAGAAGTTTATGGAAACACTCTGGAGATGACAAACGGCAGCAGCGTTTGACAGATGGTGGAGACTTTCTGGATGAACAAGTAGACACAAACAGTTCCTCCACCTTTTAAAAATAAAATACATTCATAAGATAACAACAAACAAAAAAACAAAAAAACACAATTTGATGATAGCATAGACAACTTTGGAAAAGCATCTAACTGAATTTTTTCTCATTTGTGATTTATTTTTTAGGATTACACATAAAATGCACATTTTTCAATATATCAAGAAGTGTTAGAAAGAAGACTGAAATATGAACTAAGATGAACTAACATGACAGAAGAATCATATGCATTTCAGAACATTTTAAGAGGACACAAATGACAACCAACACATTCTAAGAGGCCCAAATCTCTACAGATTGGAGCTGTAACGTGACCTGGTGGTGTTATGGCAATATGTAAGGAAATGCTGTACTATGGAACATTCTAGGCACAGCATGCAAACAATCAGGAGGAAGACCCTTCAGACCCTTCATGCATCTTTAAATAACTGCAACCTTTGTCATTTGTTAATTGTGCTAAAATAATGTGATTGCTATTAATATTGCATATATGTTGATCAGTAACATTTGAAAAGGACAAACTCACCGATTGAGCGATACATGTACTTTTCTCTATTGGCGACAGGTGGCAGCATTTTCTCACCACACTTTTGAGAGGCACTCCGACTGAGAACCTGGAATTATAAATACAGTTTATCAAACAAAACACAATAAGAAGTGGTCAATACACTTTTGTCTACATAACATTCAAATAATTGCATTCCAAGCCATGCCTGCATGTTTAATTTACCGTGTTTGTTCTTTTTGTGTGAACCTCAACCAAGAAATTTACAGGCAAGGTTTTCATAGTGGCATTGAATCATATTTGTCATTTGCATGGTTTTACTGCAAAAAAATGGCTATATACAATTTTTTAAGATTGATTTTTTCAGTACAGAGATGTGGGCAGGGATAGGACATAGGGGAAAATAGAAATTTTCTGAGCATTCGAGCCTCAACTGCAGGACAATACAATACTTCTCAGAAATGCATGAATCAATTAAAATACAACTTTGACAAAGCTACAAGAAATGGGTTAAAGTTAATAAAAGTAAATTTCACTGCATATGTCCCGTAAAAATGAACAAAACTTACTTCTTCGTGATAATCTTGTGAGTGTCACACATGTTGCTCAATGAGAGATTCTTTGTAAGAGTCTTGCTATAGTCAGGGTCTGTGGAGATATTTTTAAAGCACTCAAACTGAACTCCACCGTCACAGCAGGGGAAATCAATCCTTTTGTGTTTAGAAGCGACGCAGAACTTTTTCATCTCCTCCTGCCACTGTCAAAACAAAAGAATGATGAGTTTTGTTTGAGTCCATTTTAGTCCTTAAGTAGACCTGGTTTGGTCCTGTTCTAGACCTGGTTTGGTCTTCTTCTACACCTGGTTTGGTCCTGTTCTAGACCTGCTTTAGTCTTCTTCTAGACCTGGTTTAGTCCTGTTCTAGACCTGGTTTATTCCTGTTCTAGACCTGGTTTGGTCCTTTTCTCGACCTGGTTTGGTCCTGTTCTAGACCTGGTTTGGTCCTTTTCTAGAACTGGGTTGGTTCCAGGTTTAGTCTCAATTTTAATGTGGTTTGTAGAGTGTGAATATGCCTTTAAACAGAAACTAAACCTGGACTAGACTAAGCCTGAAACATTATAATAATAATAATTATTATTATTACTAAAAGCTGCCACAGGTCTGCATCAGGACTAAACTGGGATCAAACCAGGACTAAACCAGGACAAGAGTAAACCCAGATTATCTTACTGTTTTCTGTGCACAGGGGAGAATACGCTCTTTGTTATTGTTTTTGCAGCAGACTTTGAAATTTTTCTCGAGGGTGTTGATGGACTTTGCCTGAAGAGCCACTTGGTCCAGACCTTTCAGACACTTGATGTTGTAATGTGGTCGCACTTTGAGATTACGACAGACAGACCCTATGTTAGAATCGGTCGGAGCAGCGAGAGGGAAGTCCAGATCCACATTGAGGGGGGTAGCTGATTTCTTTTCCCCTCTTTTTCCATCTCTTATGCTCTGAGGAGTCAATGATGCTCTGCAAATATGAGACACAGGATGAATCATCTACTAAATTAAGCAAAAGAGCATGTTTCTTGCATTATCTGTAACAAATGTGGTAGGATTTAAAAGGACAGTAATCGCATTGTACTGTAATAGCATGACTAAAAGTGTAGTTATGAATAAAACAGAAGATTCTGAAAATAGATAGAGAATCTAGAACTATTATATACTCAATTAAAGTTGGTGTAGCCGAAAATGTAAAATGATATATAATTGAAAACAACTATCACAAAATATAATATCAAAAAAAGGTCATATACGGATAGACACTTGTATACTTATATAGCTCAATTGAAAATGGTACAATATTTGGCCAGCATTATAAAATCAAACGTACTTAATGCAAATGTAAAGTAATAATGATATAAACAGCCACATAGCTTGCATTAGCCAACAGTTTTTCATTTACTCTCACCTTTGTTGAAAATCAAACACCTAAACAGGAACATGAACATCTGTATTGATCACAGGCTCCTGAAAATGTGCTGTTAAATCAATTTAGTATTTTTTTCTTGGGTTTTCAAAAGTCATCTTAAAACTTTTTGGTTGTTATTGCTAGTGTGTGCCTTTGCCTTGTGTCACAAAGGTAACTTCTGAATATTTCCCCATAAACATACAGGCAGAACACCCTCAGAGTTAGATCACTGCAAAGTATCAATAGACAAAAGGTGGTTCTGACAAAGACTAGCTCAAGATCTGAAGATTGGTTCACCCTGTCAGGCTGCCCCAGAGCACAGAAAAATGGGACAAATGTCTTATAAACTAATACAAAAAATAAAGTAAGAGAGAGAGATTCCATGAAATTACACCCTTTACAGTTCTGTTGTCTAATTATAATCTGTATCAATTGTTATTAATGCTTTATTTCCAGTTAGAAGATTTTAAAAATGTCTTATATTGATCAACTGACCCATGAAAACGACTAGATTAAATGTTTATTCTAGTCTGTATAAATTGATAACATTCTATAATAAATGCTACAATATTATGCGAGAATATTTGTCCTCTTACCCGGGGCAGGAGCTGGGGTCAAAGTTGAATTTGTTTTCGGTGAGCACAGGCTGCACGGGTGAGTCCTCCGTTGGGTTATATTCTGGGTTTTGAGCTGAGCGGTCAAAGCATGGCAGCCACTCGCTCTTATTGAGTTTACAGCAGTAGAATTGAGGAGCCTTTATTCTAAAACCAACTTCACAAAAATGACTGATAGACTTCTCCCACTGAGGAAAACAGAAAAACACAATATTATTCATTTAAATCAAGTCTATGATTACAAACAAAAAGAGCTTCTGGTGCGGGGTTGTGTGGTCGACCTTTGCCTAAAATGTATGACATTAAAGACCTCGTACCTGATTTTTTCCATGTATTTGAGCAAAAATTGTCTTGCCCCATTGTAGATATATTATATAAGCAGCTATTGAGATAAAAATATGTCCAATGTGTACTGTATACATCTATATAAAACGTTTTATAGGCGTCTCTTAACATGCTAGTTGCTTTTTGTTTAATTGTGAAGGAAAAACTTCACCCTGGTCTCTAAAAAGTTATTGGGGTGAATAATTAAGATGCTCTGAACTCAAAAGATAAGAGAGGAATAACTTTGGACTACTGCAAACCATTTAAAACAAGCATTCTTGCTGGTCTGGCCTGTAATTTAGACTAGTGGTGTCCCCTGAATACGTTCAATGCCATACAGTGAAACATTCCAGACAAAGCAATTACATCTCCATTAGGGGTGTGCAAAAATATTGAAATATTGATATATCGTATCATTTAATGTGATAATATAGTCGATATATCGCCAAGAGTATTTTTTGGTATATTTTACTAAATTATTTTGTTACAGCGCTAGAGTGTTGTTGTTTGCTTAGTGGAAGGAAACTTGTTTATGTGACACATTTGACAGTGTGTGTTTCATATGAACTTTGCACAAGAAGTGGTTTAACAAAGACTTCTAGTATCACAGCAATGATTTAGCCTTTTTTTAATGAACCGTATCGAATTGATTTGAAATATATCGTATCAAACTGAAAGTGCACTGTATCGAGATTTGTATCGTGGCCTATGAATTGAGGTATGTATTCTATCGACAACTTCGTAATGATACCCAGCCCTAATCTCCATTGAGACAAGGAGGTGACATACCCTTTACCATAAAAGTTATACAGTGTGCCTTTAATTATATAATTATTATTTAAACTCCAGGAGAAGGCTATGAGGCTCAAGTCAAGGCCTGTCTGTTATGTCTGCTGGTGTGTTTATAAAAGGCTTATCGAGTAAACCCTTCGAAGCGGTCAAATATGCAAACATCATCGCCGCTGCAATGCCAAGAATGTATTTGTGCATACTCTTATCGTGTTACGGATTTATATGAAAAAAGTTCAACATGTACAGCATTCTTAAACATGACACACAAAAACAACGCAGTTTGTGTACAGTACAGGGCCATGGTTTAGAGCAGAGATGTCCAAACTTAAGCCCAGGGGCAAGTGTGTTCCATTCTTTTTACTGAGCTTTTGGATGGGTTTACACTTGGACACACACCACATCAAAATAGGACTCAACATGAACTGGATGAGGACTAAACGAGAACTAGACGAACACCAAACTAAGCCTAGGTCACATCTCAGTCACCAAATTAGGGCAAGAACGAACACATCCTTAAACTAACTCTTCCAAAAACCACAAGTAAAAGTGCGTCAAATAAAAATGTAATTAAACAGCTCAGTCTTGGAATTAGTCATCTCTGAGTCACAGCAACAATGATAACTGTTTCCATTTTCTTGGGGTTTTACAGTCATGACAAGCTTCTCAAACACCATAAGTGATTATTCATTCCACATCTGAAGCCTGTACTACGAAGCTGGATTAGAGGGTTACATGTCTATGGCAATGTGTCCTGAACTCATGACCTGATTCGGACCAGACTAAGTTCCTGAATAAGATAAAGAGATGAGAAACCAGGAGAGAGAGATGAGTGCAGAGACGTGAGGAAAAGGATACGGCGCATATTCTTTTATACTGTATGGATTTAAAAAGGGAAATGATACTTAAACACACCATGCAGGTTATGTCTGGATTGAATGTTCATTGTTAAATCGTCATTATTACACTAAATTCACACTATTAGAATCCGTAAAGGTTTAAAATCACAGTGCCATTTTGACAAGTTTCCAAAGCTTTCAAGCATGTTACAGTTGTTTCCCCTTCTCATTTACCCTCTCAAAGTTGTATCAGGAGTGATTCGAGCAAGTTTGAGGATTCATTGATCACTTTTCAAAACACCGTATGGCCAATAAATACAGTGGCTGGCAAGTGCAAAACACTTTTACATTTCACAACACACATTAACAAGTTTGAAAACAATTATACTTAAAATACACTGTTAAATCTTGAAAACAAATTGTAGTTTCATAAAACACATTTGCAAATGTGAAAACAAATTTACAAAACACGAAACATTTATACAAGCGCCGAGACAAATTTACATGTGGCAAAAACACATAAAACCACCTTTTTTACAAGGGCAGGAAGTGCCGCGATGTAGGGTAAACGTCACTTCCAGTTAATGGTTTTCTATTGAAAAATATCTGTGGAAATGTCCTGCCTATTTTCCACCAGCTTCATAAATCTGCCCCACCACCAAATCTTCAACCAACAAGGTCCACAAAAGACATATTCTGTCCATGAAGAATTTATCTACAACTATCAAGATAAGAAAGGCGAAAACGTAAAGGCGAACAACAACAATCTTTAGAGAACTACTCCTGAGCAAAATGTAATGGTCGTTAGTCATTTTTGCTTTTTAGGACATTCCCTTTCTGTCCAGATCAGATTTGTTTCAGGGGTTTGTATTTGTGTTTTTGCCACATGTAAATTTGTCTTGGCGCTTGTTTGCAAATGTGTTTTATGAAACGTTAATCTGGTTTTAAGATGTAAATGTGTATTTTAAATGTTATTTTGTTTTCAAGCTTGTCAATGTGTGTTGTCTTTTGCACTTGCCAGCCACCGTAAATAAACCCCCATTTTCACCTCCATAATGATCCACTATATGAGAGGTTCAAGCACAATATGTTCTTTAATACAATCACTCTTCCACTCAGTGCAGTATTTTTCACTCTTGTAGGTCTTGAGTATAATCTGGATAAACAGCCCTGTTTTTGAGTTTAGAAATAACTCATTTTGAAGCACAGTTTTAAACAGCGTAACTTTGCTATGACAGCAGTTTTACTTACAGCTTGTATGGCGCAACAGAGGCGCGCTTCCTCTGTCTGCCCCCGTATACAGCATGTAACAAACCAGGCCTCCAGAGTGTTCACCGCATCGGCCTGTCGCTTGCTCACGCCGTAACCAGAACTAGGGAAGTAGGATTCGGGGTACCGTGGGCGACGAAATCCATGGAGACAGATGTTTTGTATGTTTTGAGCCGTGGGGAGAGCAAGAGGGAACTGAACATCATACTTGGATACAGGGACAAAAGCACGGGGGCGACCTGAACAAAATGATCAAAATAAACAGATGTGAATGTACAAAATTCATACCCTTGAGATATTTCAGTTCTGTATGCAGCATTTAGTGGAAAGGTGAACGGTTATCCAATACAAACATACAATAAGGGCTAGGTGATATTACTCACTTGTTACGGGCTGTAAGTTCTGCTATCTCTTCCCACATCTTACCTTTTTCTTACAGTTTTTAGCTGCTATAGGCTTGAGTGGTAGCAAGTAGCCACAATCTCTAATCTGTGATTAGAGAAAAACTAGTGATGCATTTACCCTGAACAGGTCAGTTTGGTGTCTGGCTGGTTCTGTCATGCTAACAAATTTTGCCGATAATATTGAAACAAATGTATGCTACTGACCCAAAAACCCAAGAGCAGATTTAAACTACTAAAACTATTCTAACTCTACAATATTGTACAAAAAATCATGAGCTGCAATAAATAAACAGCAAAACAAAACACTTTAGTACTTAGTTTGCATCTGTAATGAGTTATTAATTCAAATTTTTACTGCTGACAACTTATATACCGGTAGCTAAAAAATAACCCCAAATTCCCCAGCAGTGCAAAGAAAAAGTAACACAATAAATATTGACCTGAAAAAATATTGTTCTAGCTTACATATATTGAACTATTTTTGAGCTTTTTTTTGCTAGCATAATAAATCTGTGCATTTAGATTGTTAGTTCAACACATCTGATATTTGTCCAACACTGACAATGAATCTTAAATCAAATGAATCAATGGATCTGAATTTTGAAGTTGCCAAGATATTTGTAAATGAAGAAATGGAAAGGGAAGATACTCACTTGCTCTGGGAGAAAACGCTACGGGTCCTTCTGGAAAAAGGAGAAAGGTAAATTACTAATTAATTCACCTTTATTCAGTATTTTTTATTATTATTATTATTTATTTTATTTATTTTTATTTTTTTCAAATTTTATAGGTTCCAGTTATGTGGTGCTACTTTGAGGATAGTTCAAAGATATAATTGTTTGTTTTGAACTGTTAATTGCAATGAAAATTGTCCAAATTTTTCATCATTCTGAAACCAACAGATTGACACCTAAATGAATTTCAAGATACTAGTTAATTAGACAAATCAAATAATTTGTGCAAGATTACTGACAATAAATTTCATTATCGACTAACTATTATCAGGAGTACAAAGAGAAAAACTGCTCTTTTTTTTTGCTATTATTAAGCTATTTTATGACCAATTCTGATCATTGAAAAGTGATAAGAAATGTAAAATGTCTGTATTTTGATACTATGATACCTTTTAAACCAACCAAGAGCTCTGACAGGTCCAGCTCCCTCTGCATTATGTCCATCCCTGGAGGCATTTCTTCTAAAAGATTTCAACAAATAACATCACAATCAGTAATCTTGTAATGAGTGGATTGCATACAGTAGTGATAGCAGGGCTGTCTCGATAAATCAACAAATCATGGCTACTACATTGTAAAAACAGCCCTAGAAATTATAAATATAAATAAATACAAATACAGTGATGTTATTAAAGGGTCCATATTACACTATATTCTGATCTATGTTATAATGCTGCTTCCTCAGTAAAAACATACCTGGAGCTTTGTTTTGTTTCATTCACACAAATCCTGCATATTTAGGCTGCGTTCTTCTCAAATAGAAAACACTCTGTTCCACCTTGTCATGTCATGTGGTAATACAGGAAGCGCTCCATTGTGTTTTTAAACTCCATACACCTTCACTAGAATTATTTGGATGATATCAGCCCTGGAACTTACAATCTCTGAGAGAAAAATAAAAGGGAGCCTAACAATAACCATGTGTGAATGAAACAAAACACAACTCCATGTGTGTTTTTGGTGAGGTAACAACATTATAATATGGCTAAAAACTCACAAGAATCCATTTAGTGTAATCATTTTTTGACATAAAATCTAAATTAAGCCTTCATGGACTATATTTCAACTTTTATTGGCTTAAAAATATATGTTAACATACTAGAAATAATAATTTAACTAGTATCCTAATCAAAAAATGTATGGTTGACTAGCCGACTACTAAAATAAAGTAGTATAAAGTTATGGTAACAGTAATATGGTATTTTAAGTGCTTTAATCAAACTAGTGAGCATATGTATTTGACAGGCACCTTCAAGGGGTTGTTGGGGAGAGGGGACGACATGCTCATCTATAAAGTAATCATCTGGAAAAGAGACAGGAGAAAGCATTACATAACAGTCCACTGATTCAGCCTCACAAATCAGAAACCCAACAAACAGACCAAAGGAGTTTACAGGGAACTCAAACAAACACAACACCCACCAGTCTCTACACACAGTTTGTTTTTATAGATATAAGAATTAACTATGCCAACAAGTTAAAGCAGGCCCATGGCACAAATGGAATGAATGCATTGCTGTGTAGGCTTCTTAATTATACAATAGGCTACAAGTGCAAAAAAAAAAACTAAACAAACAAACAAAAACAAAAAAACACTGAAAGTTCTAGTAATGGCCTCTTTTAACTACTTTCTATACTATAGTTCATTTTATGCTCTGTATATTTCTTATTTATATAAACGGGTTCAAAAACAGGTGTGCAAAAATATTGAAACGATATATCATACAGTTTAATTTGATGATACAGTATTGATATTGTGGGCTGCTGTGTCGATACATCACCACAACTATTTTTAGGTATTTTACTAAATAATTTTGTGTTAGAGCTACAGTTGTGTTGACATTTTCACTGTTTTGATGAGTAAAATGGGTGGGGTTTTTCATATTGACTTAAACTCAGTGGACTAAGTAGACTTTTAGAACAGTATTGAATTGATTTGAAATATATTGTTCCAATTTTATTGAATTGAAAGTGCACTATAGAAAAACGTATGGTATCGTGGTCTATGTATCAAGGTATGCATCGTATCGGCAACTTCTTAATGACACCCAGCCCTAGTTACAAAAGTACTGTCACCAAGTAAACAAACTTACTTAAAGTTATAATGCATTTAACTATTTTCTGATAATAATAGACAATATCATTCATTTCGTTCATAAATAGGCCTACTTCCAAAATAATCTCATGGAGTTTGTGTTTTATATAAGAATAGCTACTACTAACAAAAACAATCAGATCTATCTCATTACATCTAAAGCACAAATTGTATGAATAGCTACGCTGCTGTGTGAAAGGATTAGAAATGCACTGATAAAGACAAACTCACTCAGTTTTCACGTATTTAGAAAAAAACTAATTTTAATTATGTCATCTGAAAATGCACTTACAGTTGACAGAAAACTTTTCGGACCCTACCTGGACGACTGAGGGGCTACACAGATGTAATTATAGAAATAATAATAGGAGATGGAATTAATTAACTTCATTAACAGTCCAAATGTTGCTTATGTCGTATCAAAAAGTGAATCTGCAAAAGTAGGCTACAGGTCTGACGCCATGCCAAATAAAACTTTTTTTCAGGTCAAACTATTTCTGATCAAAACACATGAAGGGAAAAGTATTTACCGCTGGAAGCTGAGCCCAGGAGAACCAGAGCCAGCGCGGCGGAGTAAAGCGAAGCCCAGATCGGAGCGGTCATGGTGGGGTTGGTCTGCGCTGTGGTCCCGCTGTTGTCCGGAGGTCCCACACAGTAGTTCAGGGCAGACTGAAGGGGGCGTGCTCAGGAGCTCCCCCGGGCTCTTATTGGTCCAAAGCTTGCGGTGTGTTTATAGTTGTTGTGGAGTTTTGGAGAGTAACTAACGGCAGCGCTTTTCTACCATGACTCATCCGTGCGTAATTTTATGGGAACATGGATCAGATCACTTTGGTGAACAGTTTTTGCAGAATTTATGTCACCGTAAAATACTGGTGAAAAGTGAATTTAAAGTGAACTTAAAGTGAACTCAGTCGGGCTGCATAGTGTCACATAGGCCTAACTTTCAACTCAAAATCCCAACAATATTAAGATGTAGACCTATGATATCGAAATTAAATACCCAACTTGTCATATGCATTAAATAAATACACTAACTATTCAAGTAATAGGGTAGGTTATCATCATAATAAGGTATAGCTATTCAAATAGTAGTGGGCTAGGTCTACTGTAAAACTGCAAAATCATATTCCTATAAACTAGTCTCAAAATCAAAATCAGATGATTTTGATTTCTTGTATATGTATAGTGTAGTGTATTGTTTGGTCTCCATTAGCCTGGTCACATTTTCAGAGCTGTACAGGGCGCAGGGCCCCATGTTACAGTGGCTTTAAAGATTCCTTTGTGTCACCTGTGACCTCCACCACTCCCTCCATCTCTTCACAATATTCTGAAAACTGCAGACAATACCATCCAAAGAGCCACAACCAAAATTGTGCATACACTTGTACTGGTTTGGACCCAGTGCGAGCCTGGTTTTGTCCGGTTCTAGTCCTCTTTTAGGTCTGAGTTTGGTTCCAATTTTTAGTGCTTGTGTGTCAGTTCAGTTTTAGACTCCATCATCCCATGTAATCCTGATAGTCTAGACTCTTACTCATGGAAAAAAGCAAAGTTTGTGGCTTTTCATATGATGAGGCACCACCTCATAAAACAATAGTTAGTAAAGGTTTCTTTAATAAAATTCAGAAGAAAATCAAGTCTCTCAAGAACAAATGAAATGCTTATTTTAAACTACACCTGGACAATAGTTCCTGCACACCAGAAATATGTTTTAAGGCTTTGCTTTAATGCAAATATTAACAGGAAAATGCATGTATAGATTCAGGTAATAATTTATGTTGAACTGAATCTTTGGGCTTTTGTAACGTTTCCAGCGGGAGAACTACAGTCCGAGAGAGAAGCCATATTTCACCGCCCAAAGCTAATAGTCCGGTTCCTTATTGTAATTTTTTGACCTTAGTGGGAAGTTTTTGGGAATTTGCTAACCTATATATTTTTGGAAAGGTTATAGTATATGTAGTCAGAAAATCAATGTTTGCATTTGCCCACATGTCTTTATGGCGGCCATATTGGATTTTTAAAAAATGGCCGCCAAAAAACCCTTTTTGGAATATCTCAGCCTCTGAATAAGTTGAAATGTTGATTTTAACTGCTAAACCCACATTTTCAGGGTCAGGGAATCAAATGGTGCTAGCTACAAAGCTATAAGACCTACTCACATTAACCCTTAGATGCATAAGTGGGTCAAAAATGACCCAGTTTGGTTGTTTTCTTGCAATTTCACTGTAATATTCACATTTAATACTCCATGTTCCTCCAAAAACATGTTTTTCTTTTCTTTTCTTTTTTTAATTATCCTGCTGAAATACTTCAACAATATGGGTAAAACTAATTATAAACATCACATGCAGTTGGTCAGAAAACTCAAAGAGTTTAAAAGTAGCTAACATAAAATTTGGATGTTGGATGTAAACACACACATTTAGACACAATATGATTACACAACTTTTTTATTAGACATTTTCTATACATCATCATTATCATCATCACTTTCATACAACCATAGACTGTATATACGAGTGGACAGATCTAACGCTGTAGCCGCCGAGTGCCAAATAGGAAGTTCTCCAAGAGGCTCTTCCAGCTCCTTCTGACTCTGCCTCCAATGGACTTACATTAGGATCTTGTGGCTCCTGTCTCTGTACCTGCTGCAGTGAGCCTTGACATTTTGGTCTTAAAATGTTTGTATGAACCCGCTCTACATGATCCTGAATTTTTTTTTTTGCTATTTTGTCCATCAAAAAATCCTATTCATAATATAAAGCCTGTGGCTGGATGAGATCCATCCTGAGTATCTTAAGTCTCTGGATGTTGTGGGTCTTGACTGACACGCCTCTTCAACATCGCGTGGCGGTCGGGGATAGTACCTCTGGACTGGCAGACCGGGGCTGTGGTCCCTCTGCATAAGAAGAGGGACTGGAGGGTGTGTTCCAACTACAGGGGAATCACACTTCTCAGCCTCCCCAGTCTGTGCCAGGGACTGGAAAGGAGAATCCGACCGTGGTTTTCATCCCGCTCGTGGAACACTGGACCAGCTCTACACTCTCCATCAGGCGTTCGAGGGTTCATGGGAGTTTGCCCAACCAGTCCACATGTGATTTGTGGATCTGGAGAAGGCATTCGACCGTGTCCCTCGTGGTGTCCTGTGGGGGGTGCTCTGGGAGTATGGGGTCCGGGGCCCTTTGCTAAGGGCTGTCCGGTCCCTGTATGACTGGAGCAGGAGCTGTGTTCTCGGCAGTAAGTCAGACCTGTTCCTGGAGCATGTTGGACTCTGCCAGGGCCGCCCCTGTCACTGGTTCTATTCATTGTATTTATGGACAGAATTTCTTGGTGCAGTCAGGGGCCGGAGGGTCTGGTTTGGGGACCAAAGGATCATCTCTGCTGTTCACATATGATGTTGTCCTGTTGTCTTCATCAAACCAGGACCTGCAGCACTGGGGCAGTTTGACCCGTGTATGAAGCGGCTGGGATGAAGATCATCTCCTCCAAATCCGAGGCCGTGGTTCTCGACCGGAAAAAGCCGTCCTGCCCTCTGGGTGGAGTGTCCCTGCCTCAAGTGGAGGAGTTCAAGTATCTCGGGGTCTTGTTCATGAGTGAGGGGAGGATGGAGCGTGAGATTGACAGGCGGATCCTTTTTCCTGATATTACCATCGCTTGGTATTGTGATGTCCACCACCACGGCTCTGCTCTGTTTTTTATCCACCACCACTATGTCTGGTTGGTTCATCACCATCCTGTCCGTCTGTATCTGGAAGTCCTACAGGATCTTGGCTCGGTCGTTCTCCACAACCTTTGGAGGTGTTTCCCACCTTGATCCTGGGGTCTGCAGCCCGTACTCTGCACAGATGTTTCTGTACATTATGCCCGCCACTTGGTTATGTCGCTCCATGTTTGCTTTCCCTGCCAGCATCTTACACCCTACAGTTATGTGCTGGACTGTCTCAGGAGCCTCTTTGCACAGTCTACACCGCGGGTCTTGTCTGGTGTGGTAAATCTGGGCCTCTATTACTCGAGTGCGCAGGGCCTGCTCCTGAGCTCCAGGATGAGTTATGCTCCGGTGGTACGCCCTGTGTAGGGGTTTGTCCTGCCATGATGGTCCCTCCAGCACCTCTTCCTCTGGACCCCACTGTCGGAGACATTCTCTGAGCACCTCATCTGTCGGGGCCTTGTCCTTGATGTACTCAAGGAGCTCGGATGTTTCATCCTGGACAGTGGTTCCCACACTCACTAGTCTTCGGCCTCCTTCTTTCCGGCTTGCATACAGTCTCAGGGTGCTGGATTTGGGATGGAACCCCATGCATGGTCAGGAGCTTTTGTGTCTTAACATCTGTGGTCTGTATCTCCTCCTTTGGCCAGCTTACGATTCCTGCAGGGTATCTGATCACTGGCAAGGCAGAGCTGTTGATTGCCTGCGCCTTGTTCTTGCCATTGAGCTGGCTTCTTAGGACTTGCCTCACTCTTTGAAGGTATTTGGCCGTAGCCGCATTCCCTATATATAGAGCCCGCGGCCAGACCAGAGCTCGGAGGCGGCAGAGCTTGGAGCCTGGCTGGCCGTGGATCTATCCATCTTGTTGAACAGTAGCTAATGTTATTAAGCAAATATATGAAATAAGTGCATGCGCAATTTGCTTCATTTAGTTTTCTTTAAATAAATGATGTCATGATAGCAGCAGCTGGTCCTATTGAAGGCTCAGGTTCCATGTCCACGGTTCACCACTGCCAAGTACAAAGGCGACTGCAGAACTGCACACCAGAAACTAAAGGTTTATCCTGTACCAACATGTGTCAGTGCAGCAGCCAGTGCCAGAATGATGATGATTCCGAAGCCATGTTGTTGCATAGACTGTATAAAAGAAGTGGACTAAGTGAGTGTGACCCACAGAGTTCAGTACCACTCAAATGAGGCTTATGATGTTCATGGTTACAGGAGCCAATCTGGAGCCAGACCCTATATTATGAATAGAATTTTTTTGACGGACAAAATAGCAAAAAAAAAATCCAGGATCATGTAGAGCGGGTTCATGCAAACATTTTAAGACCAAAATGTCAAGGCTCACTGCAGCTGGAAGCAGGGAGAGGAGCCACAAGATCCTAATGTAAGTCCATTGGAGGCAGAGTCAGAAGGAGCTGGAAGAGCCTCCTGGAGAACTTCCTATTTGGCACTCGGCGGTTACAGCGTTAGATCTGTCCACTCATATATACAGTCTATGGTTGTATGAAAGTGATGATGATAATGATGATGTATAGAAAATGTCTAATAAAAAAGTTGTGTAATCATATTGTGTCTAAATGTGTGTGTTTACATCCAACATACACATTATATGTTAGTTATGTTTAAACTCTTTGAGTTATGTGACCAGCTGCATGTGATGTTATAATTTGTTTTACCAACGTTGTTGAAGTATTTCAGCAGGATAATAATTTAAAAAAAAACATGTTTTTGGAGGAATATGGAGTATTACATGTGAATATTACAGTGAAATTGCAAGAAAACAACCAAACGGGGTCATATTTGACCCACTTATGCATCTAAGGGTTAATGTGAGTAGGTCTTATAGCTTTGTAACTAGCACCATTTGATTCCCTGACCCTGAAAATGTGGGTTTAGCAGTTAAAATCAACATTTCAACTTATTCAGAGGCTGAGATATTCCAAAAAGGGTTTTTTGGTGGCCATTTTTTTTTTTT